AGTAACTTTAATCAATGACATTTCACATTTTTAAATATCAAATTAATTAATAACGAGAAAATTCATTACAATTCATTTAATTTCTATTCGTGATTATTTATGATTTTTCAAGGTCTCATCAGTCAAACTAGTTCATCCGTCTCTTAAAATTTTATTATTTACTAAAAGTTTGTTTTTCGATAATAAATATTTTTTAATATTTCCCAAAATAATAATTTTTCGATTTCGAATAATTTTGAATTTTTTAAAGTTTTGTACATTTATGTAACTATATATAAAAATTAATTCTTTAATTATAAAAAACAATATTTTGTAATAGAATTCAAAGTAAAAAAAAGTAATTTATTGGAACGTTCGAAACTTTAGAAAACATAAATAATAAACTGCATCATTGATAAATTTTCTATATATAATTCTCTAATGTAAAAAATTTTCAAAAGATTATTTTTCAAAAATTTTTCTCAGTTGGGTAGAAAAAGAAATTTTTTTAAAATTCAACTATTTATTTTTGTCAACATTTTCACTAGATTAGAAGGAAAGTAAAAAAGACGAAATAATAGACAATTCAAGGTACAAGGTAAACTAATTGTATCATATTATATGAAACAGCAAATGTCACTGTCTAGAAACTAAAATTGAATTTCTAAAACGGTTTTCAAATTGAAAAGTAAGAATAGGATGGACCAAAGGTCAAACAGTAAGGCCAAACGTCAAATCGTTCTTATATATCTGAATCAATCTTATTTATTGATTATCACGTTAAGGCTATAATTAACTTTATTAACAAACTCAAACTATAGAGTCTATTTAATTTCACTTTTGTTTGTCGTCTACAATATCTTCTATTTAATATCCGACTTTAGTAAATGCACACTACATAAAGACAATTATATTTCCTTCATAAATTATATTAATATTGTATTACTTTGAATATTATACTATATCATTAAATTTATATGGGGCGCCTGATTATCCCATAAAAATCATTTTCACAGAATTATATCAGTCTTTTGCGAAATTTTTTGTTTCGAATTATTATTTAACAGAAAAAATTCATATCGAATTATAATTTATACTATTTTTGTCACTTCGAATTAGAGTTTGCATGAATATTTATATATAGACGAATTGTAATTTATTTTAATTATTATTTGATTGAATTTCAATTGACGACAATAAGTTAAAAACTAAAGAATTTAAAAATAACTGAATTTTAATTATTACGAATTTCTATAAAAAAATATCTATCGGGAAAGAAATTAACAGGCTTCGTACTCGTTAATTATAATTTTAAAAAAAATTCGCTTTATGACTGAAAAATGTAGTAAAAAAGTAGCTATCGAAAAATTAAATTTGAAGACTCAATTTTTTCATAATTTTTAAATTAAATTACACTCAAAAATAGAATACTTTTTTAAAATACATATTTAAATACCTATATTTATTTTTCCACCGGAATTAAAATATTTTAGATAATTTCAATTAAAGAAATTTTTGAACTTTAACTATATTTATATTATTTATTTATTATTATTATTATTATTATTATTTATTTATTTATTTATTTTTTTATTATTTATTTATTTATTATTTATTTTATTTATATTTCAAAAAATTACAACTAATTCTTCAATTCTTATTAGAAACTTCAACGAGAATTCAATTACTTAAAAACAAAAATAAGTAATTTAATGAATAATTGAATATTTTTTAAAATAAAATTCTTGAGCTTTATCAAATTATTTTTTTAAATAACTGAAATTTTACGAAGAATTACGTTAAAATTTTTTTAAAATAGTAAAATTTATTTGAGAAATTTAAATAAAAATTTTATTGATAATAATTATTAAATTCCAATAAACAAATTACATCAAAATTTTCTTAAATAATAATTGAATTCTATTTAAAAATTTTAATAAAATTTTTTAGAATAATTGCATTTTTCGAGGAATTTATTTCAAATTATATAAAAAATAATTGAAATCCCGTGATAAGTTTTATTATTTATGGAAATAATTAAATTGATGCAAACAAGTTGTATTAAAATTTATTTAAATAATTGAATTCTTGCGAAAAATTTAAAAAAAAATCTTTTTAAATAATTGATTTTTTTCGAAAAATTTTATGAAAATGTGTATTAAATAATTCAATTCCTGCGTAAAAATTTAATTATTTTTGAAAAGAATTGAAATCCTGCGATGAGTTTTATTATTTATAAAAATAATTGAATTCTAGCAAACAATTTTTATTAAAATTTTTTAAAATTGTATTAAAAATAATCAAAATAATTGAAATCTCGTGATAAGTTTTCTTATTTATGAAAATAATTGAATTATTGCAAACAAATTTCATTAAAATTTATTTAAATAATTGAAATCTTGCGAAGAATTTTAAAAAAATCTTTTTAAATAATTGATTTTTTTCGAAAAATTTTATGAAAATGTGTATTAAATAATTCAATTCCTATGAAAATTAAATTATTTTTGAAAAGAATTGAAATCCTGCGATGAGTTTTATTATTTATAAAAATAATTGAATTCTAGCAAACAATTTTTATTAAAATTTTTTAAAATTGTATTAAAAATAATCAAAATAATTGAAATCTCGTGATAAGTTTTCTTATTTATGAAAATAATTGAATTATTGCAAACAAATTTCATTAAAATTTATTTAAATAATTGAAATCTTGCGAAGAATTTTAAAAAAATCTTTTTAAATAATTGATTTTTTTAGAAAAATTTTATGAAAATGTGTATTAAATAATTCAATTCCTGCGTAAAAATTTAATTATTTTTGAAAAGAATTGAAATGTTTTAAATAATTTAATTCCTATGAAAATTGTATTATTTATGAAAATAATTAAATTCCTGCGATGAGTTTTATTATTTATTAAAATAATTGAATTCTTGCAATGATTTTTATTAAAATTTTTAAAAATAATTGAATTGCAGGGGACAAAAGGAATGCGCAGGCGCGTAGCGGCTGCGCGAGCCTTTTTTCCCCGGCGTCACCACTTTCTTTCCCTCTGACGTCATCTAGCCTCTAAAAACTTGAATTTTCAACCCACTTCACAAAAAAATTTTAAAAATGCAAGTAAATTATAATTTAAATTCAATACTATTTGTTAAATATTAATTCGAATCAACAAATTTTGAAAGAACGATAATTCTGTGCTTAGTATTTTTATTTCCAAAATTAATAAAAATAACGTTTTTCATTTGAAAAATAATAAAATAAAAAAAAAAAAATGGTAAAGAAAAAGTTAGAGTTCATTAACTTTTCTTATAAATAACTCCAAGTTAGATAGTTTGAAAAGTGCAAAATATATTTCGCGCTTTGAATTGAAAGTTTGCGCTCGAGTTGCTTAAAAACAAAGTAACAATGTTCCCAGAAAATAACAAACAAAAGTTTTTCTCTTAAATACACATACCTATATGTATAATTTAAATGTCTGTGAATTCTTAATTTAAAATATATTATACTTTAAAAACATTTCTCATTGAGAGAATGAGGGAAAAAAACTAATATCTTTCATATAGGAAAAGATAAAAGAGAATATTTCTCATGAAAAGAATATTTCTAGTTGAAAGAGTAAAAAAAATATTACTCACAAAAAGCATAATGGAATATTTCACGAAGGCAAAAAAAGATGGTAGGTTCAACTGTAAAATATTTTTTTTTCTTTCTATTTCGTATCAATAGTTCTCTACTTTCTGTTTCTTTTAATATTTTCTAACATTTTAATATTCGATATTCAATATTCATTGTTAATATTTTAATTATTAATATAAAATATTCATTGTTAGTATTTTATTTATTAATATTTAATATTCAATTCTAATATTTTTATTATTAATTATTAATATTCAATATTCGATTCTAATATTCAATTGAAGTGAGTGACTACTTTGTTGTTTAAACAATTTAATCATTAAATGATATAAATGATTCTGCTTTTCCCCTTTCATGACATAAGAGTTGCATAACTATATGTGGATGTATCGGATTGCATAAGTGTAACTCGGGTTGCCTATATTTTGTCTAATACAATGACAATCGACTTACTATTATGCAATATTCATATTACCGTGACCTAATTAAAACAATTCGCTTTACTCTTATTAAACATAAAATTATTTATGCATGCTTTCTACCTTTATAACCAGTTCAATTTAAAAACAAATAAATAAATTTTCCAATAAAATTAGAATGTATATTATTTATGATTAATAATTCATTACTCGCAATGCATTATTCTACTTGCAAATAGATCACAAAAAAAACTACTTTGAAAAATCAGATAAATAAACAGATTTATTTATAATACACGTATTTTTGTATATTATATTCTTTCTGTTATCAACTACTATATCTTTGATAAATCAATAATTTTTCCTTTGTTCCTACACGACATTCGTATTTTCATAAAAGTACATTTTTCTTCAAGTTTTTTTGCTGAGTAGAACTTTCAAAGCGCAAACTTTTAGAACAATAAACTTTTAGAAAAGGAAATAGAAGGAGGAATCGCAATGTTACTTTGCCTTTTGTCATGTGTGGCAGATACTTCAATTTAAGTACACTTGGTTGAAACTTGTTGCTTTTATGAGGCATTTTTACTAATTGCGTGGCTTAAGGCACTTTACTTGTCGGATATAAATATGAAAATAGAAAAAAGCGGAGGGAAAAAATGTTTCAAAACGCATTTTAATTCTATTTTTTGACAATGTAAATAAATTTTCCGTTTTGTCAACAAATACCGGACGAGTTATGTCCTTGTCACTCATTACGTTTTTATAGTTAATTTTTACCATTTTTACACGTATTTTTTTACTTTTACAATTCAATACAAATAACAAGAATCAAATTAAATTTCTCCTTTCATAGATAATGGTGCTTATCACAAACACCGAATATTATTTACTCTAAATTAAAACTTTAAAAGTAGACGTAAATGACGAAAATTGTATTGAGAATTATAGGTTATGTTAAAGCGTGCTCACCAACTTTCGATGTAGAAACTTTCTGCACAATCCGACACATGATTGGAATCCAAAATCCCTAACTTGATGATTAAAAGTAATTGCAGAACGAACAAAACTTGTTGACTTTAATTATTAACACTTTAATTTGATAAAATTATCAGAAAACACCGGCACAAGAAAAAAAAAATCACATGCATTTTCGCGACAACTGTGCGAAACCTAGCGGCGAGATGTCGCACTACTCGAACTCTAGTCAAATGACACTTTAATTTAGGACAAAATTATATTTTTAAATAAATATTTTCAATTCTCTTCTATTCTGAAATATTGGAAATATTAAGAAAGTATAAAATAGAAAATGTAGGTTTTTTACTGTTGAGAAGATAGTCGAATCGAGTCAAACTGAATATTTAAACAAAAGAGGTAATTGATTAACGTAGTAGGAACGCTATGTTTGGCAACTCGAAATCCTATTGGCTGTTCATCATGCCAGCGAAAAAGTAAACAGATTCAAATATATTTATCAAATTTTCCACATTTAATTATTATTATAAATGTTATAAATAAAAATTTATTTATAAAAGTAAATATTTTGGTTACTTTGTCAAAAAAATGCAAATTAACAAAAATATGAAAAATATTAAACCTATTTTGTAAAGGGTTTTATCAACAAGAAAATAATATAAAACAAAATGAGAAATGAAACCTAACCTATAAAAATGATAGAAGTCGTTCGTCGTTAAATGTTATTTTTTGCCAATTCACCCAAATTATTCAAGTACTAATTAATGTAATAAATTAAAAACTTTTAATTCAATCGCATAAAATTCAATTTTCTAGAATATAAATAACTTTTGTTTCGTATTCTCGTTCCAGATCCATTTTTGATGACGTCAACATGGTTGCAAACAATGGCATTTTAGCTCTCAGCTGGTGGGCTGGTGTCAGTAACAAAACACTCCACAAACACACAAGTTTGACAGATAACAATAACAAAGTATAAAATGAGTAATCATATTGCGATAATATGTGGATAAACTATATTCAATGTCAGAAAATCAACTGCTGACGGAATATTAGTGAATGATAACATTTTTATAATGTATGTGTGATCTCGTAAATAAAGGCCAAAGATTCTCTCATCATCTGCTGATGTATTTTCTCTGATTTGGATGCGTTATCCTTTGTTAATTAAACTTGACACATCGAATTTATAAATGTAAGTATAAGTTTTGTTTTTCAATTTCGCTAACAAGTGGTTAAGAAAAAAGTGTCTAAATTAATAATTTTGCAGTGTTTTTTTTTGGTTTTTAAATCGAGTTTGCTTTTAAATTTGGTGAATTTTTTTAGCTTGTCATGATGATTATAGCAACAATTGCTATAACCCTGTGTCTATTTAATCCTATTTTTGGCGTAGTTAAGTATCAACCGGAAGCAGTGCATATCGCCTATGGAGGTTTGTGTTTTAATTTCAATTAGAAATTCTCTCTTTTCTCTTTTATTGAAAAAGACAGAAATTGCGTAGGTATTTAATCTTTTTCTTGTTCAGGAGATTGTTTTCAATTCTTTTCTTATTTCTGGCTCAAATTTCGCAATAGTTTCATTAAAAAAAATATTTCAATAATTATTTCAGTAAATGAATAATCAAACTAGATTCAAATTTTTGTTTTTTAACAGAGAATATTCATGACATTGTTGTTACTTGGAGTACGAGGGATGACACGACAGAATCTATAGTCGAATATGGAATAAATGGTTTCGCTTTAAGTGAACATGGAAATTCGAAACTTTTTGTTGATGGTGGTGCAAAGAAGAACAAACAATACTTTCATCGAGTTTACTTGAGGAATTTAACTCCAAATAATAGATACAGTAAGTGAATAATTAATTTTTCTTTTTAAATATTTTAAATTTTAAAATAAATGTCATGAAAATAATTGAAATTCTTTAAAGAATTTTACAATTTTTAAAAATAATTGAATTGTTTTGAAGAATTTTATCATTATTTTGAAAATAATTGAATTTAATTAATATTTTTAATAATAATTGTATTCATTTGAGAAATTTTACTAAAATTGAATTCCTTTTGAAGAATTTATTTTTACTTTTTTTCAAAATAATGTAGTTTTTGAATAATTTTAATTGGAAATTTTTAAAAAAATTAATTTAATTAAATGAAGAATTTTTTTCAAATTTGTAAAATAGTTGTGTCTGTCAAAAATTGTAATTAAATATTTCATTATTGAAGTTTATTAAAATTTTATTGAAAATAATTGAATTCCTGTGAATAATCTTATTATTTATAGAAATAATTTAATTCTTGCGAAGAATTTTATAAAAATATTTTTAACTAATTGATTTTATGAGAAAAATTTTATTATAATTGTGTTTTAAATAATTATATTCCTGTGGAAACTTTATATTATTTTTGAAAATAATTGAATTCTTGTAAAAGAATTTAATTAACATTTTTTAAAATAATTGAAATTCTGTTATGTGTTTTATTATATTTATAGAAACAATTAAATTCTTACAATTTTATTAAAATTTATATAAATAATTGAATTCTTGCAAAATATTTGAATTAAAAATATTTTATAAAAATATTTTTAAATAATTAATTTCTTTCGAAAAATTTTATGAAAAATGTGTTTAAATAATTCAATTCCTACGAAAATTTTATTATTTACAAAAATAATTGAAATTCTACAAATGAGTTTTATTATTTATTAAAATAATTTTATTCTTGCAACGAATTTTATTAAAATTGTATTGAAAATAATTGAATTCCTATAAAGAATTTTACTATTTATAAAAATAATTGAATTCTTTCCGAAGAATGTTATTATTTATGAAAATAATTGAAATTTTGCGAAGAATTTAATCAAATTTTTTTGAATATAGTTGAATTCTTTAAAGAAATTGTATTTAAAATTCTGAAAAATAAGTTTTTAAATTCTATAAAAGGAAATTTAATTTTTCAAGAATTTTATTAAAAAATTAACATATGTAATTAAATTTTTATAAACTAATTGTATCATTTTCTAATTTTTATAGAATATAATTTTATATTTTACAAGAAATTTCTTTAAAATTTTGAAAATAATTGAATTTTTAAAATAAATTTTACACACAATTTTAGAAATAATATTGAATTTTTTAGATTAAATCACTTTTAGAATTATTATAAATATTTTTTAAATAATTAAATTTCTTAAGTTTTAAAGAAGATATTTGAATATTTTTTAAGAAATTTATTAAACGTTTTGAAAATTAAGGAATTTTTTAAGGAATTTTACAGAAAAAAAGATTTTAAATTATCAAAAGAAAACGAGAAGGAAAAATATTGAAGTAATTGAAAATAATTGAATGTTTCCAAAGACTTTACTTATAATTTAATTTTCTTTACTTTGATTATTTAAAAAAAGAATTGAATTGTTTCAATGGATTTATACAAATTTTAGAAACTAATTCAATTCCTGCGAAGAATTTTAATATTTATAAAAATAATTGAATTCTTCCGAAGAATGTTAGTACCGTAAGTGAGGCTAAATTCCCTCAATTTTTCAATTCTTTTTTAAATAACTTCGGGAAACGATGAAAATAAACATTGGCACTGAAAATATATAATCTTTAACCCTTTATCTTTCCTATTACTGCATAAAGAAATTAAAATATGTTGCAGAAAATTATTTATAAGCCGTTTTTTTGTGAGCGACTTTACCTTTAAATGATGGGTAAATTCGCTCACCATTATTATTCTGGCAAAATATATTATAATCTACAAAAATGAAACTAAATATTCTTTAGAATCAATAAAGAAAAAAATTAAGAACAATATACAAAGTTATTGGAATAAATATTTAATATTGTTTTATCAATAAGTAATTAGATTCAATCATTCAATCAAACGTACTCATAACCATAAAAAACAAGGTTAAGTTTGACAGTTTAGTGCTTAAACCGTTTTAAATCGTTTAATTTTCAGTTATAAGAGTACTATTATTTAAAAAAATCGAATTATAAATTATAGTAATTAACATACTTAAAATATCCAGGCCCAAACATCTTTTTTGTAGACTTATTTCCTGAGCGAATTTACACAACAAATTTGAATTTTTTTTAAATTGATTTTTTGCAGAATCTGTTTATTGCTTTAATTTTTGTGCTTTATGAGAATCATGTTGGAGATACAGGAAATGTAATGTTCAGAAGTATTCAACTTAAAAACTTTGAAGTAAAGCTTTATTTCCTACTTTTTCATACTACTTGTTCAATATGAAAATTATTCACTTGTGTTTTAAATATAATTTCTACTGAAAGTTACCAATGAATTTGCTGCAAATAAATTTTAAATTAAAGTTTACCATTTATATTAACCAAAACAATTGTAAATCTTAAATATTTCTGTCTAAAAAGTATGTTAATCGAATTTTAAAAAGAGACATCGGTTGAGCGAATTTACCCTACATGAGCGAATTTAGCCTCACTTACGGTATTTATAAAAATAATTGAATTCTTCCGAAGAATGTTATTATTTATGAAAATAATTGAATTCTTGCAAAGAATTATATTAATTTTTGAAAATACAAACAATAATAATTAATTATGTACTTAATAAGCGATATTTTTAAATTTTGATTATGAAATTATTATTCAAAAATTAAAATTTGAAAATAAAAAAGTTCGTAATTTACATAATAAAAATAAATTGAACATTTGCTAGTAATAGTAAAATTAATCAAGAATTTCAGTAAAATTTTCTAATTTTCTTTCTTCTTTTTTGTAGCATATCATTGTGGAAGTAATTTAGGATGGTCGGACGTATTTTACTTTGTGACTGCGCCCGACAATTCATCGTCCTGGGCGCCCCATATCGTTCTTTTTGGTGATATGGGAAACGAAAATGCCCAAAGTTTGCCTCGTTTACAAGAGGAGACGCAAAGAGGTGTTTACGATGCTGTGATTCACGTGGGAGATTTTGCCTACGACATGCATTCGGAAAATGCTCAAGTCGGCGATCAATTTATGCAGCAAATTGAAGAAATCGCCGCCTATTTGCCATACATGACAGTTCCTGGTAATCACGAGGAAAGATACAATTTTAGCAATTACAGGTAATTGGCGATTTTTTCCTATTAATCTAATCTGTATAAAATTTGTTAACTGGGATTAACAAAATTATTTACTAAAAATTTTGAACAAATTTGTGTTCAAACTTGTAAATTTCCCTTGTTCTCCAGAGCTCGCTTCTCAATGCCTGGAGATTCCGAAAGTTTGTGGTACAGTTTCAATATGGGTCCTATTCATTTCATCGGTATTGAAACGGAAGCTTATTATTTCATGAACTATGGACTTAAACAGCTTGTTAAACAGTATGAATGGCTCAAGAAAGATTTAGAGGAAGCGAATAGACCCGAAGTGAGGCAAGTTTCGATATTTGTTTTCTTCTCTTCTATTGGTTTAGAAAAGGAAAAGTTTTTTATTTAATTAATAAAAAGAAGTGAACAATTTTTATTTAATTTTATTAATGGAAAAAAGGAAGAAATTATAATTGATGTAAATTTTTTTAACAGAGCAATTAGACCCTGGATAGTAACGTTCGGTCACAGACCAATGTACTGCAGTAATTTAAATTCAGATGATTGTACAAATCATCAATCTCTAGTTAGAGTCGGTTTACCTTTTCTCAATTGGTTCGGACTTGAGAAACTCTTCTTTGATAATCAAGTTGATCTTGAAATTTGGGCTCATGAACATAGTTACGAGCGAATGTGGCCGATGTACAACTTTCAGGTAAATTTTTAGAAATATAATTATTATTTTATTTACAATTTAAATGCAGGAAACTCTGATCGACTTAAAAATGCAAAAAAAATTTCAAGAAAGTTTTTTAATCCTTGTAAATTCGAAGAATTTAATTTCCCCTGTTTCTTATTCCAATAACAACTTCAATTCCAAGTTTTTGTAAATTTCAATTGTTATCAATTTAAAATTAATATTTAAATTAATTTATTAAAAATTTTTTCAAATTTTTTTTTAAAATCAAGATTATTTTCAAAATATTATAATAAACGTCTTCAAAACATCAAAATTTATTTTTTTTAAATTAAACGAAATTACCAATTATTCGATTATTTTCAATTAATTAATTACAATTTTTCCGAAAGTCAATTATTCAAAAAGAAAAGTTCACTTAAAATTCTCTAAAATTCAATTACTTTCAATTAATTAACTGAAATTCTTCAGAAATTAAATTACTTTCTGAAGTCTTTAACTAAAATTATTTATAGTTATTTTAAGATACTTTTTTGAGAAATCAATTATTTATTAAAAAAAGAGAAAATTAGTCTAAAATTTAATTGTTTTTTATTAATTAACTACAATGCTTACGAAAATCAATTATTTTCTGGAATATTCGACTAAAATTCTTCTGTAAATCATTTATTTTTAGTAATTTTTGTGAGAATTCAATTATTTACTTTAAAAAAAGGAAAGATAATTTAAAATTTATCTAAAATTCAATTATTTTCAATTAACTGTAATTTTTCCGAAATTCAATTACTTTCTTTAATTTTAATTAAAATTCAATTCTAAATCAATTATTTTTAGTAATTTTGAGAAACCTGTTTTTAAGAACTAAATTACCTATTTATTTAAAAAAGGGAAAGTTCAATTGTTTTCTTTTAATTAACTGAATTTAAAATTTTGTGAGTTTTGTATTTTAGAAATGTTACAGGTGTTACCTCAAACATTTTTCCCTAAATCAATTGTTTTTAATAATTGTCAGTAAAAACTTTATAATTAAATTAAATTAAATTATTAAAAAAAATTTCACATAAAATACAATTTAAAATTAAATTGTATTCAATTCATTTTTACGAAATTTTGATAATTCTTAAAACTTGTTAAAAGATTTAAACACTTTTCTGAGAAGAAATATGTTACTAGTTATTTTTCATACTTTGAAAATCAAAATAATTGTCATTTTACAGAAAGAGAAGTTTCTATTTTCTTTTAATATTTGAAAGAAAAGTCGAAATAGTCGCATTTTATTAAAATTAGTAAAAAAAAATGGCATTTTTTGTAAATAGTAAAAAAAAATCATATTATCCGAGGCCTGAAAATGAAACACTAAATAAAAATTTATTTGCACTTTTAGATTTATAATGGAAGTTATCATGAACCTTACAAAAATTATCAAGCTCCCGTTCACATTATTACCGGATCGGCAGGTTGCAAAGAAGGAAGAGAAAAATTCGTACCTGAAAGACCAGATTGGTCTGCTTTTCGCAGTTCCGATTATGGTTACACAAAAATGAAGGCTTACAATAAAACACATCTCTACTTAGAGCAGGTAAAGTGTAAACAAATTCTATTATTATCTTCAAAAATTATTTTTCAAAAACTTAAAAATTATAAATTAAAACAAAATAACTTTTCAGATTTCTGATGACAAAGCCGGCGAAGTTATAGATCATATTTGGCTCATAAAAGACGAAATCTATCCAGAATTTATAAAATTATCAAATTAATGAAATTAATGAAATTAATGAAATGAATTCCCTAGAACTTAATTATTCTCAAAAAGGTCACAAAAAATTTTCAAATTACTCTCTTTCTTCATAATACTCCAAACATCTTTTTTTAAATTTAAATATCATTTTGATGCCTATTTAAAATAATAATAATTAGGATAGTAACGAAAATAATTTCTTATTTCTTTTTCTGAGAAAGCATTTTTAAATAATCGAATTTTAGAATATTATCAGCTAATTATGTGATAAAATAAATTCAATAATATTGGATGAACAAATAAATAAAAAGTATATTTACAATCAAAGTTTCGTATATATTTTTGTTTTTCCTTTTGAAAACCTCTCAAAACGATAAAGGTTTTTTTTTTTGTAAATAAACGAGCGAATAGCCATATATTTATTTAATTGTTAAAATATAAATATATGTGTATAATAATATTATTACTATTATTATTATTACTATTATCAATTATTATTATTATAATTTCTTAATGGTAGTGTTTTTTCTCTCGCATTCGATATATTAATTAATAATAATCGACAACGTTTGCAATGCCGGATGTGTTTATAATAACTTCTCAGCACTTAAATTTTCATTTACACTTTCTTTCTGTAGTTTTTTTTCTTCTGTATATTTATTAAACTAGCGACGCGCAGTTATAACTAGGAAGTCAATAGAAATAATTTATAAAAATTACAGAAGGCGATATTTTTGCATAATATTCATTGACTATTCCAGTTAACAACCACTGTCATTCGTCTTTCACTCTATATTTATTTTACAATTGTAGTATTTCTAAAACTTTATTACAAAAAGAATAATGAACTTCTGCTGCTTTCGACGGTGGTTTTCTATAACACAGGTGAAAATGAATAATGAATCCTTTGAGCAAGAGAATAAAGTATTGATAATAGAAAAAATTAACTAGATAGAAAGATCTACTTTCTTTAGAATCTTTCGTGAAATCGAAAGACTTTTCTAAATTTTAGAAAAAAATATACAAACAATCCACTTAATTCTTACCTTGAATTCTTTTTTTTAAGAATAGAAAAAAAAATGCTTTAATAATAAATTCGAAGGGATTCGAACGAAAAGAAAAGAAAATTAATAAAAAGTAATTAAATGAAATGGAACGTACTTTTCGTTAAAGGCTTTTATAGCCAAAAACTCTTTATATTACACAGTGAACTGCCACTTGGAGAGACACTTGTAAAGTAGCGCAAAAAGCACCGAAAAGCATGAAGGCGATTCTCGTTTCGAAACATAAAATCATAGAAATTATTTTGTTTTGTAGAATGTGTACGGAAATATAAAACATTTTCGTTTTATAAAGTAGTGCTTAATTTCGTTACTATTTTCTTTCCGTTTTTTCTTTTTCTTTGACGAAAAAAATCGCCACTTTATATAAACGAAAAATTATATTCATCTACTGACACTTTCCACGAAACTTAAGTCAAACGGCTTATTGTTGTGTCAGTGATTGATTGACACAATGGAAGAAGCAGCAACTGAATGACTCTCTTGATACGAGAACTGTGGGAAATGTTCTTGTTCTTCGGCAATGGAATTTAAACCACTTCCACTGCTTCGACAATTTTGATCCGGTGGCGTCAACTCGACACTTTCGCCGGTAAACATTTTATCGAAATAACGAGTGTCCGTGTCTGAATCAACCTGAGGTTTAAAGGGTGGCGGAATTTTCTTTTGCACCAAATCCGACCAATCTATCGACGAGAAAAATGCATGATCCATTATATCCTTTGCGTCATTTGGTCCTCCGCCGAGTCTTCTGTTTGGATCCTTAATCAGTAATCCTTAAATAAAAAACGGAATTAATTAAATTTAAAAAAAAACGGAAGTCTTTAATTATTCAACCTTTAAATTACATTATTACGTCTCTAAATTACATTTTAATTATTATAGTGAATCAATAGAATTAAATTCAAAATTATAAAAATTAAACCTACCACTCAGCATGTCCTTTGCCTCGTTCGAAATGTTTCTCGGAAATTTAACATCCTCCATTAAAATAAGAGTGAATAATTTCTCATGATCGGTATTGTAAAACGGAAGTCTGCCACACATCATTTCGTACATAACAACTCCAACTCCCCACCAATCAACAGCTCTACCGTAATCATTATCTTCAAGTACTTCAGGAGCTAAATACTCTGGAGTCCCACAAAATGTCTTCGTTGTTCGTCCTATAAAAACAAAATAAATTTAATAATAGTAATAAGAATCTCAAAAAAAATTAAATTATTTACAAAAATCAATATTAATAATAATCGTTGTATTCCGGTAATCTGTTCGCAGTTTAAACTTAGTTGTTTTTTTTCTTAACTTTTTCAATAATTTTTCTTTTTAAATATTTTCAATTTTAAAATATTCATGTACCTATTGAAAATTATTGAATTCTTGCAAAGAATTTTATCTTTAATTTTTTTTTTAAATAATGGAATTTCTTTAATAATTTTAATTACAAATTTTGAAAATAATTGAATTTTATGAACAACTTCTTTCAAGTTTTTAAAATAATAATATTATAATAATAATAATTGATATTAAACATTTATTTTATTAAAATTTAAAAAAAATTAAATTCTTTCGTGAATTTTTTTTTTAAATAATTGAATTTTTGCAAATAATTTTACTATTATTTATAAATATAATTGAATTGTTTTGAAGGATTTATTAAAATTTTAGAAAATAATTGAATTTTTTCGAAAAATATTATTAAAAATTTAAAAGAATTGAATTCTTTCATGAAATTTTATTAAAATTGTATTAAAAATAATTGAATTCTATTAAAATTTTTTGTAACGAATTAAGAAAGAAATTTAATTGTTTTAAATGGAATTGTTTTTGAATATAATTGAATTTTTGCAAAAATTTTGTAACGAATTAGGAAAAAAATTGAATGTTTTTGTGAAAATAATTGAATTAATGCAAAGATTTTATTATTAAAAAAAAATTGAATTGTTTCTAAAATTTTAGAAAATAATTGTATTCGTTGGTGAAATTTTATTAAAATTTTGTTTAAACATAATAATTGAATTTTTGCAAAAAATTTTATATTTTTCTATAAATAATTGAATTTTTCCGAAGAATGTTATTATTTATGAAAATATTTGAATTATATTGCGAAGAATTTTAATTAAAATTTTCGACATTAATAAATAAGAATAATTAAGTAGTAAATTAGTTAAAAATTGAATTTTGTTAAAGTTCGAATCTGAAATTATTTAAAAATTCATATTTAAAAATTAAAAATGTTATAATTTGCATAATATAATAATAAATTGAAGATCACGTTCCGTGCGCTAACGCGCGTAACATTTGTTAGTTCTATAATAAAATCCTTTCACAAGAATTCAATTATTTTAATTTTACAAGTAATAAACTTTTCTCAAAATTTCAATTATTTAAAAAAATTTAAATAAGTTTCTTCGAAAGAATTCAATTATTTTCATAAATAATAAAATTTTTCACAGGATTTCAATTATTTTCAAAATCTAATAGTATAATTAAAATTCTCAAAAGAATTCAATTATCTAAAAGAAAAATGTTATAAATTTAGTTGCAAAAATTCAATTATTTTCAAAAAATAAAAAATTGATTATTCGGAAATTCTTTAATTAAATATTATAAAAAATGAAAATCTCCAATAATTAAAAAAAAACTCAAATAAACTTATTTTAAAAAAAATTAATTCCACAGAATTGTCAGTTAAAAGTATGAAACATTTAGATTTTCAAAGATTTTAATTTAAAACCTTTTTAAAATCCAATTATTTCTAAAAATCCATGCTATAATGTGTTTAATATTATTATTAATTATGACCTAAAATTTTAACTAAAATTCATTTCTAAATCAATTTTTATTAAAAAACTTTTTATTTATAATTATTTGTAGACCTTAATAAAATTTTACTAGAATTCAATTATTTTAAATACAAAAATAAATAATTTATTGCATAAAAGAATGTTTCTTAAAATTGAATTCTCAAAAAGAATTTCATCAACTAATTTTTAAATATAATTGAATTCCTTTGACGAATTTTATTGTTTATAAAAATAATTGAATTTTTTAAAGAGAATTTTATTGTTTATGAAAATAACTTAATCTCTGTATTTAAAAGTAAAAAAATAAAATTCTTTAAATAATGAAATTTCTTACAATTAAATTAGAGAAAATTTCCAATTGTTTCAATGTAAAAAATTTGTTTTGCGTAATTCGACTATTTTCAAAAAATTTAATGTTTTTCTTTTAAAGAATTTTTAAATAAAATTGTTAAAAAATTTTAATAATTTTTTAGAAAAATAATTGTATGTTAATAAAATCATTATATTCCGGATGTCTGTTCGCAGTTTGAAATTACTTGTTTTTATTTGCTTTATTCTTTTCCAACTTTTTTTATAATATTTTTCTTTTTAAATGTTTTGCATTTTAAATTTAATGTAGGTATTGAAAATAAAATTAATTCTTACGAAAATTTTTTTGAAAATTTAAAAAAATAATTAATTTTTTTCGAAAAATTTTATTATAATTGTACTGGAAACAATTGAATTCCTGTGAAGAATTTCATTATTTATGAAAATAATTTAATTCTAAAGAAGCAATTTATTCAAATTTTTGTAAATAATCGAATTGTTTTGAAGAATTTCTTTAAATTTAAAAAAAATGTAATTTTTTTTAAATAATTTTAATTGAAAATTTTGAATTTTTTAAAACAATTTTAAAATAATCGTGTTTTTTTAATAACTGTAATTAAAAATTTGATTATTAAATTTTATTAAACTTTTTTGTCAATAATTGAATTCTTCCCAAAATTTTATTACAATTTTTGAAAATAATTGAATTCTTTCGAGAAGAGAACGCTTTTGATATTCAATTATTTTCCAAAAGTTTAACTCAAATTCTATTTTAAATCAATTCTTGTCAGAAAGTTCTTATACGATAATTCAATTATTTAAATACAAAAATAAATAATTGACAAAATTGTTGAATATCTCTAAAAATTGCAACTACATCTCAATTTATGGTGTTTTTAAATTTTTTGTAAAACCGACAGGTGGTTCACATTTTAAATTAAAAATTTGTTATTGTGAAAATTAATAAAAGTTTAATAAATTATTTAATTAATAAAATTAATAAAATATTTTAAAGTTTCGTTAATAATTTACCATAAGTAATGTCCTCTTTGCAAAGACCGAAATCAGCAATTTTAATGTGTCCCTCTTTGTCGAGAAGTAAATTCTCAAGTTTAAGATCTCTGTAAATGATTCCCTGAGAGTGAAGATAGCCAAGAGCTGATATTATTTCAGCTCCATAAAATCTGGTTCGTTCTTCACCGAAAATGCGAGTACGACTTAAATGAAAGAAGAGTTCTCCTCCATTCACATATTCCATCACAAAACATAGTCGATCTGCCGTTTGAAAACTGTATTTTAACGACTGAAAAAAGAATTTCATTTCATTTACAATTAAATAGAAAAAAAATTGGAATAAATATAAATAAACAATTTGTATATGTAAATAAAAACTATAATTAATATATAGTAGAAATTAGTTAATAATACAAGGCGAGTGAAAAAAAATTCTCACAATTAAAAACGGATGATTCGTGGTTCGTAAAACTCTATTTTCAGTGAGTGTGTGCGCTACTTCATCCTTTCGAATAATAACTTCTTTCCTTAAAATTTTTATCGCATACAAATGACCTGTTGCTTTTTCTCTACACAAAATAACTTTTCCAAATGTGCCCTTTCCGAGAACTTTCAAAAATTCGAAATTCTCCAGTGTCTGAAGAAAAAAAGGCAGCTTAATAAAATCAGAATATAAAAAATAGAAATTAGTATTTTTAATATAAATCAGTATTGAAATAATTTTCGCAAAAAATCGAAACACCTCTTTCGATATTTCAATGAATACTTACGACTTTCTTTTTGCCAGAAGTTTTACTATTGGAAGTTCCTTGAACACTAAATTTAGCGGATAATTCATCGATACTGCCGACATCGAAATCGGCTTGAAAAACTCCAAGTGAACCACACGAATTCGAACGTGTACTTCCAGTCGGTTCCATGTCAACGTCCTCTGACGACGAGGACTGTTGCATTTGTGTTTGTATTTGTTGTTGTTGCTGTTGTTCGTGTTCCACATTTTCTATTCTGTCAGCGACGTATCTGTGAATTTTCATTTTTAGTTTCATTAATCGGTACAATAAACCAGAAATAATACAAATCAGTATTTTTAAAATAAATCAGAATTTAGAATATAAATCAGTATTTAGAATATAAATCAGAATTTGTACTACAAATCAGAATTTTACAGAAATTTATTTTTGATCGGAACGTTAAATAAATCGATAACAATTGCAAAAATGAAGGGAAGATAAAATCTCTCTTTTCAAAAGAATTATAATGAGGGGAAACAAACCTAATTGCTGCTACCCAGTCTTCTCGGTCTTGCTCTGTGTAAACGTGAAACGTCCTCTCAATAACTGTCGTCCATTGCAATCCTCTGATTACAAATGTGTAAGGCTTAGGCTTGTCCATTGACATTATTTGACAACCTCGAACAGTAAAGCTATTTTGAGGTTCAGCTGCCGCTGCCATTTGTCGATCAGGTTTTGCCTTAAATCCAACCAGGGTGCCATCGTCTCTTAAGACAAAATAGCGAGGTCTCCAATTTTTGATATGTTCACCTGAAATTCACGAATCATGGTTACAATCAAATTTCGCAAATATTCTTAACTTTAAACACTAATTAAATAGAAAATTTCCCCGTGAGGAAGAAAAATTACAAAATAATTTGTACCATAAACAAAATTGCCACAAAAAATTTAATTTTCTTTTCCCTGATTTCCAGACTTTGACTTTTTCTTTGACAATAAAGAATATTCTGATTCACTCTAAAAATAAATTAGATACTCAAAAATATTTTTTATTATATTTATTTAGAAATTTCTTTAATTGTAAAATTATTCGAAACTATCAATAAATTAACTTCTTTTTTAATAATTATTATTTTTTTCATAGGAAAATAGATTTCAAAAACTTCAAATTCAAACCTTTTGAAATTCAATAACTTGAAAGAATATGAATAGAATTATTATAAAACATGAAGAAATGGATCCATTTCTTCATGTTTTATAAAAATTAAATAATTAAAATAATAATTAAAGGTGACCGAGGGATAAAATTATTATTTTATATTATAAAAATATTGTTACTATAACTTCTTAAAAATAATTTTGATCATTTAAATTCAATTATTATTTTCTAAAATTTTTAAATAAAATTCTAATAATTTATGATAAAGTTCTTTTGAAAATTTTTAAATTCATTTGTTTACAATTCAATTTTACCTGAAATTTCAATTATTCGGAAATTCTTCAATTAAATATACATTAGAAAATAAAAACTTGAAATAATTTTAAAAAATTGCGATTAAGCTTTTTGAAAAAAAATAATTCCATAGAATTTTTAATTAAAAGTATGAAAAATTCAAATTTTCTCCAAGATTTTAATTTGAAACATTTACAAAATTAAATTATTTCTAAAAATTGCAATTATTTGTAACATCTAAGTTAAATCTAAAACTTTATATGAAATTAATTTTTTTATCACTTTTTATTAGAAAATTCTACGAGAATTCAATTGTTTAAATACAAATGTAAATAATTATAAAAATAATTGAAATGTTAACTATTTTTTTTTTAGATATTTTAAAAATAATTAAATTTTATTAATTTTGAAAATAATTGAATTCTTGTGATGAATATTGTTATGTATTTATAAAAGTCATTGAATTTTGCAAAGAATTTTATCAGAACTTTTGAAAATAATTAAATTTCCAGGATGAATTTTATTATTTATGAAAATAAATAAAATGTTGACGAGAAATTTAAAAAAAATTTTGAAAATAATAGAATTTCTAGGATGATTTTTTTTATTTATAAAGATAATTGAAATTTTGACAAGAATTTTATTATTTATAAAGATAATTGAAATTTTGAACATATTTTTTTAAAAATGTTTAAAAGCAATTGAATTTTGCAGAAGAATTTTAATATTTATAAAAATAATTGAAATTTTGAGGAGAATTTAAAAAAAATTATGAAAATAATTGAATTTCTGCAAAGAATTATTTATGTAACTAATTGAATTATTGCTAATAATTTTATAAAAAAGTTTACAACAATTGATTTTTTCGAAAAAATGTATGCAAATTTTATTTTAAATAATTAAATTCCTGTACAATTTTCATTATTTTAAAAGATAATTGAATATTCGTTTAAAACTTTGTCAAAATTGTTTTTAAATAATTGCATTCTTTTGAGAAATTTTGCAATTAATTTTATTAAAATTCCTGGAAATAATTGAATTTTGTCGAAGAATTTTGCTATTCATTTAGAAAAATAACTGAAATATTGACTATTTTGTTTAGATTTTTTGAAAATAATTGAATTTCTGCGAAGAATTTTATTAATTTTGAAAATAATTGAATTCTTGTGACGAATACTATTATTTATGAAAACAATTGAATTTTGCAATGAATTTTATTAAAATTCCTGAAAATAAATGAATTTTGTCGAAGAATTTTGCTATTTAATTATAGAAATAATTGAAATGTTGACAACAATTTTTTTTTTTTTTATTCTTTGAAAATAATTGAATTTTTGCGAAGAATTTTATTAATTTTGAAAATAATTGAATTCTTGTGACGAATACTATTATTTATGAAAACAATTGAATTTTGCAATAAATTTTATTAAAATTCCTGAATATAATTGAATTTTGGAGTAGAATTTTCCTATTTATAAAGATAATTAAAATGTTGACAAGAATTTTTAAAAAATTGTTGAAAATAATTGAATTTCTGGAAAGAATTTTAATGTTTATTAAGATAGTTGAATTCTTTCAAATAATTGCGTTAAAATTTTTAAAATTGAAACTAATTTCAACAGAATTGAAATTAAAGTTTTTCAAAAAAATACTTCATCATTAAATGATAAGTAACAACTTTATGGCAGTTCTTCAATAAAATTAAGTTATTTAAAATAAATTATTGTCAGAAATAGAAAAAATGTAAGGTAACACAAAAGTTCAGAATTTTCTTATAGATTCTAAACATTTAATTTTTTTCAGTACTTTTAATTAAAAATCCCTGACTTTTCCCTGACCAATTCTACTTTCTCTGATTTTTCCCTGACCTGTGGCAACCCTGATAAAAAACAAAATTTGAAATAAATTTCCCAATTTTACTAAATGCTCTTCACAAAGAATTTGTAGATATTTAAATACATGATGCAAATACAAAATGGTCATTTTTATAAATTTCTTTAACAACAAAGAGGTCTTAGACTAATTACATTCTTTTCGTGTTAATGAGTGCTAAAAATAGAAACGTGGATTCTAACATAAATAACACGAGGAGCATGTAGATAACTAACATTACAAGTCATTCTGATTTATTCGATTAGTTAAAAATGTTCTAGTATTGAAAACTTTTTATGTATAAAAATAAGTTCAACATTTTATCGTTAAAACGATCAACAATTTTTTTTATCATCTAGAAAGTATTTTTTTTCAAGAAAAACAAACATTTGTTTTCAATTAAAAAAAATCAAGTAAACAAGATTGTTATTTTACATACACAGTAAATTTTCAATTTATTGCTTATTAATTTTTTCACAAATAATAATTTTATTTATTTAACTACCACTACATTGAATTTAATTGCCATAATAAAAAAAACTAGAGTATACATTATTATAATCGAAAAAAGCAAAAATCACTTGTTTTGATTTTAAGACATGTTTACTTCCTTGTTATAACTCTCGAGTGTCAAGTTTATCGTGCAGTAAATTAGTTGAAATATTTCTTAATTTACTTCATTGTTTATTATTCCGAAACAAACAACAATTACAAAAAATTCATAATAGTCCATCAGTTCAAATTTTGTTTTTCCATTTAAAAGTTATTCATAAAAAAATGAGTAGTTAGGTAAACATTAAATTAAACATTTGCATAATAAACAGTCACTTTCGCAACTCATTGAAAGACCCAAAGCACGTAAATCATAAGGCGCAAAAGCATCAATTTCCAATAAAAAAAAAAGAACAACATTGTAAAGAAAAAGAAGCAAATATCACAAGCTAACAATTTATCCAATATGATTGTGATGATCAGATTTTTCTAAATTAAAAATTCTTTGACAGTGAGAAAAAAGTTTAAAGCGATTGTGAAAACAAAACACTTTCAATATTTGTTAATCACTTTTATCTACGTAGGCATAAAAATTGGAAAGTTAACTTGAGGACGGAGAAAAAGAGACAGAGAGAGAGAAATAGTTGCGTAATATTTTTTTTCTTTTTTTTTTATGAACCCAAAGAGTAAAATTTTTATCAAAAAAGAATGAGGAATTTTTGGTAATACCCCGTTTCTGAACCCATCCTTCCTTGACGATACGAACAACACTTTGACTAGTGTTGGACGCTGCGACGCTCATCGCTGCGTCCCCCATTACTGGTCCACCAGGATTTTTAATTAAGCACAATATTCAAGATTAATAACAATTATTTCCGACAAATTAAAGGAACAACAACCCGACAAAAATATACCAAAACGCACTTAACGACGTAAACGAAGTGAGGTCACAGACGAAGTACACACAAACAACTGTCCAACTAACCTATAGGGGTCACTGTTCTGGCGGAAAATAAACACCATAAAAAATTAATAAAAATCGATATGTTTATAAATTTTACACTTATTGTTTTTACCGGATTTTGTAGTTTTGGGTTTAATTATATGAAATTATTATTTTGATAGTGTTTTTTTGATGAAAATAAAGAAAATAATGATGTTGCATTAGATGTGATTTTAAATTTTCTATGAGCAACAACGCCATCAAGTGGCTATAATTGGAAGCTGTTGTGTCACAGAGACACAGACAGTCACAGACTGTCACATCAGAAGAAGAATCTGTCAAATTTATTTTCTCTTTAAAATACGTTAAATACTCGAACTAGGTAAAGTAAATTGAGTATATCGAAATGATATTAAAATAATAAATGTCAAAAATTTATAAAGTGCGTTAATATTCAATTATTAAATGTTTTCACCACACCTTTTTCAAAAAGAGTTTTACAAAGAGGTTATGTTTCTTTATTTTTATTATTACTTTTTTCATAATATTTATCTTGTTTTTTTGTTTGTGTTAAAAAGGTTTTGAAAAGGGGTTTCTGTTTTTTTAAATCATTGGAGTTAAATTGGTGTTTAAATATTTTCCATCTTCATCAGCTCTGTATTTTTACATTTAATTTTCTTTATTATTTTCTCGACATTTTTATCATTTTTATCTGTGAGTGTTTCAAGTGTATTTAAATGAGTTATTTAATTTATCCTTAAAGCTAAATGTTAAAAATTCAGTTCTCGGCCCTTTAAACTTTCAATATAGAGACAAAGTTGTCTCTTTATTAAAAGTTTCATTATTGTTATGACAGGTATACGGGTCATAACCCCAAATTTCCTATTTTCTAATTTCTTTTTTTTCTTTTGTATTTCAGGACGAAAGGTAATAAAGGAACAAATGGAGGCCCACGATATTTATTACAATAGGACAGAATATGTCGAAACAGCTTCAGGTAATAAAGTCAGCAGACAAACGGTTCTCTGTGGATCGCAAAATATTGTCCTTCATGGAAAAGTAATTGTTCAATCGGATGCAATTATTCGAGGCGATTTATCGAATGTACGAACTGGGAGATATTGTATAATAAGCAAAAATGTTGTCATTCGACCACCGTTCAAAAAATTCAGTAAAGGAGTCGCTTTCTTTCCCCTTCAAATGGGAGATCATGTTTTTGTCGGCGAACGAGCTGTCGTTAATGCTGCTATTGTCGGATCTTACGTTTACATTGGAAAAAATGCCGTTTTAGGAAGAAGGTGTATTTTAAAGGATTGTTGTTATATTGAAGACGGTGCTGTCATTCCACCGGAAACAATTGTTCCATCCTTCACACGATTCGCTGGTAATCCTGCGACTTGTGTCGAAGATTTACCAGAATGTACACTTGATCTTATGTTAGATTATACAAAAAATTATTATCAACATTTTTTACCCGCCGCTGTTTAAAATGGAACATAATTACAAAATATGATAATTATTTCGTATTCAGTTTATGTATTTTTAATTTTTTAACTTTAGATAATATTTATTTTAAAATATGCACCGAAAGAGAAAATAAATAGCTTCGTATAAATAGTTTTTTCGATTTTTTTTCCCTACCTGTTTCTCATTCGCATTTCCCGCTCGATACTGGTTAGCAGATTTCCTTCCTTATCCAAGTCGAATATTAAATACGATACTTCACTTGTGTAAAAATTCATTTAAAGTTTCGTGTCTATGATTTTTTGTGTACATCGTGACGCCGCCATTTTTTGTTTCGTGATAAACTTCATGATATTCACACTGTTTGCGCGGAAACGTGTTGTGTCTAATTTAATTCCGAGAAAATAAAAATTGAAATAAACGCAATGTTTGTTGATTTCTTTTGACAATAGTGAGTGCATTAACACTTGAATATCGCCAAATGTATTTCTAACAATTGTGACGAGTTAAAAACTTAACCACAAATATGACGGAGATTGCGAATTCAACAATGTTTACGAATGGTAGACTCTCGTCCGGGCCCTCAAATTTGATACAACAGGCTTTCCAAGGGGTCGACGAGGAGGAGGATCATCATAATTTTGTCGCTTACATTGAAAGTGATGAGAATGGATCACAAATGATACGTTTATCGCCAGAGGCGGCTGCTCAATTTGGATTTAATGTCAACATGGAGGGTGGAATCTCGGGAGAGGTTACATTCCTACCGAGCGACGGAGATGCCGTACCTGAAATGCAAGCTGAAATTAATACCGATAATGTTTCTAATGTAAATTGTTCCAGGTATGTCGATTTTCTGTACTTAATGTTTGGTTTTTAAATCATTTTTTTTTGTTCTGCAAACTTTTTTTTATAGGTTATGTTCTTTTTTGAATATGAATGTTATTTTCCGCGCAAGTAAAAGAGAATTTGTTTTTATTTAAATTGAAAGTATTAATAAATTTTGTATTACCTTTAGATATGACGAGTGGTCGGTTGAAGGCCTGAATCAAACCGAAACTTTTCAACACGGCAACAACATGGGAACGAATATTTCCATGGATTTGGTAAACAGCGAAAATTGTCCTCAGGATTCTTCAACGCTACTAGAACATTCCAACGAATTAATGCAAGTAAATTCTGTTTTACAACAAGATAATATTTCAAATTTCGATAAAAATCAAATGACAAGTGCTGAGAATTGCATGCAATATGCTCTTCTCGACAATCAATCTTCCCAAACACCGTCTTTTGTCACTGTCACAACATCGCAAGGTCAGATTTTACAAAATCTACCAATGATGATACCCACGTCGCAATATTCCCTAAAACCCATTCAACCGATAACGAAGACTTCGAAAAATGTCAGAATTCTTCCCAATGCTGGAAAAAATATCACACCGGTCACCACAATTCACTCGATTAACAATGGAACAACCTCAAATGCGGTAATTTTTTCAAACGCAACACTCTTAAATACTGTGTCGCCTCAGGTTATTAAAGCCATGCCGATTTCGACTCAATTTCTCAATTCTAATGGCATTGTAACTGCTTCCGATTTTTTGTCCGGTTCGTGTGAAATTTCCAATCAGTCGGTCAATGGAACTCTTTCTGATTCTATGGCAAATTCGACGAATTTAATTAATAATCAACTTTCTCAATTGATAAAAGTAAATCCAAGTTCCATCCAAAGTGGAAATCTCCATCAGGTCGTAACTTCGGTGATGAAGACTACGAATCCATCATCTCCGACGCTGAAAAATACTCCGATATTCACAACCTCGAACGTCACGTCTCCGACTAATTTTCGAAAAACTACAAATCCGATTGTCCGTTCGGTAACAAAATCAGTCGCCAAAACGTCTCCAAAAGTCACCAATAATGTCGTGTTACAAAGTGCGTCTCAAGTAAAAGTCCAAGACATTCGCAACAATACGAGTCCAAGTTCCGTTCTTCGAACCAATTCCTCAGTTTCGCTCCTCAAGCAACAACCCAAAACGACCTTTGCCAAAAGAATCGTTAACTTACAATCGCTCAACAACATTGCAAATAATGTCCAAAATTTGCAAAAAACAATCAACTTGAAACAAAATACTGTGGAGAGAACTTGCGAAAAAAGCCCCGTAATGAAAGTACAAGAAGTCCCCAACCAATTACGAAACATAAAGAATCTAAAAAACATCAAATCCATGCCAAATGTTGTCCTCGAGAAAGTCAAGGGTTCGAATTATTGTGCTATAAAATCGGCAGGAAATTGTACACTCACAAACTCTACCACTCTTCCCCCAAGTGCTCGGATCGCCATATCAAAAACAAAACTAAACCCCCTTGTTTCAAACAACACAGTTGTCGCTACATTAAAATCAAATTCCCTAAATTCAAACGGAATTCTAAAAACCGAAACACCGGTAAAGCAAGAAATCGCCAAAGTCGATAATTCAAAACCCCTCGGAACGTGCAAGAATCCAATTCCAATCATCACGCACTCAAAGGGAAAAACATTCATAATCGACGACGGTGTCCCCGCTTCTCAAATCTCTCAAATTATTCAAAAATTCAACAGAGATCAACACAATTTCGATCAATATACCAACGAAGAAACCGCCAACACATCTAAAGAAAAAGTCGTCTATCAAATCGTCTACCCCACCGATTTGGACCTAATCGGCAGACGTGCACCCCAGGTAGTTCAAAAACGACCCGCAAAACGTGGTAGACCGAAGAAAAACTCCGTAAAACCGCAACCACCCCCTCCGTCCAAACCAGTATCCGAAGAGGATCGCGAGTTGAAGAACGAACGAAAAAAAGTCGTTGCCCGAACACGATCTGGTCGTTTATCCCGACCTCCGAAGCACATGGTTCGCGACTACAAGCATTTACATCCGGTCGACTTTACCCAACCGGATCTCGACGATTCCGACGGTGGTTACAGTGACTATAACACGAATGGCGACTTTCCCGACGACGACGAATCACCAAAGGAACTATTAACAGGTCTAGAAGTCCCGAAGCGAAAGGTTTCGAAAGAATACCTCTGTCCCACGTGCTCGAAAACCTATCTCGGTCGCGAGAAAATGATTTTCCATTTTCAAAAATATCCTAGTCATGGGAGTATGGACCAACTTCCGCCCCCGAAACCCAAGACCGAAGTCGGTCAAACGCTCGACACTCTGAAACGAAAGGGCAAGAAACGCGGTCCCTGGGGAACGCCGGAGGAAAAATCGGCCCGACGACAAGAGAAATTGAAGAATGCGATCGCCGTTTGTGAGAAGAATGAAATTTGCAATATCGCTGCAAAGCCGGTGTTGAACGCCTTATCTTTGTTCGATCTCATGGTTCTTAAGTCGGAGAACAATGTCATGAATTTTATGCGTATTTTGAAGGATCTGATGAACAATGTTCGGGAAAGAGCTTCTAGCATGCTAACCACTCCGAAAGAGGACGAGAGAAATACCACCGACATCATGGACTTGAATGACGATCTTCTCTGCGACGCTTTGGGCCTAAATCCCGGTCTGTACAAAATTAACAACGTCTTCGCCCGTAAGGAAAACAACCTCGAGGACGAACCTCCGCTAAAAAAGGCGAAAATCGAAGGTCTCGAGGAAGAACTCCTCCATCATCACCACCACCACCACCATCATCATCACCTCGAGGAGCGAGCCTCAAGCGGCTTCTCCGACGGTTCCGACATCAGTTCAAGTTCCAATTGTCCCGAAGTGCTCACAGCCCTCACCCTCGTTCCCCGAAACACCAGCCCCCACGACGAACCCTGCAAGCTAATTGGCTCGAAACTCGTCATTTCAAACCCGGAAATTCAAAACGAACTCTGTGAAAATAACGGTTTTCGCAAAATCGACATCAGTAATAACAGTTTTCAAAAATTCGAAACCCCCCTAGAGGATCAGACCTTCATCAAACTGCAATCGACCGACAAGAAATTCATCAAACTCGAAAATGGAATGATGGGTAACTATCAAAATAATCAAGCGCCCGAGGAAAATTTCCCCGAGATGCAAAGTTTCGCGAGTGCAACGGAAAGTTTCACGAAAAGCTTCCAAACAAGTGAGAGTAATTCGAACATTTTCGAAGGTCTCGAGAATTTAGAAGTGAAAATGAACTACGATCATTTGGCACAATTGGCAATGTTAAATGCAACTGGCGAAATGGAACAGTCGCATATGACGGAGCAAATTGAACAAATTGTCAGTGATAAATTAAGTGACATGATTCCTGGTGATTTACTCGAAAATAATCTAATTTCGAATAATTCAATAAGTTCCGATATTTCGTTTGCTTTCAATTCTTCACTAACCGAGGAATATCCATTCAGAAGTATTAGAAGTTAGATAAGTTTACAAGTACTTAAATAAACCTGTACAGTTGTAAATAGCTTTCTACGTTATTAAGAAAAGAATTTAATTTCATGAGGTTTTATTTATTTATTACAAAATACTTCTTTGTGTTAAAAAAAAAATTCGACTTTGAAATGTTAAAAGTTAAAATTATTATTTAAACTTCTACGAATTAAAATGATGAGAATAATTTATTTTGGTGTCTAATTTTCTATTTATTACCAGAATAATCACTAAATCTACTGAAAAAATTAAGTGATTGTCACAAAAAGCTCAAAATATCGATGTGTAAAAATTAAGAATAGATTCTATTTTTCGAGAAAAGAAAATTAAAAGAATAAAAAAATGTACAAAGTATATTTAACGAAAGCACAATTTATGGAAAATTGCAATTTATTTTTTCTCTAGTCTGTTCTGTATAATGTAATTTCTGTTTAGGGGCAGAAAGTAATGTATGTCTAGTTTTTCAGATTTGAAAAATTATTAAGAATGTAATATATATTCTTAGAATCGAAAAAAGATTCTCAAGAAGAGAAGCTTTGATTTTTAGAAAAGACTATAGAACTAGGAAGAGAAATTAGATAATAATTTATGTTCTTGAAGTTCATGGGGTAAGAAAACAAATTTTTGTTACAAAAAAAATCTAGAGCGGATTTGATCGAAAAAGGAAAAAAAAACGTCAGAGGGAAAAAAAGTGGTGACGCCGGGGAAAAAAAGCTCGCGCAGCCGCTTTGCGCCTGCGCAATCTTTTTTTCCCCTGCTTTTTGAAATTTGTCATTTGGAATTAATATTAATTATTAACATTGTGATCTTCATCTACGTAATAATTGCATAATAAAAAATAGTGATTGCGAGAATAATTTATGCAAATTTTTAAGAGAATATTTTAACGAAAAAGAAAAACAATCCAGTATTGTAAATGTTCTTTTTTTTTTTTTTACTGGTTCCTAGAATATGACATGATACCGGTTATATGTATTTTGATAAGATTTTACTCGAATACTGTAAATTTAATTGATAATTACAATAAGTTTTTTGTAATTTATTTTTCCTCAAAGTGATAAACGTGTCAAAATAACAAAATAACGAAAAATTATTCAATGACAACAATATTATTGAATAATCACAAAAAAAAAGTATTTTTTCTGTTTGTTCATAAGCGGTTGAATTTTAAGTCTCTGAATTTTCATCTGTGGCGAGTTTTTAATTTTTTCTCTGTCAATTTCGTTTATGCTTTTAATAATGTTTAAATAATGTTTACATTCGATTTTTGATGCAAGCTATTTTTTTTTCTTTTTTTTTTAATTATTTTATAATTAGTTTTTGATTACTGTACCTTCGCAGTTAAACTGTAGAGACTATTTTGATATTAAGAATATTGTTTCATCGTCAACTATTGTCGCTTTTTAGTTTAATGAAAAGGACCTAATTTTAGTGAAAACTAATTTAATAAAAGTATTTTTTAATATTTAAAAGTATTCAAAAATATTAAAAAATATTTTAAAATATTTAAAAAATATTAAAAAATATTAAAAAATATAAAAAAAAATATTAAAAAATATTAAAAAAATATTCAAAAATATTTTAAAATATTTAAAAGTATTTAAAAATATTAAAAAATATTTAAAAGTATTTAAAAATATTAACAAATATTTAAAAATATTTAAAAATAGTAAAAAAATATTTAAAAGTAATTAAAAAATATTTAATAATATTTATGACTTAATTATTTAAGAAAAAATAATAAATAATTTATAATTTCTATAAATTAATACTATAATGTAATAAATTAATATTAATTATTAATTTAATCTATTTAAATTTGTCAATTACGTAAATAAAAATTAAACATTGTGATAAGATATATTTTTCTATCGATAAAAATGATTGTAATAAAAAAAATTTGATTGTAAAGACTTTCGAAAATTTGTCACAATTTTTTTTTATTCTCCTGAAAAGTGACGATGGTTGTTGATGAAAGTAAAAGCAACGTTAATATTTTTTTTTTATGACTTTCAAATGTGACGGTATTAATTTTAAGAATTATTGTAATAAGCGATTTTTGAAAAAACTTGTAATATCGATCTCAATTATTCATTATCTGTGAGCTCTTTCTTTATAATAAGAATACGTACTTCGTTAATTTTATATTTCTATTATTCTGTGTATATCGAGTATATATTGAAAAAAAAGAAAAATAAATAAAAATTGTCTTAATTCCAGTCTTTTCATTTTTCAAGGCCTTTAATTTTATTTTACAATCGTACTTTGATAACTAAAATAATAGTTTCATTTTTGAATTAGGAATTATTTTATTTACTTGACTAAATAACGATATTTAAAAATAGTTTTAATTTGAATAAATTTATTTTTCTTTTAAATTCTTTTCTTGCAGACTTTGCACTTGATAATTAATTTTAAGAAAGTAGCTTTCAAACTAAAAAAAAGTTGTAAAAAAGGAGACATCGAAAAATTAAACTTGACGACCAAAAAAACTCATTTTAGAATCTTCACAAAACTGACAAAAATTCTATTCTATATTTTATTTTCCTGACTTTTTCCTAATTTTCATAAAAAATATTTACTTCTTTCTCATCCTGATAATAATTCAATTCTTGCAACGATTTTTATTATTCATGAAAGAATATAAAATATTTATAAAAATAATTTTAATTCTTGCGGAGAATTTTATAAAAAATTTTAAGTGATTTTTCTCAACTAATTTTATGCAAATTCTGAATTAAATAATTGAATTCCTGGGAAATTTTTAATATTCATGAGAGGAATTATTGAATTCTTATGAAGATTTTTACAAACAATTTTTTAAATAATTGAATTCTGTTTGGAAATTTTATGAAAATAGTAAATATTGAAAATCATTGAATTGCGAAAATTTAAAAAAAATTGAATTTTACAAAGATTTCTATTAAAATTTTTGACAATCATTGAATTTCTGTGTGGTATTTTATTATATTTTTTTAAAAATAATTGAATTCCTAAAAAGCATTTTATTATTTATGAAAATAATAGAATTCTTGTGAACGATTTTTAAAAAATTTTTTAATATATTCGAATTTCCAAGAAGAAATTTATTACTTTTAAAAATAATTGAATTCTTGTGATAAATATTGTTATTTATGAAAATAATTGAATTTCTGTGAAAAACTTTATTAAACCCTAAAAGAATAATTGAATCTTTTCAAAAAAAATTAATAAAAATTATATTTAAAATAATTGATTTCTTACGAACAATTCTATTAAAATATTTGAAAATAATTGAATTCCTGTGAAGAATTTTATTAAAATCTAAAATAATAATTGAATTAATTCAGAAAAATTTAATTGAAATTCTATTTAAAATAATTGAATTCTTTTGAACAATTTTATTAATATATTTGAAAATAATTGAACTCCTGCGAAAAATTCTAAAATTTTTGTAAAAAATTGAATTCTTCCAATGAATTAAAAAAAAATTTTTTTTTAAATAATTGATTTTTTCGAAGAATTGAAATTAAATTTTTAAGAATTTTTTTAAACATGTTTTGAGCAATTTCTGTAAAATTTTATTAAAATTTTCAAAAACAATATTAAAATCCTGAGAAGAATTTTATTATTTATGAAAATAATTAAATTACGGCGAAGAATTTTATTAAAATGTTTAAAAAGAATTGAATTCCTGTGAAAAATTCTAATATTTTTGTAAAGAATTAAATTCTTCCAAAGATTTTTAAAAAAACATTTTTTTAAATAATTGATTTTTTCGAAGAATTGAAATTAAATTTTTAAGAACTTTTTAAAACATTTTTTCCGCAATTCCTGTAAAATTGTATTAAAAATAATTGAAATCCTGCGATGAATTTTAATATTTATGAAAATAATTGAACAGTTGCTAAGAATTTTATTAAAATTTTCAAAAATAATTGTATTCCTGAGAAGAATTTTATTATTTCTGAAAATAATTGAATTATTGAGAAAAATATTATTAAAATCTTTAAGAAGAATTCAATTTCAGTGAAAATTTTTGTTATTTTTGAAAATAATTGAATTCTTTATAGGAATTCTATAAACATTGTTTTTAATAATTAATTTTTCCGAATTATAATAAATATTATAAAAATTTTATTTTAAATAATTGAATTCTTGTCGAAATTTTTATTTTTGAAAATAATTGAATTTTTCGATTAATTAATTTAAAATAGTAACAAAAATTATTAAAATTCTTCGATGAGTTTTATTATTTATGAACATAATTGAATTCTTGTTTAGAATTTTATCAAGAATTTTTTTATAAAATTGAATTTCTATGAAGAATATTATTATTAGAGAAAGTAATTGAATTATTGTGAAGAAGTGTATAGAAATTTTGTTAAATAATTAATTTTTTCGAAATTTTTTTGAAAATGCTATTCTCGAGGCTATTCTGAATTGAATTCATGTGGAAATTTTATTATTTATGTAAATAATTGAATTTTAGATGAATTTTATCAATTTTTTTTTAGCTAATTGAATTCTTTTGCGAAATTTTATAAAAATACTAGACATTGAAAAGAATTGAATTTCGAATATTTTTCGAAAATAATTGAATCTATTTAAAGAATTTGTTTATAATTTTTAAGAATAGTTTTTTTGATTTCTAGTATTAGCGAATGTAAAGTAGTGTAAATTCTCAAAAAAAAACAGAAATAGTAGCTTTTAGTGACTGAAATCTAAAAAAATTACCCAAATAGTAGCATAACGTAAAAAAGTAGTTAAATAGTAGGTTTTAGTAGATAACTCCGAAGACTGCTACCATTAAAAATTACCAGTAAATTAAAAAATTTCCTTTATTTCTTTTTCGTTGAAGTGAATCTTAATTGAAAGTAAAGTAGAAAAAAAAATAAAAAAAATTAGGAGATAAGTTCGTTATCTGGTAGTCAAGAGGGTTGCATTAAATGTAGGTAGGATAAATGACAGATGCCTTGAACTGGGTCAATCAATACCCATACGATGATGGAGAGGCTCTCGCATGGGAAAGATTGTAAGAGTCGTGCGCGTTGATACTGACAAAAAGCAGCTTTTTTCTTTGGGAAAAAAAGCTCGCAAAAAATTCTTCGAAAACATGTCAATTGACGATTTGACAGTTGTTGCAATTCAAGAAAATCGCTTTTCTGATGTAATCAATCATTTGAGGCACAACTTTTTTGCCGACGAGCCACTCAACAAAGCTGTTGGCCTCTGTCAACCTGGAGACAGTCATTATGAACTTGAGCAGCACTGTCTACAGACATTGAAGCAAGGATATTCAAGGATGATGATTGACAATAAAGGAACGGTATGCATCCCATTCTTCTCTCTCACAATTCTCTCTGAAAAATAAATTCAATTAAAAATTAAAGCAAATAGACAAATTTTTTTGGAAAAAAAAAATTATTTCAATTTTTTAATTTTGTTATGACAATTTTTTAATTTTTTCTCAATTTTTTTAATTTTTTCCCCATTTTTTAAATTTTTTTCACATTTTTTAGTTATTTTTATTCTTGGATTTTTTTCGACTTTGTAATTTTTCTGGACATTTTTTTCCAACTTTGTTTTACTGTAAAATCTGTTTTTAAAACGAGAGATTGAATTCTCGAATTAGTGGATCTAATTTCGAGTTGATGATAATTTCTAATTTGTTAATTTAATTAATTTACCTGCTAATTAATTGGAGTCGTTCTAACAGATAGCTGGCACAGTTTTGAATGGAATTGTTCAAAGAGGCGAGCGTGAAGAGGCCGAGAGACGACTCGCCGAAATGAGTGATAAAAATTTCCAGACAATTTTCGGTCTCCTTTATAAAGTCAACGAAAAAATTGATCTCTTCACCAAATATAATGTGGACGATCTTTTCGAATGTCGTATTCTAAGTGTTGACGATCGCTTTCGAGGAAGAGGATTAGCCAATGCTCTCGTTCAGGAGAGTCTGGAAAATGCCAAAAACGCCGGCTTCAAGGTATTTTATCTAAACAAAAGAGTATTTTTTCTTTTTGTTCAAAATTTGCTTTGAAATTTGTCTTAATTTTTGTCTTGAAACTTGTTTTAATTTTTGTTTTGGAAATTTTTATTTTGCTCAATGTAATATTTGCCAATCCAAATAATGAATCTAAGAAAAAAGATCACCGACTACAGGAGAGCTTGACTTTGAATTATTGTTTTGAATGTGTTGTGTAATTTTTTTTTTTCGAAGACCACAAATTATGCCCGCTAAAGCTCCTTTTCATTTACGTGTCGTATATTTTTTTCTCTTTGTTTCAGCATGCTCTTCAAATAAAATATGCATGGGATTTTCGTTATGCCAAGGTGTTGTTACAATGTTGTTCCATATTCATCATCGTCATGAAAAATCTGATTATTCAAGGGAAGAGTCTCCTTTCAGATTTTCAAGGCAGACGCAACAGGATTATTTTCCCAGAAAGTCTTTCTCAAATATGGATTCAAGACGGAGGCTGAAATTCCATATTCGGATATTGATGTTTCAATTCGACCGGGACCACCGCATCAGGCCCTCAAACTTATGGTCAAAATTCTAGAGTGAAGTGGTGGGAGAATTTATTCAACACAAACGCAGAAAGTATTTGCAGTTATATTCGTAAACGAAAGTAGAACTGAATTTTTCTTTTTCTTTTCGTCATAAAGCGCCTGACAATAACAGCTCTCTAAAAAAAAAAACAAACACAAAAATTATAAAGTTTATAAAAACGAACGAGCTGAAATGTCTATTTTTTGCAAATAAGTTCACAAAGGACAAAGGTATTTTTTTGGAAAGTTTGAAATTATAGTGTATCTGAAAAATTGAGTAAAAAACATTAGGGACAAATTGTAAACAAATTGTAAACAATTGCCAGCAAATTCCAGCGAGTCGTCCAATTTTTCAAGATTTTTATCTTCATCATTTAATTTTGCGTCGTAGAAATTAAGCCTAATGTAAGTTACGTAAACGTCTATATTTAATTCCGTATATATAAAAATTATCCAGATTTATCTGAAAAAAAATTGACTGCCCATTGTCCTCGTGTTCATAAGAATTAAAAAAAAAATAAATAAGTGCACTGGTTGCCATATTCAATAAACCTTGAAATTCAGGGTTAAATTAAATTTGCCTTTTCGGAGCGGGCGTTCGATAAAAAGTTAATTTGATTTATCCAGGAAATGAAAGAAATTGTCCAGAGCTCAATCAACTGATAAAATTAAAAATCTAATAAAATCAAAAAAGACTATTAATTGTATTCCCACCGGAATACAATTTATTATTTATTTATATAGTGATTTCACCACCGTTTATAAAAAGGCAATTTTCGTTAACAAAAATCGCCCGTCCTGAAAAGATAAAAAAATAATTGTAGATTATATAGTTAAATGTCAAAATAAAACCAAAACGAAAGCGTGCGCATCGTCGAACATCGTTCGATGGAAACGGTACCTGGAAGACGATAATTGTCGTCGAGTAACTTTCCAGCTCTCAACGACCAAATTTAAGCCAAAAAAAAAAAAAAAAAAAAATGGTTCTTTGCGTCAATGAGCAGCAATATTTGTGCCATACTTTCCATGTTGCGATATTCTTGTAGATGTATAATTCAGCGCACAGTTGTACAAAAACGATTTCCACATGACGGGTCCACTTGTATACAAGTATTAAAAAGTATTATACGAAATATCTAAATAATATTTTTGTTGCTGTCTCGCATTATAGACAGATAATAGATAATGCACCTTATTTTGTAAGGATGTCGTCAAAATAAATATTCAAAGTTTATTACAATGATATAATATATGACAAACGTGACTCTTCCTTAAAGTAAAGAAAAAAAAAATTTACTCTCGAATTAAAAATCAAATTTATTAATGTTAATATCAGTATTAATAGTTAATATTAACAGTATATCAATTTATTGAATATTATTTAAGTTAATTAATAATATTAAATAATAGTAATTACGGTTAGTATCACATTTAATAATTAAAATTGTGTCTTTCTGAAGCAGGGTGTCTACTATTTTCGTTCAACAAAATTCCCAGTTATTTCCCGACTTTGTTCTAATTTTTTCTTTACTCATCAAATTTAAATTTATTTGATTTCGAACATAAATAAATCTAAAAATGGCTTTCAAAATTTTTATAAGAATTATTATGAAAATTAAATTCTTTTGACAAGTATCTTTAAATTTTTCTTTTTTTCTTAAGAATTTTAATTAAAAATTTGAATAATAATTCAATTAAGCAAAGAAATTTTTTTAAATAATTTTGTCTGTTCATAATTATAATTGAAATTTTGATTAATTCGATTTTATTAAAATGTATTGATAACTAATTACATTTCTTCAAAAAATTTTACTATTTATAAAAGTAATTAAATCCTTCCAAAGAATCTTATTATTTATGAAAATAATTTAAATGTTTCAGTAGAATTTTATTAAAATTTCTGAAAATAATTGAATTTTGGAGAACCATTTAATTATCTAGAAAAATAATTGAAATTTTGAGGAGAATTCAAAAAAAAATTTTTAAACATAATTGAATTTCTGCGAAGAATTTTATTACTTTTGAAAATAATTGAATTGTTTTTTTTTTAGAATTTTTAGGAAATTTATGAAAATAATTGGATTCTTGTGAAGAATATTTTTTAAAAATATTATTCAAAAGAATTTAGTAAATCTGAAGAATTTTGCTATTTATGGAAATAATTGAATTCTTGAGAAGCATTTTTTTACAGTTTCTAGAAATAATTGCATTCTTTTGACGAATTTTAATAAAATTTTTAAGAATAATTACATTTTTCAAGGAATTCGTTAAAAACTGTATTAAAAATAATTGAAATTCCGCAATGAGTTTAAGAAAATAATTTATTTAAGAAAATAATTGAATATTTATATTTCGAAGAAATTTTTAAAAATAAAATTATAATAACTTCCCTGGATTATTTTCGAAAAATTTAAATAAAATTCTTTAAAAGAAGTTAATTATTTTAAATATAATGTAGAGAAATTTCAATTATATACAAAATTTTCAATTATTTGCTTATAAAATATTCAATTATCTTGAAACAACAGAATTGAAAAATTTCAAAAATCTTATTTTTGAGAATTTTCAAAAAAACTTTGCGAAATTAAATTAAATTCTTTTTGAACAATTTCTTTGAATTTTTTTTAAATATAATGGAGTTTCTTAAATAATTTTAATTAAAATTTTTGAAAATAATTGAATTTTATGAACAATTTCTTTAAAGTTTTTAAAATAATCGTGTTTGTTTATTAAAATAATTGAATTGTTTAATATAATTCAATTCTTTCGAATAATTTAATTAAGATTGCATTGGAAATAATTGAAATTTCATAAAAAAATTTAACAAAAATATTCGAAATTAATTGAATTCTTCAAAAATAATTTTATTAAAATTTCTAAAAATATTTCAATTTTAAAAAAAATTTTATCAATTGAATTCTTTCGAGAAATTTTATTAAAACTGTATTAAAAAAAATAATTCAATTCCTGTAAAATATTTTATTATCCATGAAAATAATTGAAATTTTATTAAAATTGTATTAAAAATAATTGAATTTTTATAAAGAATTTAAGAAAAATTTCTGAAAATAATATTGAATTATTTGAAAATAATTTTATTAAAATTTTTGAAAATAATTGAATTGTTTCGAAGAATTAAAAAAATTTTTTAATAATTGAATTCCTTCGTGAAATTTTATTAAAATTATATTAAAAATAACTGAATTTTTGCAAAGAATTTGGCTATTTATTTAAATATAATTGAATTGTTTTGAAGAATTTAATAAAACTTTAGAAAATAATTGAATTTCTTAAAAAAATAATTTAAAAATTGAATTCTTTCATGAATTTTTTTTTTTGAAAAGAATTGAATTTTTCCAAAGATTTTACTATTTAAAAAAGTAATTTAATTATTGCGAATAATTTTATTAAAATTTTTTAAGTTTTTTAAAAATAAAATTATAATAGCGGTGACTAACTTCCCTTGATTGTTTTCGAAAAATTTAAATAAAATTCTTTAAAAAAAGTTAATTATTTTTAATAGAGTGTAAAAAAAATTTCAATTCTATCAAAAATTTTCAATTATTTGTTTATAAAAATTCAATTATCTTGAAACGACAGAATTGAAAATTTTCAAAAATCTTATTTTTGAGAATTTTCAAAAAAAAACTTTGCGAAAATTCAATTTTATTAAAAAATATTAAGTGTGTATCTTTTTTTAAATGAAGTAAGAAAAATTTTTAATTATTAATCTTCGTACTAAGAAACGTGAATACATTAGAATGTGACTCTTTATAAAATTTAATTATTTATCAATTATTAAATTAAAATACTTTGAAAATTCGATTTGTTAACAAGTTTTTAATGAAATTTTTTAACAAATTTAATTATTTTCAGTTGAATTTCACGAAATTTCTATTAATTCGATAATTTTTTTAAAATTTATTTACTAACTATATTTGAATCAGTGACTTATTTTTTACTATCAAATTAATTATTTCTAAGTAATTCAAATTTAGAGAACAGTATAAATATCTATAAAAATTGAAATAAAAAGTGATTTTTTAAAAACAAATTAAAGTAATAAAACTTTTTTTAATTTGGTGAAAGAATTCCTGGCTTATTCCCGGTTTTTCTCGGTCAAATTAAATTCCTGGCTATTTCCCGGTTAGTAGACACCCTGTGAAGAAAGGGATCCAAAACTCAAATATTTCAAGTGAAAGTCTTTTTTAAATCAAAAATATTCGATAAAAACTAATTTTAGTTTTACACATTTAAACAGAAAGTTTTAATTAAGCTAAAAATGACACAAAAGTTTCTTTTGCTTCTTGGGTCCCTTTCTTCGGAGCGAATCACAATTATAAAAAATAGTATATAATAGAAAGAAATTTTATCCAAAAGGTATGATTTATAGGCAAATAAAGTCTGCACACGAACATTCTATAAAGTTGATAACGTTATTCGAGATAAATTTAAAGAATATGTTATAAATAAAGTTGCACACAAGAAAACTCTAAACAGTTAATTGTATACATAAAACCCTGTCACATTTTTCAGGAAATATAATTTTCGGCGGCAGTGTTTTTAAACTTTTTATACTTTCTCGCGAACTGGAACGAACAATCTAATATTGTTTCCGGAAAAAAATAAGATTGAAAAAAAAGTTCTTCGGAAAAACGATTTGGAAAATAGTTTCGAATAAACAACTCGGAAAAATGTTTGAGAATCGATAGAAATTCGAATTTTTGGAAATGTAAAAAAAAACTATAAACTCTGTGTTAAATAAATGAATAAACTTGAAATCTTGTAAACTGTTCATGTGCGGATATTATTGCTTCATACCGTGCTTTTTTGGAAAATAAAAAGAAGAAATTTTTTTTAAAAACGAAAACTAAATACCGAAAATTTAAAAAAAATTTTAAATACCGAAAATGATGGTTAGAAATTAAATTCAGAAATATATATAGATACATATATATTTCAGTTTTAAAAATTAAAACTAAAAACTACAAAAGTAATAAAATTAATATATTTACACTAAAAAATTGTAATTGTTGTTTAGAAATTAACTTGTTGTCTAAAGTAACGTTGAAATTTGTTAGACTTGAGTTGAAGTTTCACGGAATATTTTGCTTGAATCCTCTGCATGTACTTGATGTCCCTCGCCTTCTTGGCGGCTGCTTCCTTTTGTGTTTCAACCCAGCCGAGACCACGGTACATTGACAAAATTTTGCTGAGTTTTTTGCTCTTTGATATTGCGAGTGGTCGACTTGGATCTATATTTTGCTTATAATAAACCATCAATGACCGATGACCGATGACACTTCCAGATGGTAAAACTAATTGATAATCATTGTCCTCTAATTCGGGAATTTCAACTTCCGCATCTGGATCATTGACTTCAGCGTCTGGATAACTTGTTGAGTAATCATAGAAATCTGCATATTCAGCTAGAGCTTCTCCTTCATGCAACATTTTACAGTGACCTTTGTCGATCATGTGCGCTCTCGCTGCGTCTGCACTGCGAAATGCCCTTCCTGCAAAAATTAAGAGAAAAAAATAATTTAAGGGACATTTTAAATAAAATTAATAAAATTAAATCAACGTCATATTATAATAAATTAATTTCACATCATACATGAAACTGAATCTTTTAGAATTTGAAAATTGCAGTTCTTTAAAGTTAGCGATGAAAAAGATGTTCAATTACATATATTTACGAATTTTTATAATTGCAAATTTAATTGAAAACATCAATAACTTCTTTTTAAAATAAATATTTAATCATTATTTTTTCGTTGGAATTAAAATTCTTCGAAAGATTCAAATTCAAATCTTTGAAATTCAATAACTTCTTTTTTAAATATTATTATTATCCGAGTCTTCGACTCGGAGTGCTCGTTTTTTCCATGTTTTACAATAATTAACGATAACCGAGTGATAAAATCATTATTTTATATTATAAAAATATTTTTACTGTAAATACTTTAAAATTATTTTCATCATTTCAATTCAATTATTATTTTCTACAATTTTTAACTAAAATTCTTCTTTAAATCAATGAATTTTAATAATTTTTGAAAAAGTTCTTTTCGAAAATTTGTAAATCCATTTGTTTACAATTCAATTTTACCAAAAAATTTCGATTATTCGGAAATTCTTCAATTAAATATGTATTAGAAAATAAAAACTTCAAATAATTTTAAAAAAATTCAATTATACTTTCTTAAAAAATTGATTTTACAGAATTGTTAGTTAAAAGTATGAAAAATTCAAATTTTCAAAGATTTTAATTTGAAACGTTTTCAAAACTAAATTATTTCTAAAAATTCATACTATAAAACTTTTAATATACACTTATTATCAAAAATTTTAATTTAAATTCATTTTTAAATCAATTTTTATTAGAAAATTCTACGAGAAATCAATTATTTAAATACAAAACTAAATAATTTATTAAATAATTTAATGTTTCTTAAAATATAATTCTTATAAAGAACTCTATCAACAAATTTTTAAATAAAAGAATTCTGTTGACGAATTTCAATAAAAATTTTAAGAATAATTACATTTTTTGAAGAATTCGATTAAAATAAATATAGTATTAAAAGTAAATGCAATTCTGCGATGAGTTTTATTATTTATGAAAATAATTGAATTCCTTAAAAGGATTTTATTATTTACAAAAATAATTGAATTCCTGTAAAAAATGTTATTACTTATGAAAATAATTAAATTTCTGAGTAGAATTTTATTAAAATTTTATTTAAATAGTTGAATTCTTTTGGAAAAATTTATTAAAATGGTAGATATTGAAAATCATTAAATTGTGGAAATTTTTTAAAATAATTGAATTTTGGAGAAAAATTTTTACGACAAATTTTTTAAATTTTTCAACAGAATTGAATTTCTGTGAAGAATTTCCTTACTTTTGAAAATCATTGAATTTTTGTGATGAATATATTGTTATTTATAAAAAATTAAAAATAATTGAATTTTACAGAGAATTTTATTAAAAATCCTAAAAATAATTGAATCTCTGAGAAGAATTTCGATATTTTTCAAGATAATTGAATTCTTTCGAGGAATTCGATGAAAATTGTTTAAAAAAGAATTGATATTTAGCGATCAATGCTATTAGTTATGAAAATAATTGAATTATTGAAAAGAAATTTATAAAAAATTTGTTAATAATTGAATTCCTGTGAAATTTTTTTTTTAAATAATTAAAAATGTCTTGCGTAGAATTTTATTAAAATTCTCTTTTAAATAATTGAATTCTTTTGAAAAAATTGAATTGAGGGAAAATTTTGAAAATAATTAAAATTTGCAAAGAAATTTATTAAAATTTTTGAAAATAATTGAATTTTGGAGATAAATTTGATTATTTTTAAAGATAATTTACATTTTGACGACAATTTTTAAAACATTTTTGAACATTATTGAATTATTAAAAAGAATTTTATTGTTTATGAAAATAATTGATTTATTGGGAAGAAATTTATAAAAAAAGTTTGTAAATATTAGAATTTTTGTGAAATTTTTATTATTTATGAAACTTTATTAAAATAGTAGATATTGAAAATCATTGAATAATTGACGAAAATTTTTGAAAATAATTGAAATTTTGACCAGAATTATATTAAAATCTTTGAAAATAATTAAATTGAGGAAAAGAATTTTATTATTTATACAAATAATTGAAATTTTGACGAGAATTTTGAAAAATTTTTGAAAATAATTGAATTTTGGAGTATTTTATTATTTATAAAAATAATTGAAATTTTGACAAGAATTTAAAAAATAATTTTGCAAATAATTGAAATTTTGCCCAGAATTTTATTAAAATTCCTGAAAATAATTGAATTTTGGAGAAGAATTTTATTATCTATAAAGATAATCGCAATTTTTACCCGAATTTTTGAACGTAATTGAATTTGTGAGAAGAATTTTATTACTTTTGAAAATAATTGAATTTTTGCAATAATTTGTAACTTCTCCAAAATTTATTTTTTTTTCTTTTAACTAAAATCCTTTTAATAAATGCTTTAAAAAAAAATTTAATTAAATATATATTTAAAAATGTAATTAATTTCTGAAGAATTTTAATCATTCAAATTTATCAAAAATCTGAGTTTTTAAAAATGTCTGATTAAATTTATTGAAAATTGAAATTCTTTAAAATTTCAAATTAAAACCTTTTGAAGTCCATCTATTTACGAATATTGTAAACGCAACTTTTTTAAAATTCAATTAATTTTGATATATTTAAGTAAAATCATTCATTAAATAATTTCTAAGTAGTAATTTTATAATAGTTCTCCAAGAATTAAGTTATGTAAAAAGAAATTATTGTCAGAAATAGAAAAAATTGATCGTTTTGTATTAGAATTCGTAATAATTTTATAGTTCATGAGGCAAACAAAAAAGATGCCTAAATTCAGAAATTTCTTATGAATTCTAAAAATCTAATTTTGCTAGTATTTTTAATAAAAATTCTTGACTTTTTCCTGAATTCTCTGACATGTGGTAATTCTGTTCTGGGTAATTGAAAGAAGCGAAATTAAAGTCTTGTCACTAAAAATAAGAAAATTTCTTATTTTTAGTGATAAAACTTTAATTTAAATTTTAAGGTACATAGTTGGCGTCGACGCCAACTTCAGGGACCTAAAATTGCAACAATTCAGTGTAAATGTAGAAAAAAGAAAAATACCTTTATCATTACACCAGAGACACATGAATCCGCCAAAGACTTTTTCCCCCAAGTAAACTAGTAATCCTCGCATATCTATACAATATTCCGGATCAGGTATAAAAAAAGTATGAGCTTCCGTCATGTGTTTAAGATTTCGAACCCAGGATCTACTGTGATGACTGCAAAACAAACAATCATTGTGTTGCACTGGATTCTCAGTATCATTCATCCATTCATCAGAATCGACAGACTCAACATCAGAATCCGTGTCCATGTTCTCCTCAATTCTACTCTTCTTCGCCGAGATATTCTCCATCTTCTCATCCTTATCCTCATTCTTAACACCACTAGATGACGACTGATCACTAAGCTCCTCCGTCGAATTTGCATTCGAAACCTTAGCCGATTTTTCTTTATGCTTCTTGGACAGTAAATGATTATTATATTGATTTTGCGTACTAAAATTCTTTCTACATGCTTTGCAATTCATCTCCTGACTCTGCTGTAATTGATCATCTTTACCACGTTGTGCGATAACTCTCTTTTGAAAATCTTCAACTCCAACGGGCGGTAATTCGACTACTTTTCTCTTTAAATTATATCGATGCCAATCAGATTTGTAATGTTGCCTTTGAACTTCCAAATCTCTGAATGCAACACGACATGTAATACACGTGTAGGGTATCGACACGTTACTCATATTTGCGGTTTGTTTAATTAAAAAATAAAAGCACCTTATCAAACTACTAGCTTGTAGTTGATGCTGTAAAGAAAAATTAATATTAAACAAAACGAAGAAGAATAAATATAGGGGATTTTTAAAAAAAAATTCAATATTAAGGTTAGGTTTTGCATTGACAATTTAAAAGCTACTTTAAATTGTCTATAGTTTATCAAATTTATGTAAATTTTCTCACCTCTGTTGAACAGCTTGTTCAAATTGGAGCACCTTATCTAATTGAATTTCAGAATTTGCCTCATATCATGAAATAATTAATATCAAATAGAAACTTGCTCGAAAACCACTTCACGAAGTAAACACTGAGATTAAAATGGCGGACTATATCGATCGATGACGTCATAGACAAAATGTCGTTCCTTCTAGCGGCTAATTTGAAAATGTAAATCTTTTTCCTAATTTATCAATAATTAATTTCCTAAAGTTTAAAAATAAAAAGATTATATGTACCTAACACTTCATAAAGTTAATTAATTAAACTTTTTGAAAATAATTGAATTTTTTTTTTAAATAATAGTGTTTATTTTTTAAAATAATTGAATTGTTTCGGAAATATTTTATTAAAATTGTTTAAAATAATTCAATTCTTTCGAAGAATTTAATTAAGATTGTATTGGAAATAATTGAAATTTCATAAAAAATTTTACAAAAATATTCGAAATTAATTGAATTCTTCAAAAAGAATTTTATTAAAATTTCTAAAAATAATTGAAAAAATTTTATCAATTGAGGCCTTGGATCCAATAACTCGCCCGACGCTCGAAGGCACGCGCTAATACCAGTCGGGTAGCAGTGAGTGGCCCAGAGGCGCTCACTACTCACTGACTGGCAGTCGCGCGTTCCTCCGAGCGTCGGGCGAGTTATTGGATCCAAGGCCTCAATTGAATTCATTCGCGAGAAATTTTATTAAAAATAATTCAATTCCTTTGAAAAATTTTACTATTCATGAAAATAATTGAATTATTCCAAAGAATTTTATTAAAATTTTTTAAAATAATTGAATTATTTCGAAGAATTTTATTAAAATTTTTTAAAATAATTTAATTCTTTCGAAGAATTTTCTTAAAGTTGTATGGAAAATAATTGAATTTTCATAAAGAATTTTAACAAAATTTTTGAAAATAATTGAATTATTTGTAAAGGATTTTATTAAAATTTTTGAAAATAATTGAATTGTTTCGAAGAATTAAAAAAATTTTAATAATTGAATTCCTTCGTGAAATTTTATTAAAAATAATTTAATTTTTGCAAAGAATTTTACCATACATAAATATATAATTGAATTTTTTCGAAGAATTTAATCAAATGTTAGCAAATAATTGAATTTTATTGTTATTTTTTATAACGAATAAAAAAATTTAATTCTTTCGTGAAATTGTTTTAAATATAATTGAATTTTTGCAAAGAATTTTACTATTTATAAATATAATTGAATTGTTTTGAAGAATTTAATAAAATTTTTGCAAAGAATTTTACTATTTATTTAAATATAATTGAATTGTTTTGAAGAATTTAGTAAAATTTTAGAAAATAATTGAATTTCTTAAACAAATATTATTAAAAAATTTTTTTTCAATTGAATTCTTTCATGAAATTTTTGTGAAAGTAATTAAATTTTTCCAAAGATTTATTAAAATTTTAGAAAATAATTGAATTTACAATTTTTTTGCGAAGTATTTTATAACGGATTAAGAAAAAAATTTAATTCTTTGGTGAAATTTTTTTGAAAATAATTGAATTTTTGCAAAAAATTTTACTATTTGTAAAAATAATTGAATTCTTACGAAGAATGTTAATTCTCTTTACGTATTTTCACTTAAAAATTAACAATCATATCCCTAAATTTCTTGTCATAAATAAATTTCCAATTTTTATAAATTTAAATTTTTTTATTATTTACAAGTCTTGCTTTCATAAAAAAAATCAGAAATCATTAAAAAACATAATTATTTCATTACCAAAAATTAAAATACATAAACCTATGGTTCAAATAAAAAAATAATGTCCGCATACCCCATAAGAGAGCTCGAGTTGAATTTAAACAATCAAAAAAATAATATCAAAACGGTAAAAAAAAAATTGTAAAGAATTTTACATTTGAGGTTCTTATCACTTCGAGACTTCGCCGACACTTAATGAGTTATAAATGCTTTTCTGGAAAATTAAATCCGAATAAACATAACATTTTAAAAATTTATACACTAATTTACAATTAGGTTATTTACTATTTTTTCTTTTCGAAGACGTAGAATTACAAACTATAAATATAAACATTTTTCCAATTGTATAAATTGTATTCACAGGCGAATTTCCATAAATTCGTAAATTAATAAATATACACATTTTTATAGATCTAGATGGCGAATAGAAAAATTTCGAGATCAGGAAAAATAAAAACCTAATTCAATCACAGTAAAATGTAAACAATTGCCGTCATTAACATATTAATATCTAGATAACAAGGTGGAATTTGATAAAAGTCTTGATCAAATTTGATAAAAATTGATCAAATTAAATATCTATAGAAGACAAGCAATGGCAAGAATTCACAATTATTAAAAATAGTTTTTCCTTTCTTTATATAAAATTTAAAATCTTTTAGATTAATATTGTAATTGTTTTTTCATAGTTAAAATTTAATATTAATTTGTTTCTTTTAAAAATGTTTATGTACTAACAGATCGATATTACTCCGACACCAACACCGCCTTCATGGGCACACATTGGAGTTGCGAATGACCATGTATTCGTGTCGGGATCATAGACTTCAACTGTCGAAAGATTTGAGTCTCCATCGTAGCCACCGATTGCCCATAATTTCCCCATGTTCGCTACAAGTGCCGCACGACTACGTCTTACTGTCATGGGTGCGACAAATTCCCATCTGTGGAAATAGAATTTAATTTAATTTAAGGAAATTTTCAATTAAATTTAAATGAATTCTTTAATTTTTTTGCTTCAATTTGATTTTTAAGAAAATTGGTTTGTATATTTAGATTATTAATTTTTAACTAAGTGTTTAATTTACATTATTTTCATTTCAGACGACAGTAGGTTTTGAAAATATTTGAGAAAAAAAATATTTCGTTTATTTGAACGTTCAAAACTTTGGGGAAATATTTTTCTTACTTGTCTGTAACAGGATCGTAAGCTTCCACGGACTGTAAAAACGTTGATCCATCGTAACCACCGCAAACGTATAGTTTACGTTTAAGGGCAGCTACACCTAGACGACATCTTCTCGTCAACATTGGTTTAACTACTGTCCACGTGTCTGTCTGAGCGTCATATCGTTCAACCTGGTAACAAAAATCAAAATATGATTTAAATAAAATACGGAAATGATTTTTTTGTTTAAATTTGCAATTCCCCAAAAAGAATTCAATTATTTTTAAAATTTTTAATAAAAAATTCTTCCGTAAAAATTCAATTATATTCAAAAATACTAAAATGTTTCCTCATGAATTCAAATACTTGAAGAAAATTAATATAAATCTTTGCAAAAATTTTCAATTATTTTCATAATAAAATTTTTCGCAGAATTTCAATTATTTATCGTACAATTTTAATTGTATTTTTCGAAAGAATTTAATTATTTTCTGTAATAATAAAATTTTTTGTCACTAGGAATTAACTTTCAATACAATTTTCAAAAAAATTTCTCGAAAAAGTTTAATTTTTTAAATAGAATTTTAATTATATTTCTCGAAAGCATTTAATTATTTTCAAAAATTTTAATAAAATTCTTCAAATGAATTCAATTATTTTCAATAATTTTATCGAAAACCTTCAAATGAATTTAATTTTTTAAAAATTTTAATTGAATTCTTCGCAGGAATTCAATTATTTTCAGTACAAATTTCATAAAATTTTTCACAAGAATTCAATTATTCTCAATTATTATAATAAAATTATTTGAAATAATTCATTTTTTGGAAATTTTTGTAAAATTCTTCTCAACAATTCAATTATTTTCATAAATATTAAAATTGTTAGCAGGAATTCCATTATTTTCAATAGAATATGTATAATAAAAATTTCTTATATGAATAAAATTCAATTATATTCAAAAATTTAGATAAAATTGTTCGTAAGGATTCAATTCTTTTATTTGTTTTACAAGATTTTAAATATTTTCCATAAGTAAAAATATTCTTCGCAAAAATTCAATTATTCTCATATCTAATAAAATTCTTCAAAAGGATTCAATTTCAAAAATTTTAACAAAATTCTTTGCAAAAATGAATTATTTCGATAAATAATAAAATTTTTCGTTAAAATTCGATTATATATTTTCAAAAATAATGAAATTCTTCGCAGAAATTCAATAATTTTTAATAAATATTGTACTAAACTTTCTTGATAGAATTCAAAATTTTTAAAACATTAACTTATTACAGCAAAATTATGTAAATTAATATAATTTCTAATTTTCTACATTTTTCTTCCAAAAATAGTATAACAATTTTCTAAATCTGAATTATAATAAAATTTCTTATTGATTCTTTATAAAACAAGATAAAATAAATAAAAATCAGTTTTTCTTATAAAATAAATTAACATTACTCGTATTTTTCATGAATCAAAATTAATTTTTCTACAATAATTTATAAATAACTACTTTTATATTTTAGAATGTTAATTTAAATTTACAAATTAAAATACGATTTTTAATTCAACAAAATTTTGTTTTATTAATGTTTTGTTATTATTTAATCGTCCAAAAAATTGAATTAGAATTTCATTAAATTTAAAATTTAAAGTATACAAAAAGAATAAATGTAAAAAAAAAAATCAAGAACAAACATTCGAAATACAACTATTAATATACAGATAGAAAAAAGTAGTTTATAAATAATTGATAATAAATAAATTATTTACCGAATCAAAAATAGATAATCCATCGTGACCACCTAAAGCATACACGTAGCCCTGAAATGCAACAACTCCGCCAGCAGAGCGATGCTTATTCATGGAACTGACCATTTTCCATACATCAGTTTCCGGGCAGTATCTCTCAACAGTATCTAGAGACGCCACTCCATCGTATCCTCCACAAACGTAGAGGAAATCGTTAAGAGCAGCCGTACCTACAGCACTAAAGGACGAATATTTTAATTTTAATTATTCTTCAATTAATCTTATTCATAACGAATTTTTTTACTATAATTGACCCGATCAGAGAACCGGTTATAACAATGATTTTCAGATTAAAAAATTGAAATCTGTTCTTTGATCGGGACCTTAAGCTTTGATCGGGAATTAAGTTTATGATTCTAGGAGAATAATAAAATTATTCTCATTCTCATCTTTATTTATTAAAAGATAAACATACCTTCTTTTACAGTGCATAGGTGCAATAATCTTCCACGCTTTCAAATTCGGATGGTAAACCTCAACAGTGGACAGTCTGTCGGAACCATTATAACCACCGAATGCATAAAGTTTATTTTTATGAACAGCTACGCCAACTCTACTCCTCAACATTGTCATGGCTTCCGAAGTTTTCCACTTTTCAGTGAAAGGATCATACACCTCCACTGTACTCAAAGAATCGCCAAATTTCGTCAATCCTCCAACGGCGAAAATATGACCCATCGTATAATTACAACATCTAGGACTACATTTGAAACTATCCAACAAATATCTTCGATGTGGCAGAAGATAATAGTCTTTCGCCTCATCCAGTAAATCCCTAAAAAGCAAATCAATTATAGAAATAATTATTCACATTCTTAAAAAATATATTCTTAAAAAAATAATAAAATATTGTTAAAAACAAAATTTCTAAAACGTTTTTTCAAAATATACCTGCATTGATGAGAGCTCCTGATAAGATCCTCCTTCGCCACATGATCAGCTAAATATTCCGGCGAAAGCAGTGGTAATCTCACAAGAGCAAGTAATTCGGGTAAATTTTTCACTCTATTTTCCTCATCGTGTTTTACCCATCTGAGAACTGCTTCGAAAACTTGTTGCTCCGAAGTTATATGTAATTCATCGCTAGAAACTAATTCCTTTAAATCACAGATCGATAAATTTAAGTATTCATCGGCCAAGGAAACTTCTTGAAAATAGTGTTGGATATATTTATTCGCTTGTTCCAAAAGAATTGCACAGCTTAGTGTATCTGCAAAATGTCTTATTCCCAAAACATTGTGCGGATGAAAACGTGTCTGTAGAAATTCCGCACAAACATCCTTAACTTTATGCAAGGCAAAAAAGGAAGCTCCGATCATTATACTTTGAACGTTTTCATTCGTGAGAGTGATACGTCCACTGTATGCAAAATTTATCAACGCTTCCAAAGCACTGAAAAGAAAATAAATTCACGGTTTAGTTAATTTATTTTTAACGAATATTTAAATTATTTAATTATAATAATACAGGGTTGTCACAGGTCAGGGAAAGTAAAATTGGTCAGGAAAATCAAGGAAAAATCAGAGATATTTATTAAAAATACTAGAAAAATTAAATTTTTAGAATTCATAAGAAAATTCTAAATTTTGGTGTAATTTTTTGTTTACCTCATAAACTATGAAACTACCACGAATTCTAATAAAAAACATTCAAAATTTGTTTCTATTTCTGACAAGAATGAATTTTTTAAAATTATTTAATTATTTCAAAAGTTTTAATTTTAACGCAATAATTATCTTCATAAATAACAAAATTCTTCACTGAAATTCAATTATTTTTAGGAATTTTGATAAAATTCTTTGCAAAATTCAATTATTTTTATAAATAACAATTATTTTCAAAATTTTTAACAAATATCTCGTCAAGAATTCAATTATCTTTATAAATAGCAAAATTTTTCACAAAAAATTCAATTATTTTCAAAAAATTTTTTAAAATTCATAGCAAAATTTCAATTATTGTCAAAGTTTTCCGCATTTTAATGATTTTCAATAATTACAATTATCATAAAATTTAACACACAATTTAATTATTGAAAGCAATTTTTTGATACAATTCTACGAAAACATTCAATTATTTTTATAAAGAATAAAATTTCTTTTAGAAATTCAATTATTTTCATCGGAGAATTTCAAATATTTTTAATACAATTTTAAATATTTTAATTTCTCGAAAAATGCAATTATTCTTAAAAATTTTATTAAAACTCGACGAAATAATACAATTTTAAGAAACATTAAATTATTTAATAAAATAATAAAATTCGTTTCAATAATTTAATTTTTTTCATAAATAACATTTCATTCGTCGCAGAAAATGAATTATTTTCAAAAAATTTTTAGGTAATTTTGTAAAAAAAATTCAATTATCTTGGTAAACAACAAAATTCTTCCTATAAAATCAATTATTTTGAGGAATTTTAATAAAATTCTTTAAAAAATTCAATTATTTTAATAAATATTAGAAAATTATTAGAAGAATTCAATTTTTTTGAAAAGTAATAAACTACTTTTGAGAAATTAAATTATTTTCAAAATTTGCAAAAAAATTCTCGTCTAGGATTAAGTTATTTTTATAAACAGTAGCGAAATTCTTCACAAGAAGTCAATTATTTTCAAGAATTTCAATAAATTTCTTGTCAAAATTTCAATTATTTAAACAAAATTTAATAAAATTCTTCCTATGAATGTAATTATTTTCATAAATTATTATTAAAATTTTTCTCATGAATTCAATTATTTTTAAAAATGTTAGTTTATTTTACTTTATTTTATTTATTTTATTTTACTTTATTACTTTTTAAATTCTTTAAAAGTTTTCAATTATTTTCAAAAATTGTGATAAAATTCTTGAATTCAATAAATTTCTGTAAAATTTGAACTAAATTCCTTAAAAGAAATTGATTACACATTTTCAAAAGTTGTTAATAAAATTCTTCATAAAAATTCAATTTTAAGAAACATTCAATATTCAATAAATTATTTTTCTGTGTATTTAAATCATGAAATTCTCGTAGAATTTTCTAATAAAAATTTGTTTAAAAATAAATTTCCGTTAAAATTTTATATAATTGAATATTAATAGCGTGAATGTTTAGAAATAATTGAATTTCAAAACCATTGCAAATTAAAATCTTTGAAATTTTGAATTTTTCGTACTTTTAACTTAACAATTTTATAGAATTAATTTTTTTGAAAAACTTTATTTGAATGTTTTTAAAAATTATTTCAAGTTTTAATTAGGTATTTAATAAACAATCGAAGAATTTCCGAATAATCGATGAATTTTATAAAATTAAATTCTGAAAAGATGGATTTGAAAATTCTCAAAGAACTTTTTCTAAAATGATTAAAAATAATTGATTTAAAGAAGAATTTTAATTAAAAATTTTAGAAAATAATAATTGAATTGAAATGATGAAAATAATTTTGAAGAAGTTACAATAACAATTTTGAAGAAGTTGAAATAAAAATACTCTTTATAATATAAAATTGTAATATGAAATTGTGATCTAATTTCTGTGAAAAAATAATAATGATTAAATATTTAAGAATGAAGTTGTTGATGATTTCGAAAAATTTTACAATTAAAGAAATTCGTAAATAAATTAAATAGAACATTTTTTTGTTTATCTAATAATTTTTAGAGTGTATAAAAATATTCTGTAGGGTCAGAAAAAAATCAAAATTCTGTCTGGAAATCAGGGGAAAAACAAAGTTAAGTTTCTGTGGCAATCCTGTAATAATTAATTCAATTATTTAATTTGTTGGAAAATTTATAATTACACTGAATCAACTCCTTGTAAAGTTATATCCTTTTGTTTACTTTCGGACATATTATTCAGGAACATAGCATTAAAGTAAGGAATTGTCGCAGCCAAAACAATTCTGTGAGCACTGAAACTTTGATCGTCTACCTACAATTTTAAATCAATTTCAATTAATTTTATTCCTACAATTTATTTTAATATTATTGATTATTTATTATCATATCAATATTATTTATTTAATTTATTTACAATAAATATTATTGATCTCCAACAGGGTATTTTATTTATTCAAATGCACCCAATCGAATTAATATTCAATCAGTAAATATTTTAATAACATATAATTATTTTAACCCATTTACAAACAAAAAACCCTGTCAACCAAATTTAAAAATTCTAAAATAGCACAAAATTATTATAGACCAACAAAAAAAAAAAAAAAAAAATCTGGAAAAATCGAAACATTCGGAAAATAACTTTCGAAATGTCAAAAATACAAAAAGTGAGGTTATGTTACCTTGAGAGTCACATCACAAAGTTTCCCCTGCCTTCGAATATCCTCGAAAATGGGAAATCCTTGAGCACAATGATCAGGTTGCTGATAAACAATTTCCTTTTCATTTGTAATTTCTCCATGTTGAGAATTTGAATAAATGACCGAACACTTTGGCAGTAATTTGTCTTTGTGTTTTTCTTTCGGTGCGCCCATTTTGACAGTTCGTGTACGACGTGTTGTTGTTAACGGGTGTGGATTTGACGTCGTAACACTTCCCCGAGGTAGGTCCTGTGACCTTGACAAATTCTGCATGTAACCGTTTAAGCCTCTCTGCAAAGCCGACGCATTTTGTGCTCTATGCAAAAAATCAGCCGCCACTTGCTGTTGAGGAGGCAATGAATTACGCACAGTAATTCTCATCTGTCAAAATCCTGTATATTTTTGAAAGTTAGTATTTTTTATTAATCGCCTTAATGTCTCAATACTTTTTTTCAATTGGAGATTTTTATTTTGAATTCGAATTTTAAGAAAATATTGTAAAATTGATAGTATTTTGAAAGTTTCAAACGGGTATTTAAATTTGTTCTATTTATAGGTTAGAATTTGACAAACAATGAACGAATTCGAACATATGAACATAAAACCGTTTTTTTTTTTAATGTTTATGTCAAATAAACCTTTAAAAACACGAATTTTTCTAAATAAATAAACTTTTCTAAAAGGTTTTTTGGAAAATATATTCGTCATAAATAAGTTTGAAACGTAAATATTTTTACACCATTTAATTACCTATTTTTTGAGTTTTTAAACAATCGTTCGTTTTTAATAAAAAGAAGAAGAATCGTCCATTGTTATAAAACTTGCACACTAATTTTTGACAATTATTCTTTACTTAAATTAATTCCGTTGAAGAAATGTCACTGTTTCGTTAATAAATTTTCTATTTTTTCGGTAAAATATTTATTCGTAAACTAATTTGGAAAAATGAAAAATTTTTTTTGATTTATTTGGAAAATACACTTCTTCGAAATGTTCGACTTGAAATGAATTGCAGAAAGGCAACGAACTCCTTTTAAACCCAGCTATTTCTTTGTGTCTAAACTTGGAACGAGAAGAACATGATGTGCTTTAAAAGCTTGCAGCAGTCAGTAGGATTATATAGAATGCTTTATTTGTTCAAAAAACATATTAGAAATGTCCCTGTGTGGGGTGGTATTTCATTCTACAGTATATGTTCCAAAATTCAAAGAGTATATTAATATACCAAACGAATACCGACATTCTTTGAATACAGAAGTAATTTTAGAGACTTTTTTTAAATTTTCTTTCTACATAAAAATATTTCTAACAAATTTTTTTATATAGGTAGTTTGAGTTTAATATCAAGTCTTATTTTCGGATTTTCCAAAAGTATGAAATATATAGAGAAAAGTCAAAAATATACTCACAACGTAGTTTATTTTGTTAAACAATAAGATGCGCCAGGAATAATTACGTCTATTGAATTTCTTTGTTTTTCCAAATTTATGTTCAGTAATAATTTTTTTATACGTTAAATACTTAACAAATATTTGTAATTTCTAAAAAAATAATTCTTTCAAATATTTATTTATTGAATTTTTAGCAAAAATATAATCTTTCTCAATTAAAATCAAAATTTAAACTGAGAAAATTTCTTGTACTCTCGATTTCACTTATTACTTATAACTTTCAACTGTCATTCAAAAAAAAACTTTACAACCTTTACAACTATTATGAAAACAAACCCGTTGACATTTTTAAAATTAACATTCGATAAATTGGTTTTTAATTAATTCAATTACTTTATTTTTTTTATATCCACTATTTTTTTTTGTTTTCGAGAATAAAAAACCTAAAAAATGGGCTATTTTGGATTTAAAAAAATATTTTTTTTCTTTGCTTTCATGAAAAATTATTTACTTTTTTTTAAATGAGCCTTAAAATTGAATAATCCGTGAGATGAGTCGCTTTGCTATATTCTAGATCCGTTGTAATAGATAAACAGGTTTTGTTGACGCGAAAATAGCCATATCATCTTTGAGTTCAAAGTATAATCATTTTTTTTTATTTTATTACAATGATAATGTGACATTTTATGCCATTATAATATCGAAGTCTCTTGCTGCATATAGCAATCATTTAATTGTGCTGAGTGCATTTATTTTTTACTCTTCGTTCTCTTATTTTTGGAGCTATAATTGCATTTATACATTTTATACAGTTGTAAGTAGTCACATAAAACAGGATATTTACCTTTCATTTCTGAAAATTAATTTCACTTGCATTTTTTTGCACATTACAAACTCTCATTTTTTTGCATAACTGAAATAAAATTCAAAAATTTCTATATTTTTATTTAGTGTAATATATTTTATTGTGTACAGTATATTATGCAATATAAACAATTTTATTATTATTATTTAATTATACTTTTTCTATTCCACTACTTTAGTATTTTATCTTTTTCTTTTCTATTAATTTGTTGAAATTCGTCGTTTGTACCTAGTTTTTTTTCTTCTTTTTGACAAGTTGAAAATATTTTATTTTTCAAAATTATGGATTCCTTTGGAATTTTTTTTTTTGCGAAATTGTTGCATTTGTGAAAGTTGTTTAAGACCTTTGAACCTTAAGTTTATCAAAGTAGGAATAAAAATCTGCTAGGAATGTCATTTCTGAGATAAATTGATACGAGAAGGTAAATAAGTATATTATTTTTGTCAACAATTGTTTTTAGATTTGAAAGTTTAGAAAAGAATAAGAAAAAAGAAAAGTTTGTAAAAGAATTTTCGTTCAAATCAAGGTGAATTCCATATTTTTAAATATCAATCAATGAAATCGTAAAAATAAAAAAATGCATTGATAAGTAAAATCATTTTGACAACAGTGTATAAAGATTATTTTTTATAATTTTGTTTTCCAAGACTTATCTCTCTTTCGAAAAAAGATAAATATAAATAAAAAATAGTAATTTTTTTATTAATATAATAACAAATTACTAAAAATAACCTACTATTTACTACTATTTCTGTTTCTTTTTTTAGAATTTCCACTACTTTAAATTCCCTAATACTAGAAATCAAAAAACTATTCTCAAAAATTATAATCAAATTCTTTAAAACGATTGAATTATTTTCAAAAAACATTCGAAATTCAATTACTTTCAATATCTAGTATTTTTATAAAATTTCGCAAAAAAATTCAATTATTTGAAAAAAATGGATAAAATTCGTTCAAAATTCAATTATTTTCATAAATAATAAAATTTCCACAAAATTTAAATTAATTTAGAATAGAATTTTAAAAAAAAATAAATTATTTAACAAAATTTTTATACAATTCTTCACCAAGTTGAAGTCCACAACGTTTATCAACGAAAAAAAAATTGTTCACTAAGTAAATTAATTAAAAATTACGCAGCAATATTGACACAAAAATATTTAGAAAAAAAAGATTGATGCTTATGTTTTGATAATAATAATTGTTTTACAATTAAATATTAAATTAAAAATAATACTTGATTGCATTAAATAAATGTTTCTCGTTGATCAACGTTGTGGACTTCAACTTCGTCAATTCTTCACAATAATTCAATTACCTTCACTAAGAATAACATTTTTCAGGGAAATTCAATTTTTTGATAAAATTCTAAGCAAGAATTCAATTATTTTCATAAATCATAAAACTCATCAACGAATTTCAAATATTTTTAATAGTATATTAAATTAATAATTCAATTATTTTCACAAATAAAGTTTTCCACAAGAATTCAATTATTTAAAATAAAATTTTCATAATTTTTTATTATATTTCGAAGAAATTAATTATTTAAAACAAAGTTTATAAAATTCTTATGAAGAATTCAATATTTTCAAAAATAACAAAATTTTTCACGGAAATTCAATTCTTTTTAAACATTTTAATAAAAATTTCCGCAATAATTCAATGTTATTTTCATAAATATATAATAAAATTTTTCTCAGGAATTTAATTATTTTTAAATATTTTTAATAAAATTCGTCACAAAAATTCCAATATTTTCACAAATTTTAATAAAATTCTTGACTAAAAATCAATTATGTTTATAAATTACAAAAATCTTTGATGATATTCAATTATTTTTAACAATATTAATAAAATTCTTCTCAAAAATTCAGTAATTTTGATAAATAATTAAATTCTTTAAAAAAATTTAATTATTTTAATAAATCAGAAAATTCTTGCTTGGAATCCAATTATTTTCATAAATAATAAAATTATTCGCATAAATTCAATTATTTTTAATACAATTTTATAGAAATTTCTCGAAAGATTTAATCATTCTTAAAAATTTAATTTCGATTCCTCGAAAAAATTAATTATTTAAAAAAATGTTTTTTTTAAATTCTTTGGAAGAATTCAATTATTTACAAAAATATTAGAATTTTCCATAGGAATTCAATTATTTTCAAATATTTTAATAAAATTGTTCGAAAGAAATCAATTATTTTGAATACAATTTTAATTAAATTTTTTTGAAACAATTCAATTATTCTTTTAGATTTTAATAAAATTCTTTCCATGAATTCAATTATTTACATAAATAATTCTTTGAAAGAATTCAATTTTGTCGATAAATAACAAAATTATTCCGGAAAATTCAATTATTTTGAGGCATTTTAATAAAATTCTTTGCATTAAATTAGTCGAAGGAAATCAATTATTTAAAATTTTTTATAAAATTCTTCGCAAGAATTAAATTATTGTTATAAATATTTAAATTCTTTCATATGAATAATAAAATTCGATGCAGGAATTCAATTTATTGTCAGGATAAGAAAGAAGTAAACATTTTTTATGAAAATTAGGAAAATAAAATATAGAATGGAATTTTTGTCAGTTTTCTAAAGTGTCTAAAACGAGTTTTTTTGGTCGTCAAGTTTAATTTTTCGATAGCTACTTTTTTGCTATACTTTTTTTAGTTTGAAAGCTACTTTTTGCTACTTTTTAAAAATTAATTATCAAGTGCGAAGTCTGTACATACTATAATATTATTTTATGTTTCAGATATTTTGAAAAATGGCTCAAAAGATGAAAGTCTACGTGGTTGGAGTGGGTATGACGAAATTTGAGAAACCCGGCAGAAGAGATAATTTCGATTACAATATTATGGGAAAGGAAGCGACTTTAAAGGCCCTGGACGATGCTCATATTTCTTATAAAGATGTTAAAGCCGCTTGTGTTGGCTACGTTTACGGTGATTCAACTTGTGGTCAAAGAGCACTTTATGAAGTTGGTCTAACCGGTTGTCCCATTTACAATGTAAATAATAATTGCTCAACTGGATCGACGGCATTAATGATGGCAAAGCAAATTGTCGAGAGTGGTAATGCAGACTGCGTTTTAGCTCTTGGCTTTGAGAAAATGGAGCGTGGATCATTGTCATCGAAATATTTCGATCGTACGAATCCTCTCGATAAGCATGTCACTGTTATGGCTGACATTGCAGGTCCGTTTTTAAACTTTTAAATTTAATTCCTCTTTTTTCAATTACGAATCTTTCTTCGGAACGCGTCACATTTTTTATTTTCAGTTTTATTTGGCTATTTTAAGAATATTTTTTTTTTAATAATCAATTTTATTTGGCTATTTTAAGACTATTTTTTCAAAAAATAATCAATTTTATTTGTCTATTTTAAGAATATTTTTAAAAAAATAATCAATTTTATTTTGCTATTTTTGAAATATGAGTAATTGATTAATTTTGTATTTATTTAACGTTTTATTTTGAAGGAATCAACGATAGTCCAATGGCTGCTCAATTATTCGGTAACGCTGGTATTGAACACATGAAGAGATACGGTACAAAACCAGAGCATTTTGCCAAAATCGCCTACAAGAATCATTTGCATTCCATGAACAATCCGTATTCTCAGTTTCAAGATAAATACACTTTGGAGCAAATTATGAATTCTCCGAAGGTCTTTGGACCACTGACGAAATTGCAATGTTGTCCAACGAGCGACGGATCGGCTGCTGTCATTTTAGCCAATGAGGAATATGTTAAAAGACACAATCTTCAGGCGCAAGCTGTGGAAATTGTGGGAATGGAAATGTCGACAGATTTGCCGTCCACTTTCGAAGAACGAAATAGTATCAAAGTAGTGGGGTAGGTACAGCACTCATCTACTAAAACCTACTATTTACGATTTGCTACAATTTGGATACTTTTTTTTTAATTTTTGAGACTAAAAGACAATTGTTTTCTATGTTTGAAAATTTGCACTACTTTAAATTCGCTAATAAATAATTAAAATAAAAACAATTATTCTCAGAAATTTTAATAATATTCTTAAAAAGAATCGTTTGAAAGAATTTTATTCAAATTTGTTGAAACAAATTTTAATAAAATTCTTTCAAACGATACAATTAATTTCAAAACATTTTTAAACGTCAATCATTTTCAATATCTACTGCTTTAATAAAAAAATTTTATATAATTCTTTGCAAACATTCAATTATTTTCATAAATATAATAAAATTTTCAAAGGAATTTAATTATTTAAAATACAATTTTTATAGAATTTTACGAAAAAAAAATTATATAAAAAGGTTTTTATAAAACTTTTTGCAAGAATTCAATTATTTATTATAAATAATAAAATTCTTCTCTAGAATTCAATTATTTTTAAAAATTTTAATAAAATTCGTTCCAAAAATTCAATTATTCTCATAACTATAGGTATTAAAACTAGTCGCCCAGGATTTCAATTATTTTTTAATAGGATTTAAAATTAATTCCACAAAAAGGGCAATTATTCTTGAAAATTTTATTAAAATTCTTCACGAGAATTCAATTAATTTAATAAATAACAAATTTTTCTCAAGAATTCAATTATTTTTAAAAATTTTAAATAAAATTCGTTGCAAAAATTCAATTATTTTCATTAATAGGCAAATTCTTCTCAGAAATTCCAATATTTTTACAAACATTAATAAAATTCCTTACTAGAATTAAATTATCTTTATTCAAAACAAAAATCTTTGAAGAAATTCAATTATTTTCGACAATATTTATAAAATTCTTCTCAAAAATTCAGTAATTTTGATAAATAATAAAATTTTTCAAATAAATTAAATTATTTTAATAAATCATAAAATTCTTCTCAGGAATTCAATTATTTAAAAAAATTTTAATATAATTCGTTGCAAAAATTTAATTATTTTCATTACTAGTAAAGTTCTTCACAGAAATTCCGCTATTTTTATAAATAATAATTATAAATAAATAAATAAATAATAATTAATAATAATAAATAATAATTTTTATAAAATTTTTGGCTAGAATTTAATTATCTTTATAAATAACGAAAATCTTTTCGAAGAAATTCAATTATTTTTAACAGTATTAATAAAATTCTGCGCAAATATTTAATACTTTTGATAAATAATAAAATTCTTCAAAGAAATTAAATTATTTTAATAAATCATGATATTCTTGTCTGGAATCTAATTATTTTCAAGAAATTTAATAAAATTATTCACATGAATTCAATTATTTTTATAAATAAGAAATTCTCGCAGAATTTAAATTATTTTCATAAATCATAAAATTCTTGGCAAAATTTCAGTTATTTTTAATACAATTTTAAATTAATTTCTCGAAAAAAAACAATTATTCTCGAAAATTAGAATTCTTCAAAACTATATAATTAATTTAAAAAGATTTGAAATAATTTTGTTTTCATTAGAATTTAATAAATTATTTTCAGTTCATTTTTAATTAAATTTCTTAAAAGAATTTAATTATTTGCAAAAATTTTAATGAAATTCTTCGTAACAATTCAATTACTTTCAAAAAATGTTAGTAAGATTCTTCGTAGGAATTTAGTAAATTTGAAAAACTTTTTAAAGTTCAATTATTTTCAATATCTATTATTTGAATAAAATTTTCCAAAAGAATTCCATTTAGTTAAAAAATTGTTAAAATAAAATTCGTCGCAAGAATTCAATTATTTTTCACAAGTTATAAAATTTCTTCAGAATTTTTTTCAATTTTTTTCAATACAATTTCAATAAAAGTTCTTGATGGAATTTAATTATTTTAAAAATGTTTAACAAAATTAGTTCATAGAATTTAATTAATTTTAAAAATTGTGATAAACTCTTTAAAAGAATTCAATTATTTTCAGTACAGTTTTAATTAAATTCCTCGTACAAACTTAAGTTTTCTTCAAAACAACTGAATTCGTATTTTTACAAATTTTAGTTTTTTTCCTTATTTTTATCTGTTATTTTTATAAATAATAAAATTTTCACAGGAATTCTATTATTTAATTCATTTAATTTAATTTCAATTATTTTTAATACAATATTTTTAATGAATTCTCCAAAAAATGCGATTATTCCTGAAAATTTTATTAAAATTCTTCGAAGGAATTCAATTATTTAAACGAATTTTAAGAAAGTATTTTATTCGAATTCAATTTTAAGAAATATTCAATTTCAAAAGTTTTGACAAGTTGTCAAATTAATAAGTACTCCAGATTATTATTGTATTTAATAACTTTCGGGAAATTTTTCTGGATATCCAGAAAATAAATGATATCCAGAAAAATTTCCTGAAAGTTATTAAATATTCAATTATTCAATAAATTATTTATTTTTTTATTTGAATAATTTAATTCTCGTAGAAATGTCTAGAATAATTGATTTAAAGAGAATTATATAATAATTGATTTATAATTGAATTGCAGTTAAAATTTAAGATAATAATTGAATATTAGAAGCGTTTTTGTGTGAATTTTTTAGAAATAATTACATTTTAAAAGATATTAAAATTGAAAATTTTTATTATCGTAAAACTGTAATAATATTAAAATTTTCATTTTGAAATAAACTGATTGAATTTTGGAAGAATAACAGTTGGAATTTTTAGAAAGAGTTAAGTTTCAAAAAGGCTTTATATTGAAATCATTTAAAATATTTTAATTCCCGTGGAAGAATAATTCGGTATTTAAATATTTATTTCACAAAAAATATTCTATTTTTGAATGTAATTTAATTTTGAAATGAAAAAATTGAGCTACATTTTGTTCCTTTTTTAAATTAATTATCGAATTTGGAGCCTAGAATAATAAAAAAATTGCAAGACAAAAAAAACCGTAAAAAATTATTAGTTACAAAAAATACTGAGATTATAAATTATTTTTTCAGTTACGACATGACAAAAAATGCGGCCGACAAACTATTTTCAAACAGTGCATACAGACCGTCCGATGTTCAAGTCGTCGAACTACACGATTGTTTCTCAACAAATGAATTGATTACTTACGAAGCTCTTGGACTGTGCCCACCTGGCAAAGGTGGAGAACTTGTTGATTCAGGCAACAATACTTACGGCGGTAAGTACGTGGTGAATCCCAGCGGAGGTTTAATTTCCAAGGGACATCCTCTCGGCGCCACGGGCTTGGCGCAATGTTCAGAACTTTGCTGGCAATTGAGAGGACAAGCCGGCAAGAGGCAAGTGCCTGGAGCAAAACTTGCCCTCCAGCACAACATTGGCCTCGGCGGTGCTGTCGTCGTCGCTCTCTATCGTCTCGGTTTTCCCCAATCTGTCCGAAGAAACAACGTGTCCTCAGCATCCGATCCAACCAAGTTCAGAGCCTACACACTTTTGCAAGCTCTCGAAGTGGCAATGCAACAGGACACCGAGGGTTTCATTGAGGGAGTTCGTGGAATTTACGGATTAAAAGTGACCAACGGTCCGGGTGGTGCCGAAGGCTATTGGGTCATCAACGCAAAAGTTGGAAAAGGAAAAATCGAGTACAACGGCAAAGTGAAACCTGACGTTATTTTCACAATCAGTGACACGGATGTTGTTGATTTTATATCGGGAAAATTGAATCCCCAAAAGGCATTTTTCCAGGGGAAAATCAAAATTCAGGGCAATATGGGATTGGCAATGAAATTGCCCGATTTGCAAAAACGCGCTCATAATAAAATCGAAGCCATTCGCTCTAAATTGTAATTTTGTAAATTATGTAATTTTCCGTAATGAAGAAAATTATTACAGAAAATAGAAAAGCCAAAAAAAAGAAAATATTCACTGCGAATGCTCTTTATTTTAAAGGTGTTTTGGTTTGAATTCATATCGCATTATAGGAATATAAAAATTTTAAAGAAACGTTAGATTAAAACTGACTCAATTATTCATCTAAGTAAATTTATAAATTATCTAATAATTTTACATAATTTTTCTGTTGGGGTCCTATCTTTTAATTATTTTGTCAAAGATATATGTATATTGTGTATAAATACTGTATTTTTATATAATTTGTTATTAAATAAATTTATTAAATATTATTCTTCTTCTATATTAATAATCGTTGTATTCCGGTAATCTGTTCGCAGTTTCAAGTTAGTTGTTTGCTTTTTTGTTTCTTAACTTATTTAATAATTTTTCCTTTTTAAATATTTAAAATTTTTAAATTTATGTATTGAAAATCATCGAATTGCAACAATTTATCAAAAAAAAATTGATAATAATAAAATTCCTTCGAAGAATTTTATTATGTATTTAGGAAAATAATTGAATTCTCGTGAGGAATTTTGTTAAAATTTATGAAAATTCGAATTAAATTTTTTTTAAGGATTTCTTTTAATTTTTTCTTAAATAATGAAGTTTCTTTAATAATTTTAATCAAAAATTTTACAAAATTATTGTATTTTATGAACAATTTATTACAAGTTTTTAAAATAATCGTGTTTGTTAATAATTAAAATTAAACATTTAATTATTTATTTTATTAAAATTTTAGAAAGTAATTGAATTCTTTTGAAAAATTTTATAACGAATTAAAAAAATTGAATTCTTTCCTAAAATGTTTTTCAAAGTAATTAAAATTTTGCAAACAATTTTACTATTTAAAAATATAATTAAATTGTTTCGAAGGATTTAAAAAAATAATTGAATCGTTTTAACCAATTTAATAAAATTTTAGAAAATAATTGAATTATTTCAAAAAAATATTATTACAATTTTTTAAAAAATTGAATTCTTTCATGAAATTTAATTAAAATTGTATTAAAATTAATTGATTTTTTGCAAAGAATTTTACTATTTATAAATAAAATTGTATTGTTTCGAAGGATTTATAAAAATTTTAGAAAATAATTAAATTCTTTTGAAATATTTTAAATAACGAATTAAGAAAAAAATTGAATTCTTTCGTGAAATTTTTTTAAAATAATTGAAATTTTGCAAAGATTTAACTATTTTTTAAAAAATAATTCAATTGTTTCAAAGGATTTTAAAAGTTTTAGAAAATTATTTTATTCGTTCATGAAATGTTATTAAAATTTTGTTTAAAAATAATTGAATTTTTGCAAAAAATCTTACTATTTAAAAAAATAATTGAATTTTTGAAATCAATAAACAAGAATAATTAATTAGTAAATTAGTTAATAATTGAATTTTTTAAAGTTTGAATCTGAAATTATTCAAAAATCCAATATTTGAAAAAAAAATTTTGTAATTTGCATAATAATAAATTGCTAGTTTAGTTTATATTATTCATTAATATTGATTTATATTATTAAACATTTTATCATAAATTGTAATTTTTAATTATAATTAAAAAATTTATGCCCATCATTAATGTCTTTTAATAAGATTTTTAAATGCGCGTATTTCATTAGTGAACTTATTTTTGTCTTGACCAACCACAGTTCTCTATTCTTCTATAAAGAAACTCTGATTTGTCGACAAAAAATACAATAAACGTCAAATAAAATTCTATTTACTTTCTTTTTGTTTTCCTGTCAGTTGTGAACGTTGTGAAATAAAATTGATTATTTTCTGGTTTATCAACTGCTCTGGCATTTAGTACTGAAGATAAAAAATATGTAAATAGAATTTCATTGTTTTTTTCAATACAAGAAAAGTAGTTGTTTTGGTTTGCAGTTCATTGCAAATTCTAACCTCAAAAATTTGGTGATAATACACTTCGTAAGTGAAAGAAACTTGTTTTTTTTTAATTGAAAAAAGATGTTATCAATGGAAAGAATTCCTGATCAAATTGGCTACTTAGTTTTAACGGAGGATGGTGCAATTTTAGCAGTGAGTATTGTTTTAAAACATTATTGTTGACAACAAATGACAAATGTATACAATCACTGTACAATGTTGTGTATTGTCACTATTGTCATTGTTTTTTTGTGATAATTCACAACTATTTAAAAAATGAGGAGCAAATTTTCGAAAGCTAATAAATTCATTAAAAAAAACTTTAATTTATACAAATCTAATTGTCATTGGTAGAAAAAGTTTATTAACAAAGAATTTTTAATTTGAAAACTTTTCGACATAACCAAGATGACAATTTTTGTTTTTTATTGCGATGCAAAAAATTACCTTATTTATTTATTTATTCAAATAGTATACGGGTTAAAAATAATAAAGTTTAATTTAAACCAAAATAAATTATTATACAAATTTTCTATTTTAAAATTTTAAATGAACTAATTAAGAGAAGTTTCAATTTCTTGAAAAAATATTCTCAGGATTTTTTACTGCTCAAATTTAAGGACAAATAAAATAATGTAAAATATTTATTGCAGTCTGGAGGGGAATTAGGAAACGATGAGAGGATAGCCAACGTCATTATCGGATTAGTGACATTAATCAGCAAAGATAATTCAAAAGCCTTCTTTGCTGAGGATTTTGAAAAAATAAGCATCACATACAGCGACCACTGCTATATAATTTGTCTTTCGAACAAAAAGATTCATGTCGTTAAAAAGAGATTAGTTTCATCTGCTTCAACGCAAGAAAGTCAAATCATAGAGATCACGTCTTAGAGCGAGCTGAACGCGTTTAAAATAAACAAAAGAATATTATTAATTATTATTAATTAATATTATTAATAATCATGAATTATAATTCATGAATGAGAAATTATAATATTCTTATGTATATTTTCCTGAGTTTATAAATGAAACTCTAAAATTAGAATTTAAGCTTCTTTATTAAAATTCTATATTTTTATGTTTATCAAGTTTTAATTTCTGTTTAATTTATCTTGATCAAGTTTGAATGAAATTAAATATGTAAATACATTCATTAATAATAATGTAAAAAAAATATAGTAAGTTGTTGTCTGAATCTCAATTTATTTCTGGAATGATTAAAAAAATAAAGTGGATAATTTCAAACTGTTCTTGTTATTTGTGTAATTTTCTTTTTATTAAGATTAACCAAATTTTATATAAAATCAGATAAAATCATTCTTCTATGTACTCATATAATTTAAATTTAATGTAATAATTTAAATTTTCATATTTAACATAAATAAATTCATATTTATAACAAATGTATTTACATAACATTAATCTTTAAAGAAACGAGGAATATTTTCATTTTTTCAATGAAAATTGAATTAAGAATCACTGTCCGAACTAGTACTGCCGTAATTAACTAATGACAAGGATCTGTTACTACTTCCCGAAGATGTCGATGCTGATGGTAGAGATGGCAAAATTTTTATTTTCTTTCTTTCGGCGTCCATTTTTTTCTGTATTAGAATTCTTCGTTTTGCTAATGACGACCTGTATAGTCTTCTCAACTGTAAACCTTTCTTGTTTTCCACTAAAATCATAAAAAATGGTAAATTAATTTTATTATATTTTTGTCTTATAATATTTTTATACTTAAATTTTGTATTAATTTATATTTATTTTGATAATTTCAATTAGAGTTGCCACGCAATCTGAAAAGCCTAGAAATGTCAGGGAATTTTATAAACCTTGAAAAAACCTGAAAAAGTCAGAGAATTTTGATCGGAATCCTGGAAAATTATTGTTCTCTAATGTTATTGTGCTTATTCTTGAAATCTAATTTCACTTAAATATTTCAGAATTAATTTAATTTTAAAAGAGTTGCGTTTACGCAAACATTTAATTATTCTTAAAAAATTTTATTAAAATTCATCAAAGAAATTCCAATATTTTTATAAATTTTAATAAAATTCTTGGCTAGAATTCAATTATCTTTATAAATAACAAAAATCTTTTCGAAGAAATTCAATTACTTTTAACAATATTAATAAAATTCTGCGCAAATATTTAATAATTTTGATAAATAATAAAATTCTTTAAAGAAATTAAATTATTTTAATAAATCATAAAATTCTTGTCTGGAATCTAATTATTTAAAAAAAAATTTAATAAAATTATTCCCATGAATTCAATTATTTTTATAAATAAGAAATAATCGCAGAAATTCAATTATTTTCATAAATGATAAAATTCTTGGCAAAATTTCAATTATTTTTAATATAATTTTAAATGAATTCCCCGAAAGAAACAATTATTCTTGAAAATTCCATTGAAATTCTTCAAAAGTAAGTATATAATTAATTTAAAAAGATTTGAAATAATTTTGTTTATTAGAATTTGATAATTATTATTCAGTTCATTTTTAATTAAATTTCTTGAAAGAATTTAATTGAAGGGCTGGCTGCAATAAGGGGATTTAATTAATTTCAATAATAATTTATCAAAATTCAATTATTTTCAATATCTACTATTTCAATAAAATTTCACAAAAGAATTCAATAAGGTATTTAAAAAGAAATATTATTAATAAATTCGTCTCAAGAATTCAATTATTTCAATTATCTTTATAAAAAATAAACTTTTTCTCCGAAATTCAATTATTTTCAAATATTTTAATAAAATTCTTGGCAAAATTTCATTTATTTTCAAAAACTTTTCTCAATTCAATCAAATTTTTTATAGAGATTCAATTATTTTTAATACAATTTTAATCTAATTGCTCGAAAAATGAAATTATACTTAAAAATGTCATTTAAATTTGTCAAAAGAATTTTAATTACCTATTATAAATTTGTTGATAAAATTCTTTTTATGAGAGTTCAATTTAAAAAAATATTCAATTCTTCAATAAATTATTTATTTTTGTATTTAAATAATTCAATTCTTGTAGCATTTTCTAATAAAAATTGATTTAAATATGAATTTTAATTAAAATTTTAGATAATAATTGAATATTAAACTCTCTAAATTTGAATTAGTAAAAACGTTTTCTAATTTGAATTAATGACTGACTTTTCGCTTTTGAATTAGCAGATTTTAGTAATAAATAGTCGTTTCTACTAATTTAATAGTAAAATTTACTAATTTAAAAGCAAAAATTCAGTCACTAATTCCAGTTAATATACATTTTTACTAATTCAAATTCAGAGAGAAAGTATTATTGCGTGAATTTTTAGAAATAATTAAATTTTTAAAAGGTTTCAAATTATAATCTTTGAAAGTTTGAATTTCTCATACTTTCAACTGAAAATTGTGTAATTTAATTTTTTTAAAAAAGTTTAATTGAATTTCTTTCAAGGTATTTAAAGTTTTTATTTTCTAATATATTTTTAACCAAAAAATTTTCGAATAATCGAAATTTCATAAAATTTAATTTTGTAAACAAATAGATATGAAAATTCGCAAAGAACTTTTTCAAAAATTATTAAAAAATTATCTTATAATTAATTTAAAGAAGAATTTTAGTTAAAAATTTTGGAAAACAATATGTAATTGAATTGAAGTCATGAAAGTAATTTCGAATAAGTTTTCAGTAACAATATTCTTAAAATATAAAATAATGATTTTATCAGTTGGTTATTTTTAATTATTTATAAAACATGAAGATACCAATTGCTCCGAGTCGAAGACTAATTATTTAATTTTGTAAAATATAGTTTCAAAAATGTGGAAAAATTCCGTTTTTAACCTGGAAAAGTCAGGAAATTTGAAATGAGCAAAAGCGTGGCAACCCGGTTTTATGTAAAAAAAGGCTACAGGTCTAATTTTACATTACTTGTAAATAAAAAGGAATTTTTGTAATGTTTATATTAATTTACATTTATCTTGTCAAGTTTCTTTTACCTTTCATTTTTTGCATTAATAAGCGTGCCAATTTTACGTCATCGTCGTGTTCTTCAACTAAATGTATATCTATACCCATTTTATTCAAGAGACTTTTATCCAAAGACTTCTTTTTTTCAAGTTCTTTTTTTTCTGCCTAAAAAGAAATATTTATCAGTAATTAATGTTATACGTACTATAAGATTATAATTTAATGAAATACACTTACTCTGAACTTGGCTCTCAGCGCACTATTAGAACTGTAATCATCTTTCCAAATACTGTCATTCAAGGCAATGACACTACTAAGTGCTGACTCTCGTGATTTTGAAACACCTTTGTCCTGTATACCGTGTTCTAATTTATACATAGGATCGTCATAAAGTCTTCGCGACGTTTCCTTTGTTTCGGGAACAACTTGTTCATTTTCAGTTGGGTCCCAACGATTTTCCTGTCGTCGAGCTCCACTCACTATTATGTAGTCTAAATTCTAAGGAAACAATTCGCGGAATTTTTTAATTAATAATAATTAATTATAATCAATAAAATAATTAATTAAAAATTAATAATAATTAATTATAATTACAATTATGATAAAATTATAATTGTAAATAATTGAATTGTTTTGAAGAATTTATTTCAATTTTCTTGAAAATAATGGAACTTTTTTTTTAATAATTTTTATTGAAAATTTTGAAAATAATTGAATTTTACCAAGAATTTAATCATTTTCAATAATTGTAATAAAATTCTTTGCAGTAAGAAATTTTAAAATAATCGAATTGTTTTGAAGAATTTATTTAAATTTTTTTTAAAATAATGAAGTTGGTTTTAATAATTTTTAATACAAATTTTGAAAGTAATTGAATTGTTTTGAAGAATTTATTTCAATTTTTTTTTTAAATAATGGAGTTGGTTTTAATAATTTTTAATGAAAATTTTGAAAGTAATTGAATTGTTTTGAAGAATTTATTTCAATTTTTTTTTTAAATAATGGAGTTGGTTTTAATAATTTTTAATGAAAATTTTGAAAGTAATTGAATTGTTTTGAAGAATTTATTTCAATTTTTTTTTTTAAATAATGGAGTTGGTTTTAATAATTTTTAATGAAAATTTTGAAAGTAATTAAATTTCATCAAAAATTCAATTATTTTCAATAATTGTAATAAATTTCTTTGCAATAAGAAATTTTAAAATAATTGAATTTTGAAGAATTTATTTCAATTTTCTTAAAAATAAAACAGTTTTTCTTAATAGATAATTTTTACTGAAAATTTTTAAAGTAATGGAATTTTATCAAGAATTCAATTATTTTCAATAATTGCAATAAAATTCTTTGCAAAACTTAAATTTATAAATAATAAAAATCTTCGTAAAATAATCCAATTATTTTTATATATAAATAATAACATTTTTATCAGGATTTCACTTATTTTCAATACAATTTTAATTGATTTCTTCGAAAATTTCAATTATTAATAATAAAAATCTTCTAAAAATTCTCCGAGAAAATTAAATTATTTTTAAAAATAATTGAATTTTTCACATGAATTCAATTATTTAAATAACTTTTAATAAAATTAAATTCAAGAATTTAATTATTTTCATAAATATCTATAATAAAATTTTCGATGGAATTAAATTATTTTAAATGCAATTTCAATGGAATTCCAGGGAAAATTACATTATTTTTAACTTCTTCGTAAGAATTCAATTATATCAATCAATAGTAATTTTTCCCCAAGTATTCAATTATTTTGAATACAATTTTCATAAAATATTAAAATTCTTCTAAAAAATTCACTTATTTTCAGAAATAACAAATGTTTTCGCAGGAATTCAATTATTTAAAAAAGTTTTTATAAAATTAAAAATTAAATTTTCGATGTACTAAAAATCATTGAATTCTTGTAAAGTATTTACAAAAAAATTTAAATATAATTGAATTAATTTCAATAATTTTATTAACATTTTTTCAAATAATTGAATTCTTTCCAGATAATATAATAAAAATTGTATTGAAATTAATTTCATTCTTGGAATAAGATTTTTATTAAAATTCTTCAAAAATAATTGAATTATTTTGAAGAATTTATTTCTATATTCTTGAAAATAATGAAGTTTTTTTTAAAATAATTTTTACTGTAAATTTTTAAAAATAATCGAATTTTTTAAAATTTGTTATTTTTAAAAATAATTTTAATTGAAAATTTTGTAAATTCAATTTTTATTAAAACTCCTGAAAATAATTAAATGTAAATCATATTTTTAAAAATAATTGTATTCTTTCGAGAAATTTTATTTAAATTGTATTAAAAAGAACGTTAATTATTTATCAAATACTATTTGTAAATTTTGTGGCCTTTTGAGGCCACAAATTTGATAAATTTGATAAATAATTTGATAAATAATTCATTGTCATACATAATTATTCGTAAATAATTATTTTAAATGAATTCAAATTACCGCTGGATCAGTTTTGATTTCAAAATGATTATCGCATAGGTGACATTTCATACGAAATTGATATAAAGGCGTTGAATAGTACATGCCAACTTTTGTCTTCTCTGCATTGTATCGAACACCCATTCCAATGTGATTTTTACAGCCTTCGCACCAAATATTAAAGGGCATCTCAAATCGAATGATCAAGATGCCCTCGTGCAATTTCCGTGCTCTCTCTCGTAAAGCATGAGTTCCCAGAAATTTATTCAAACCACCGACCGTGGGGTCGTAGTCTGGTGGATAATACAAATTCTGTCCTTTGCGTTCACCCATTTTCTAAAATTATTCATTATAATCATATTACTTCTATTGTCAAATATTTCGTAAAAAATGATAATACAAATACAATACAAAAATTATAGATATATATTAATTTATGAGAATTTAAAGCGGTATTTTTACAGAATAAAAGTGGATTAAAAATAAAAGAAAGTATTTTTTAATTAGGCTAGTGGATTATTTCTAAAAATAGGAAAATTAGTATCGAAATAAAAAGAATAAAAAAGAGAGGTTATAATTAACGAATTTTGTTTTCAGAAACTTACTGTTTAGTATAAATATCCTTTTGTTTTGAATATTTTTATTTTCTTCTTTTTGAACAAGGATTTTTAATTATTTGTTCACTCTTTCAAAAAATACTAATTACAAGACATTTTCTCATTTTTTATTCACTCGATTCACTCTCTTCACTATATTGTTGACAGTTGTCAAATATGTACGTACGACCTGCGTACAGGGTTCGGAAGTTACGCGTAACTTGAGAGTTTTTGACGTATATTACGTTTTCGACGTAATATACGTCAAAAAGAGTAAAATATTCAGTATATTACGTTTTCAATATGGCGCGCGCAAGATGTGTATAAATTTTTCTTCAAAATAGTTTATATTTATCTGGACGGCAGAGAAAAAAAATTTTGTTACAATATTATATAATGCAGTAGGATAAACTCCGCAAATATCAATATTAACGTATTAATTTTTTTGTAAGGATGTTCACTCATAACATAACCTTTAAAAACATATACCTTATAATTTTCCCTACTTATTAAACTTTGCATAATTAAGCGATAAAATTATATCACGTTTTTTTAATTTAAATGTTGGTTTTTATACAATAATTATACGTAAATAGCATTAGTTTTCTGATAGTCTGTCAATTGTTTTAGAAATGTCTGTAAAAAAGGGTGACAAAAATGCGTTCAATGCAGAAAATTTGCAGTCAAAACATTCATCTTCGCAGGCAGATGATTAATAATAAACAATTTGTGGTTATTATTAACAATGTGGTTATTGAATTACAAATATTTGAGGTTATGTTATGCACGTTTTACCCGTTCTACGCATGCGCCGTAGTAATATATCGACAAAACGTAATATACATCTATTTTCGTAAAAAATTCAAGACGTAATATACGTAGTAATATACGTGTAGAAAACTACGTATATTACCTTGACGTATATTACGTGCGAACCCTGCCCACTACTTTGAGTGTCAAAATTCTAATTATTTAATTGTACTTTTCCTTTTAACAATTTTGTGAAAAAATAAGCAAATAAAACATTTATTATCTTTATTATTTATAGTCTGAAGGAAAAATTAAATAAGTTTACTACAATCGCGTTAATAATAAAATATTTCGAGCTGTAATTTTAAGTTCCAGATGGCGCTGTGTGTTCGTTCTGGACTACAAATGTAAACATGTTGTAGGTGGAGTGGAGGAGACAGGAGAAGCTTGTATTTGTGTAAACAATACAGCATTTCACTACATTGTATTTACACAGACACTAGTGTATATATTGTGTCTATGTGTTAATGTCAGTGATGTCAGTTAATGCTAATACTAGGTCATTGATCTTAATTCTCTTAAAACTATTCATAAAAAGTATTTTTCAGATAAAGAATCTAGCGCAAGCGAACAATTTCAGTTACTCTTTATACTAAAATTATTTTACACTTAAAAACTTAAATATTTATGCGGTAAATATGTGATATAAAGATCATCCATTTGTATCCAAGTATTTGTAGGTTATGTGATATTATATTGATTCCCCATCTTGTCCATTAAAAGATTCGGAAGATTCTTATTCTTCCTAATATGAGAGATTATACTTGAGTATATTCTAAAATTTATTAAATTTGCATTATTTTCTATTTCGTTTCATACATTTTCAACAAAGTGTAAAGTGAACAAAGTTTTCAAAGAAAAGTGGAATATTATCATCCTGTCATCTCACGGTAAGAAAATGTAGTATTTCTCATCTGAGTGAAAACGTTTCATGTTAAAATTCTCTTTGGTTTGTTCATGCAATTTGTGCATGTTGTATTCTTGTGTCAGCCACCGCTTGTTCTTTAAGAAAAAAAACTCTCTTTTTATAATGGAAACCAGTTGAAGTGTTTTTTACGTATTTGAACTTAAAAAGTGCCCTTTTGCGTAAAAATAAAAACTCCAACAATTTGGTATGATTTTTCAACTATTCATGACTTCCAATCTGTGTTCCATTTATACATATATAAGTTGTATGTGTATATAATGGATCCCTTTTCGTTCGTTGACAGTAGGAAACGTCTATTGTGAACACAAACTGTTTTATTACTAGCTTCTAATAATTATTCCTTTTCTTTTGCTCTAAATGATAGATATTTCATTTCGGGTTTTGTATTTTTTTTTGCGAGGAAATTTTGTTTTAATTTGTTAGTTGATAATTTTGTGAATAAGAAAGTTATTGAGAATTCACATTATTCGCCATTTCGAATGAAACTACTACTCCACTATCTGTAAATCTCCTTGTTTGATATAATTGAAAGGCACTGATGCATGTGATGCTTTATCTGCTTCTAAGTCGACGTCATATTGATTGTTTTTTGACACTAATTAAGCTTCCAAAAATAATAATTGATAAATTATGCTTTACTTTCGTTTGAATAATTGTATTTCAATTTTTTATCACACGTAAATTTGTGAGTAATACATTTAGACATTCCATGAAAGGCATCGTCAGTATTTTAGAATTAAGTTTAAATATAAACTATTTTCAGTTTAAATAATTTAATATTGCTTTAATTATTTATCTGTTTTGTTGAAAATTTGAATTCGTTTGATTAATTATATATGTAAATTTATGTTTATTTTAGTTATTGGCACTTAGGGAAACACTTAGGAAAATACAAAAAGTATTTACTTATATTTTCAAATATGTTAATCGAATTGTAACAAATTATTCAAATTTGAAAATTCGTAAATATTTAAATACCTTAAATACCTTAAATATTAAAAAATTCAAAATTATATTTTCGTTTATATTTTTAAAATTAGAAACATTTTTTACTTTTTATAAAATTTGGTTACATTTTTTTTGTATTTTGATTCAACAATTATGTAATGAGAGGTAATTATTTTTTACAGAATGTACTATTTTTACTGTGAATAAAATGGAAGAACAAACAGAGAGGAAAGCAGCAACAGCTGTTGCTGAAGAGCCTATTAAAGCGGAGGGAACAGTAGAAGCATCTGATACTAGTGAGAGAAGTGATGGAGCAGCCTCACCACCACCGAATTGTAGTATTTGCCTCGGAAAACTCGTCAATACATCTTTCACAGACAGTTGTTTGCATCAATTTTGCTTTACATGTCTGCTACAATGGTCAAAAATTAAAACCGAATGTCCTCTTTGCAAGCAAACATTTAAATCTATTATTCACAATGTCAGATCTGAAGAGGATTATGATCAATATCATGTGCCGAGGGAATTGGCATCGCAAGTCGCTACAGCAACATTGGATGTTAATTTTGATTTTGTTGGTAATGTTGGAACTGTCGGCGTTGGTGCTCTTGGTAGTAATTGGGACTTTGGAATCAGTCGCTTTATGTACAGGTAAAATTCTTCTGAAATTAGTTCAATTTTTTAACATAATGACATATATATTTAACTAGTTTTATTAAAAATAATGAATTTATAGAAGAATTTCAGTTAAAAACACTAAAACATATTGAATTTTAAAGCAATTAGAAATAATTGCAGAAATTCCATTATTTTCAAAAATTTTAATAAAATTCTTCTCAGAAATTCAATTATTTTCAAAAGTTAGTAAAATTCTTCTCAGAAATTCAATTATTTTCAAAAGTTAGTAAAATTCTTCTCAGAAATTCAAATATTTTCAAAAAATTTAATAAAATTCAAGGAAAAATTTTAATTATTTTCAAGAACTTTCCTCAATTAAATGATTTTTAATAATAATTTCTAAAAGAATTCAATTAGTTAAAACAAATTTTAATAAAATTCTACGCAAGCATTTCATTATTTTCATAAATAATAAAAATTTCACAGGAATTAACATTTTTTTTACAGGGATTCAATTATTTTCATAAATATTTATGAAAACTCAATGCTGAATTTCAATTATTTTTCAATACAATTTTAATGGTCCTCGAAAAAAGTTATTCTTAAAAATTTTATTAAAATTTATCCAAGAAATTTAATTATCTTAATAACCTTTGCTACAATTTATTTATTAGAATTTAAGTATTATTTTCAATTAATTTTTAATTAAATTTCTATAAAATTATTTTCAAAAATTTTAATGCAATTCTTTGCGTAACAATTTAATTTTTTTTTAAATAATTTTAATAAAATTCTCCGCAAAAATCCAATTATGTATGTTTAAAAATTTACAAAAATTCTCGTCAAAATTTCAATTATCTTTATAAATAATAAAATTTTTCTCTGAAATTCAATTATTTTCATAGATAATAAAATTCTACAAAGAAATTTCTTGAAAAAAGTTATTATTCTTAAAAATGTTATTAAAATTTATCAAAGAAATTTAATTACTTTAAAAATCTTTGCTACAATTTGTTTATTAGAATTTAAGGATTATTTTCAATACATTTTTAATTAAATTTCTTTAAGGGGATTTGAACCTTGATGACGTCACAGTTTGTGCAAAGCATTAGTTTTAAATCTGTGACGTCATCATGGTTCAAATGCCCTTAAAGAATGAAATTATTTTTTAAAAATTTACAAAAATTCTCGTCAAAATTTCCATTATCTCTTTATAAATAATAAAATTTTTCTCCTAAATTCAATTATTTTCAAAACTTTTAATAAAATTCTTGACAGAATTAATAATAATTTCAATTATTTTTAATACAATTTTCATCAAATTTTTCGAAAAATGCAATTATTCTTAAAAATTTTTATTAAAATTTGTCAAGAGAATTCAATTATTTAAATTTTTTTCAATTCTTTATAACAATTCAATTATTTTTTAAAATTTTAATAAAATCCTTATCAAGTAGGTAATTCAATTATATTCGAGATTTTTTTTTAAAAATTTAATTATTTTCAATGCAATTTTAATATAATTCTTCGCAAGAATTTAATTATTTTAAACAAATTTAATAAAAATCTTCGTAATAATTTAACTATTTTCATAAATAATAAAATTTTTCTGTGATTATTGTGTAAGTTTTTAATTTTTACATTTTAGAGAAAAGGAATAATTTTTTTCGTAATTGTTTGTTAAAGATCTACATTGGGAAATCCAAATCGTCGAGTTAACATGATATTGAATCCACATGAAGTCGCGAGAAGGGAGCAAATTCCCAGTGTTGCGCAGCAATTGTCTCGAGATGAATTGAGACGAAGACAAATCAATCCTTCTGATTTTCGACGAAATGTTTACAGACTCGGTCTCTGGGCAAGTCCCTTGCCCGATGTCTTTGGTAGATTCCGCGAATGTAGTGCCGAATTCTACAGGTAATTTTTCGTTACTTTTTTCTATTTTTTCAGACTTAAGGCTACTTTTTGTTACTTTTTTAAATTATCGAGTACGAAGCCTGTTTTTTTTTTCATTTTTTATTGATATTTATGATTTATGATTTATTATTTACTGCGCATATGCATATTATATACTATTTTGAAATTAACTTGAAATTTACTTTGCAGAAGACACCCTGCGGAAATAACCCGCCTTATTCCGTGGTTAAATCGGGAATTACAAGTTCTTCTTTACAATAATTTACCTCATGTAGTATACGTATTAAGAATAATTAGCGACGCTCTAACCAGGTACCACATACGAAGCATTGAATTCCACAATCTTATTCGTCCATATTTTGGAATTCGTACCGAACATTTTACACATGAGCTGGTGAATTTCGCTCGTACCAGTTTTGATATGGTTGGATATGATCAATCCGTTATATACCTTCCTGGTCGAAGTGATTATACAACAGGCGATTTTGGAGCTCGAATTTTATCACCAGGTTCCAGTAGTTCAAGTTCAACTTCCGACGATTCAGATGTTCGGGTCGTTGATGACTCTGTTGATCGTCGAGGAATTAATTTCAGAATTTCAACTCTCCTGTCGAATTCTATAATGGACATGCCAGGCAAGTTGAAAATTTCCTCTCATCGATTTTCACTAAGAGAAAATAATACTGTGATTCCTGACAAGTTGACATATTATTTAAAAATATCTATAATTGATTTTCTATTTTAGGTCCCAGCACATTGGCGCGTTCTTTTCATAATTATGTTCCTCCCGTTGCTGTACCTGACGTTGTTTTAGTATCTTCATCCTCGTCCAGTTCTGACGATGAGTGTGAAGTAATTGGCTACGTGAAACCAAGACACGAAAGGACGCCAGAAATAATAGACCTCTCAAATTCAGAGACCGAAGAAATGGCTTCGCAAACCATCGAGATCAACGAGTAAGTATTAATTAATTAATGTAATAAATTAATTAACAGAATTGCAACGCAACCTGAAAACCGGGAAATGTCAGGGAATTTTATAAACCTTGAAAAAACCTGAAAAAGTCAGGGAATTTTGATTTGAATCCTGGAAAATTATTGTGCTTATTCTTGAAATCTAATTTTTCTTTAATTCAAATTTCTTAATTCAATTTTAAAAGAGTTGCCTTCACAATTTTTCTTCACAATAATTCAATTATTTTCATAAATCAAATGTTTTTTTACAGATATTTAATTATTTTCACAAATAATAAAACTTATCGCAGAATTTCAATTATTATTAATACAATTTTAATGGAATTTCTCGAAAAATGTATAATTATTCGTAAAAATTTTATTAAAATTCATCAAAGAAATTCAATTATTTTAAAAAGCCTTCCTATAATTTATTTATTAGAATTTAAGTATTATTGTCAATGCATTTTTAATTAAATTTCTTGAAAGAATTAAATTATTTTCAAAAATTTTAATGAAAGTCTTTTTAACAATTCAACTTATTTTCAAAATTCTTCGTAGAAATTTCATTAATTTCTATAATTTATAAAAATGCAATTTTACAAAAGAATTCAATGAGACATTTAAAAAGAAATATTATTAAAAAATTCGTCTCCAGAATTCAATTATTTTCAAAAGTAATAAAATTCTTCGCAAAAATTTAATTATGGTCTAAGTTTAAAAAAAAATTATCGTCTAAATTTCAATTATCTTTATAAATATTAAAATTTTTCTCCAAAATTCAATTATTTTCAAAAATTTTAATGAAATTCTTTTTAACAAATTTAATTTTTTTTCAAAAATTCTTCTCCATTTAATGATTTTCAATATCTACTATTTTAATAAAATTTTCCAAAAGAAATGAATTATTTTAAAAATTTCTTAATAAAATTCTAAGCAAATCTTTTATTATTTTTATAAATAACGAATATTTTACAGCAATTCAAATATTTACAAATTTTTTATAAATTACTTTGCAATAATTCCATTATTTTAAAAAATATTCCATTTATTGTCACAGAGATTCAATTATTTTTATAAATATTAAAGAACTTTTTCAAAAATTATTAAAAATAATAAATTTATGGAAGATATTTAGTTAAAAACACGAAAAAAAATTTAATTTTGTAAAAGTTACAAATTATTGAAAAAATTCAATTATTTTCTTCGCAAAAATTAAATATTGTTTAAAAGTAATAAAATTCTTCTTAGGGATTCAATTATTTTCACAAATAATAAAACTCATTGCTGAATTTCAATTATTTTTAATACTATTTTAATCGAATTTCTCGAAAAATGTTATTATTGAATTATTTGAAAATTTGTTGATAACGATTCTTTATGGGAATTGAATTTTAAGAATCATTCAATTATTCAATAAATTACTTATTTTTGTATTTAAATAATTGAATTGTAGAATTTTCTAACTATAATTGATTCAAATATGAATTTCAGTTAAAATTGTAGATAATTGAATTTCGATATATTTGAAATGTTTGAATTTTTCATACTTTTAACTGAAAGTTGTGTATTAGATTTAATTTTTTTTTGAAAAACTTCAATTGAATTTTTTTTAAGTTATTTGAAGTTTTTATTTTCTAATATTTGATTGAAGAATTTCCGAATACCTGAATAATCGATGAAATTTCGTAAAATTGAATTGTAAACAAAAGGATTTGAAAATGTTGAAAGAAATGTTTTAAAAATTATTAATAATAATTAATAATAATTAATTTAAAGAAGAATTTTAGTTAAAAATTTTGAAAAACAATAATTGAATTAAAATGATGAAAGTAATTTTGAATATCTTAGAGTAACAATATTCTCTTATTATAGTATAAAATAACGATTTTATCAGTCGGATATTTTTTATTATTATTTATAAAACATGAAGATATCGATTGCTCCGAGTCGAAGACTCGGAGTTATCGATATTTTCATGTTTTATAACAATTTTTTTTAAGATATTTAATTTCAAAAAGGTCTGAATTAAAAATTTTGTTAAATATAAATGTAGTTTTAGAAACCTGGAAAAATTCCGTTTTTTAATCTGGAAAACCTGGAAAAGTCAGAAAATTTGAAATGAGCAAAAGCGTGGCAACTCTGATTAATAATTAATATTTCATTAAAAACAAATATAAATTGTGAAAATTTTTCTTTTCAGCACTCTTCCAACACCAACAAGTTTTGACGAAAGTCAACCGAGCACCTCCCAAGAAGTTCGAAAAGGTCGAAAAGTAGATAATCCATTACCAGTCCAAATGATGGAAATTCTCTCATCACCCTCTTACAGCGAAACATCCGACTCGGACAGCGATTATAATCCAATCGGAAAACACAAAGCAAGCAAAAAAACAGTGAGACGACGAAAATCATCAGCACCGAGAAAAATTCTCAAATCCAAACGAACATTATCAACAAACACATTTTCAAGTTCAAGCGAAAGCGAAACAAAACACACAACAACAAAACGAACTGCCAAAAAGGAAACCAAACACAGTAGACGCGTTTCAATATCATCAGGTACTAATTCAGAGAAATTAAAGAAAACCACCATCAAAAATAAATCCAAAAAACAAGACACATCAGGTTCAAATAGTGATACACCATTTTATGCAACTAGTGAAAGTGACAATGAATCGAAATATCAAAACGAAAGAAACACAGGAACAAATTATCACACTTCCAGTGATTCAAGTACCGCGCGTAGTAGAAGTTCATCAAAGTCACGTGCTGAAAAAACACGAACATCACGACGCATCCTGAAAAAATCAGGAACAACTAATTCACATTCAAAGAAACGAGATACACATTGTGACAGTGATACATTATCAGAATCTGATAAACCAATAAATTTATCATTATCCGGATATAATTCATACGATAACGATAAAAAAAATGTGCAAGAAAAATCATCTGATTTAAATGAAACAATTGCCAGTAATAATGATCAAACAGAAAAGAGAATTGTTTATAAAGAAACAAATACCGATCATCGTAGTCTCGACGATTTAGAACAACATCGTTATTATAGATCGCGTAGTCAATGTAGTGTTTGCTCTGATAATACACGGACAAGTAAAAAAAAATCAAAGCACAAAGAAAAACGCAATCATAAATCGGATAAATCTTCCACAAAATTCTATCATTCAAATGAAGGTAATTCAATGAGTTCATTAAACGATGCACCATCAAGCTCCAAACATTCCTCCGATTCAAAGATTAGTTCTAGATCAAGATCGAAAAATAAGCATAAATCACATAAAAAAAGTAAAACATCTAAACGCAGAAGATCTCGTAGTACTTCACGATCAAAATCAAAGAAAAAAGCAACTCATTCAACAGCTATAGAACTACAAACAAAATCATAATAATATTCAAAAAAATGCCTTTGAATATGATTTATCCCCCTTTCCCCCTCTCTCTTTCTCTCTCCCTTATCAGTTTGTATCATAAACAAATTTTTCCTGGTAAATTTATGAATCTACATATATTTATTTCAAATTGAACAATAAAATTAAATTTTCAAGAATAAGGGGAAAAAATAATAATTTGTATGTATTTAAATTTTATCATCGCACGACGAATTTCTATCTCATATTGCTATGCAATTGAATAGAAATTCAAAATGTTAACTGACATATTTCTCTTTTTACAATATATATATATATAGTATATTATTTTTTTTTTTTCTATTTTTTTTTTCGTTTCTGCAGTATCAGAAAATTGTGTACAGTGTAAATCGAAAATTTTGACTTACTGTTTGTAGAATAAAATGATAAGTAAGCGTCAAGATTTCATATTACTGCAATGTGCATTATTCGTGAGGGTGAAAACAAAAAAAAAAAAAAAAACAAATCGTTTCTACATTATAATATAAGCAATTATTGCATTCATATTCTGTATTGTTGCGAATTTACATTTATTTTCAATACTTTCTTCCGCGTTTTAATCATATAATTATGTAATAAATATTAAAAAAAAAGAACAAGATTTGTTTGTTTTTTATTTTAATACACTTTTTATATTTATAAATATATTTTTTTTTTTGCAATTATTACAAAATTGCATTTTTGTACAAATTTATATATATATACATTTTATATAAGAATTAGAAAAAAGAACAAATTTCCTATTATTAATTTATGTCTAGGCAAAATGAATTCCTTTAAGGTTGAATTGATACAGCAATCTGAAACAAAATAATTGTAAATATTCATTTACCGTTGAAAGTTAGGGTTGACACAAAAATTCAGATTTTGTTTTTCGCTTATTTTAAGACAGAACTTTGACTTGTTCCTTGACTCTAAAGAATATTCTGATTTACTCTAAAAATTATTAGAATTGTAAAATTATTCGAAACATCATCAGTTTTTTCTAGATATGTATATACTTAATCTTTATTATTATTATTATTATTATTATTATTATTATTATTATTTTTCTACAGAAATGAAAATTTTTAAACAGTTTCAAATTATAAACCTTTGGAAATTCAATAATTTATAAAAAAAAAATACTATTGTAACTTGTTCTGAATTATTTTCTAGATTTCAATTAAATTATTTTCTAGAGTTTTGAAAAATGAAATTAATTAAATTCTACTTATAATTAGTCATTATTAATTCAGAATTAGAGAATCAATTTTTTTATAGGTACGTATATTACTTTTCTAAAAACTTTTTGGATAGAATTTTATTAAAATTTAAAAAAATAATTGTATTCTCGCGAAGAATATTATTATTTATGAAAACAGTTAAATTCTTTCAAAGAATTTTATTTCTTTTGAGTAATGTAAATAAAATTGAACGTAATTAAATTGTTTCGAGAAATTTTATTAAAATTGTAGTAAAAATAATTGATTTCCAGTGAAGAATAGTATTAAAATTTCTTTTAAATAATTGAATTCTTTTGAAACATTTTGTTAATGTTTTTTGAAAATAATTGAATTTCTGAAAAGAATTTTATTACAATTTTTGAAAATAATAGCATTTCTGCGAAAATTTTTTTTAAAATGTATAAAAATAATTGAATTTTTTAGAGAAATGTTTCTAATATAGTATTAAAAGTAATTGAATTCTTATGAAGAATTTTATTATTTATGAAAATAATTGAATTATTATAAAGAATTTTATTAACATTTTTTAAAATAATTGAATTGTTTCGAAAAATTTTACAAAAATATTCAAAATTAATTGAATTTTTTGAAAAGAATTTTATTAAAATTTAAAAAAAAATTTTATTAAAAATGTATTAAAAATAATTGAATTCTTTTAAAGAATTTTATTAAAGTTTTTTAAAACAAATGAATTTCTGCACAGAATTTTATTACAATTTTTGAAAATAATGGTATTTCTGTGGAGAATTTTCCTAAAATGATAAAAAAAAATTGATTTCTTTAGAGAAACTTTATTAAAATTGTGTTAAAAAGAATTGAATTTGTGTGAAGAATTTTATTATTCAGAAAAATAATTGAATTATTGTAAAGAATTTTATTAAAATTGTTTAAAATAATTGAATTGTTTCGAAAAATTTAAGATTATATTGGAAATAATTGAATTTTTATAATACAAAGATATTCAAAATTAATTGAATTTTTTGAAAAGAATTTTATTAAAATTTCTAAAAATAATTGAATTTAGAAAAAAAAGTTTGTCAATTTAATTCTTTCGAGAAATTTTATTAAAACTGTATTAAAAATAATTTAATTCCTGTGAAAAATTTTACTATTCATGAAAATAATTGAATTATTGCAAAGAATTTTATTAAAAAAATTTTTAAATAGTAAAATTATTTCGAAGAATTTCATTAAAATTGTTTATGAAAATAATTAAATTCTTCCAAAGAATTTTATTATTGCATTTAAAAAAAATTGAATTTTTATAAAGAATTTTAACAAAATTTTCGAGAATAATTGAATTACTTGATAAGGATTTTATTAAATTTTTTAAAAATAATTGAATTGTTACAAAGAATTGAAAAAAGTTTTAATAATTGAATTTTTTCGAGAAATTTTATTAAAATTGTATTGAACATAATTGAATTCTTATGAAGAATTTTATTATTTATGAAAATAACTGAATTCTTGCGAAGAATTTTATTAAATTTTTTTTAAAATAAATGATTTGTTTCGAAGAATTTTATTAAAATATTTGCAATTAAATAATTATAATTAATTTGTTAATTGATTAAAATTCACATATTAACTAGTAAATTTGTTTTTTTAAATTTAGAATTTGAATTATTCAAAGAAAAAATTAATCAAAAATTGAAGTAAATATTTAAACGTGAGAAAAACTGCAAACGGGACTCTCATAAAATTCAATTATTTTTGTAATTTTAAGTAAAATTATTTGTTAATTAATTTTGTAAGTTATAATTTTATAATAATTTTTTCCTGAATTCTAGAATTTTGATATTTTTTTAGCACTTTTAATAAAATTCCCTGTTGACTTTTACTTTCGCTAATTTTTCCCTGAATTTCCTGATCTGTGGCAACCCTGGAAAATGCAGTATTTAAATAATTATATTTTACGTACTCTTTAAAGTCATCAATATCCATTGTTCTAGCTCGATTTTCTTCCGCTTTTGCTTCTTTCAAAACGTCCATTACCAATTCTTTCATATCAAAGTTTTCTGGAAGTGTCTAAAACAAAATTGCATTGTTCACTATTTAAATAACTAATATTATTTATTTTAATGAATTGATCACTTGGTAAAAATTATATAATTCAAATTAAAAGGAAATTATTAATCTTCCAGCTGTCGAAACGTAAAAAGTTGTTTTTTATTTTTGCTTGACTTGGAAGATTGATAATTTCCTTTTAATTTGAATGATTTGAATTAATATTGTTGATACAAATCGAGTAAAAATTAATTTTCAAACTATAAGTTTTACTCGTTAATTTAGTTAAATTTCATAAATTAAATTTTTACCTTATTTTGTAAACTGCAGTGGATTTTATAATTCTTTTCCAACACTGCGAGAACAGTCGACTGTTTGAAAGCAGCAGCGAGTGTTTTATTTTTCCGAACAAAAGCAATTCTAGTGAGACCATCCCATTCTCTATAATCTATAGGTGGTGGTGGATTTCTTGGTTCAATTCGAACAACATTCGATTCTACCTTTGGTGGTGGTCTAAAATTATTTTTTCCCACTTTCATCAACATATCAACTCTCGCTAATAATTGTGTATTTATACTGAGTCGGCAATAGACCTTGTCCCCTGGTTTTGCAACCAGTCGCTCGGCAAATTCTCTCTGGAACATGAGAACCGCACATCTGTAAAATAAAATAAAAATAAATTATTATCAATCAATCCAAGTCGGGTTTTAGTTTAAAAGAAATAAGTATTTACATTTTTAAATTGATAAAAAATAAAATTGTAATTTAAAAATTAAAAATGTTTTTAAATTTAAAAAAAAAATTGTAATTTAAAAATTAAAAATCTATTTACATTTTTAAATTTAAAAAAAGAAAATTGTAATTTAAAAATTAAAAATGAATTTACATTTTTAAATTGATAAAAAGGAAAATTGTAATAATTGTAAATTTTTATCTTGTGCGAAGATTACCTGAAAAATGGCCGGTGAAGTAATAATTTAAATACCAAGGGCGATGAAATTTGATAGGGAATATTAGCAACGCAGAGATCAAAGAATGGTAATTGAGTTTTCAGAACATCGCCAATCATAATTTGAAGTTTCGATTGCAGTGGAGTACCTTGAACTCGCTTTTGTAATTCGGCAACCATTCTTGGATCGACTTCACAAGCTATTACTTTTTTCGCTTTTTCCAACATTTTTACTGTCATGTTTCCTGTACCTGGACCAATTTCCAAAACTACATCTGTTGGTCGCATCGCCGCTTTTTCCACCATTGTTTGAATTATCATGGGATTTTTCAGAATGTGCTGACCGAAGTCCTTATTGAACATTATTCCTGTAATTTTTCGAATTTATCAAATCGTTTCAAAAACTTGTAATTTTGATTTCAATTTCGATTTCACAAAAATTGTCATAATTGTTTTTCATTATAATAAAATACCTTTCAAAATAAAACAAATCTTATAAATTAAATAGAAAACTAAAATATTAAACAATATTAAATTAAAAATGATATAATTTAAATATTTCAATTAAGTTATTAAAAATAAATAAAAAATAGAGAAGTAAATTTGTAGGTTAAGTTCAATTTAGACGGGAGTAATTAAAATAAGTACCAACCCTGCTTGGCGACATCTTTATGAATCCGTGAATTCTTCTCCCTTCGTACTTTAGGCATTTTTAATCACGTTTTGTCGTCAAAATTACGTTTTTTAAATAAATATTCAATAAATAAAGCGATTCTGTCACAAATGCGGAGTGCACGTGGTAAATACGTGTGAAGTTAGTCTCGAATTGAGATATCGATTCTTCGACTGTAGCGCCATCTTCTACGACCAACTTCATGTGCAACAATAATAAACAATAATGTCATGTTTATGCATTAAAAACTTGTGTGTTTATTCCATTTATTCTCATGATAATTACGATAATTACTGTTAAAAAATGTTATTTTCCTCTTGACTTCGAAACGTGTAATGTAGAAATTTTATTTTAAAATACAGTCACCGATTTTGTGCAGTAAGGTAAGTACAACACATGAAAGAAAGTTTTTAGTTTTATAAAGTGAAAAATACCAACAAACAAAACCAAACCAAAGTATATTAATAAATAAATAAATATATAAATATAATAAAATGTGTTACATTTAACAGTTTGATCCATTTATCGTGAGGAATGAAAGAGGAAGAGGAGGAGGACGAGGAAAATGTTATCAAGTTGGAAAACGGTTCGCAAAGTGACGGTAGCAAAATTGCCATTGGAATTCGACCGAGGCCGTTAATTTGTAAACCAGGACATGTAAACGTGGGGTGTAAATCCGAACCTCTTGAGACAAAGTGCTATTGGAATCCTGGAGCTTGGCAAGACGCTACTCGAACCAGTGCATTTCAACCTTACAAGGTACTGACATTTTTAAACTAAACCTATAATACTAAACTCCTAAAACCTAACATTAATAATTAGTATTTTTAATTACAAATCGAAGAATTCGACTTTATTGACGCAATTAGTAGGTTACATTTCTAAATAATTAGCTAGAAATGTTAGAGTTTCAAAAGAAATGGTTTATTTCAGCCTCCGACTTTGCTGACAAATTTACAAAGAGGAAATACTCAAACAGAAATTCCACAACTTTATGTTGGGAAGGATATAACATTTTTCACTCTTGCCGGCCAAGGAGAACTTACACCGGACGATATTTGTCAAGGTAAACGTATTTGTCAAGGAAATGCGTCAACTTATTGTTAACTTAATTTAAATTAACTTTCTGTTAATTATAACAATAAATTTAAAGAAGTATAGACTGCTTTTCTAGAAGTAAATAAATAAATTTAAAATAACGTTGTATTTTTCACTGCGTAGCATCTCTAGACGCTTTGGACGAAAAGGGTTTGTCGGGATTAATGTGGGCTGCAAGTTACGGCCAATTGGGAAGTGCTCGTCAACTTTTGGAAGCAGGAGCCGATAAAAATTGCCGAGGACTTCGTGGACAGACACCATTGCATTTAGCAGCGGCTTACGGTCATCATGATTTAGTCAAACTATTAATTAGTCACGGCGCTGATCCAAATATCTACGAAGAGGTAAATTATATAGAAACAAAAAATATATTCAAATACTGAAACTAAATGTAAATTTTCGGTAATGTATCCAGTAAATTACTGTGCATATTTAATTTAATCTTCAGGAGGGAAACACTCCCTTAATATACGGAGCACATGGAGATCATCGTCACGTTTGTTACGAACTTTTATCGAAGGGTGCCGATGTGGCGCATAGAAATATTCACGGCATAAGTGCTTATCACGCTGCAATTCTAAACAATTCGTTAGCAGGTAATTTATCACCGAAAATACAAATAACTAAACCTAAACTTTACCTATAACTATAAATTGAATAATTCAATATAATTGAAATTAGTAAATAATAATTGAATAATAATTCAATAAAAATTGAATAATAATTGAATAATAATTGAATTACAAATAATTAAATTACATGTTAATCGAAATTTTATTTCTTACAGCAAAAGCAGTGATTGAAAATTATCTGGTAGAGAAATTAGTGAGCACATCAACTGGGATACTATCATAAAGTCAAAGTAAGCATGAGGCTCAAGTTCGCAGCGTTTTTTAAAAACGAAAACAAAAAATAGTGCAACTTACTATTTATTTTGATTTTAAATTCATGTTATTTTTTAGCAATTACTTATATTAAGTAACAATTATTATTTTTATCTTCAAATAAAATTAAGTAACAATTATTAAGCAAAAATTTACGGACAAGAAATTAAAGGTGAATTTAACTTTTAAAAAACTCTTTTTTGATTTTTCGTTTTTAAAAACGTTGCGGACTTCAGCCTCACAAGTAAGCAAAGAGAAAATTATAAATAATGTTTAAAATTAATTGTTAGAACTTGAATTTTATCCCACAAGATTTGTATGCGTGGAATAATTTTTAGATTGTATATGACTTACTTTAACATTCTGTGTACAATTCTTGAAGTATTAATTATTATGTGATTTTTTTTATACAAAAAAAAATAATTTTATACCTCTGATATTTTCGTAAATTATAAATTGTTAACTTTTATAAAAACCATGACCATTTACAATTAAAATAGTAAATAAATAAACTTATTGTGATGTAATTATACACTGGATATTTATTTATTTAAGAAAATAGAAATTAATTAATTAAAGACGATCGAGGATCGAGTGTTAAAATCACCACACTTGCAAAGTAATTAAATTATTTAACAAAAAATCATTCAGAAAATTTAACGCCAAAATTCAATTAATATTATGAATAATAAAATTTACACAGGAATTCAATTATTTGAAATACAATTTTTAAGAAAATTTTTTAAAACAAATCAATTATTTACAATATTTTAATAAAATTTGTTATTAATGAAATTAATTATTTTCTAAAATCTTGATAAACATTTGTTTATAATAATTCAATTATTTTCATAAATAATAAAATTCATGGCTAAAATGCAATTATTTTTTATACAATTTTAATTAAATTATTCGAAATAATTGAATTATTCTTTTAAATTTTCAGAATATGATTCAAAAAAATTTAATAAAATTAGATGCAAGAATTCAATTATTTTTAATACAATTTTAATTACATTTTTTAAAATAATTGAATTATTCTTTTTATTTTTCATAAAATGATTCAAAAAAATTAAATTATTTTTAATACAATTTTAATTAAATTATTCGAAATAATTTAATTATTCTTTTAAATTTTCAGAATATGATTCAAAGAAATTTAATAAAATTAGATGCAAGAATTCAATTATTTTTAATACAATTTTAATTACATTTTTTAAAATAATTGAATTATTCTTTTTATTTTTCATAAAATGATTCAAAAAAATTAAATTATTTTTAATACAATTTTAATTACATTATTCGAAATAATTGAATTATTCTTTTAAATTTTTATAAATTTGTCTGATAAATAATCTGAATAAATAATATGTAATTTTAATTCCGCGCTCATTTTGGAGTCGCATTATCATCAGAAAAGTGAGGTTATGTTTGAACGCGGTGTTTATTCGCGAGATTCGCGATCAAAACATGTTTCGTACTCTGCGCAGTAATTTACCTGATTGAATTTCATAATTAAAACCCTCCGAAACTTACTGGAATTAACTAATAAAAAAATTAGCGAAGTCTGAATAGTTTGAATAGTGAATTTTATTTGTTTGTTTAGTGAATTCTGTGTAAATCTCAATCATGGATGATCAAGCGTGTCCACGTTGTAAAACAACAAAATATCGAAATCCGTCTTTAAAATTGATGGTCAATATTTGTGGACATACATTATGTGAAAGCTGTGTCGATTTACTGTTTTTGAAAGGTTTGACTAATTTTAAATAACAATCTCTTAAATTTTATTTTGATATTATCATACATTTTGAGGTTATCCTCACAAGTCGCAAATTTAGTTTAGTAAAGTTTAGTTAAGTTCATTTATTATTAATCTAATTGAAACAAAAATTATTAATCCAACAAAATATAGAAATATTCTATGAAATTACCATTCATTTATATAAATTTATTTACGTGTATTTATTTATTTTCTTACGTGTTTATCGAAAAATATTTTTTTAACGCCTGGCTTTTATTTATTTATTTTTTTTTTTAAAGAATTCGTTTTTTAAACGCCAAATTATTTCAGGTTCCGGCTCATGTCCAGAATGCAATATAGTCCTTCGCCGAACAAATTATCGAGTCCAACTATTCGAGGATCCTATGGTAGAAAAAGAAATAGACATAAGAAAACGAGTGCTGCGTGACTTTAACAAAAAAGAAGAAGACTTCGCCAGCCTCCGAGATTACAATGACTATCTCGAAGAAATTGAGACCATAGTTTTTAATCTTTCCAACAATATTGATATCATTGAAACAAACAAAAAAATCGAACAATACAAACGCGACAACAGAGAACAAATACTAAAAAACAAATCCAAATTAAATCAAAAAGAAATTGAACTCGATGAACTGATACAAATCGAGAAACAGCAGGAGGAAGAAAAAATGATAGAATTAGCTCAACAGGATTTAGAGATCGAAAAAAATAAAATACGCGAAAAAGAGGCACTCATACAAGAGCTTATGTTTTCCGAAGGTAATGCCGATAGTATCGTGAAGACTTTTGCTTCGGCAATTCAGGCTTCGAAGGAAGAAAAGAAAATTGCTCCCGTACAAAAGGTTACACAATTTAGTTCTGGAATTAAATTCGGAAATCAAGCCGGACACAATTTTATGCCATTGCCAAAAGTCGACGATGGTCCACTATTTAATTACGAGCCAATTGTGCAGGACGTTGATGGACCTTCACCACCTGATTGTCGAGAATTACAAATTCGAGGTTATATCAATCACATTAGACCCGAGAATCCAGCTGAAAGAGCTGGTGGTTTTAAGGCGAATATCGCTTGTCTCAGAGCTCTCCAGGAAGCAATGGTCGGTTTGTATCATAATCCTCTGGAAAAACAAAATGAGGCGATGTTCATTTGACCGTTCGAATGGACCTAGGTGTTTTTTTATCAGATATAAGTTTCAAATATTAAATTTGAACTTGTAAAAAAACTTAAAAAAATATTAAAAGTCTTTCCCTAAAGTTTTGAACGTTATGAACGAAATATTGTTTTTCCGTCTAAATGACGATCCAAGAAGTCGCGATAAAGAAGCAAACGAATTTATGTTTGTATTAGATTTCTCTTGATTAAAAAATCATTTTTTATTATTTAAATTTAAAACAAGTTTACATTGAATATTTTGGATGCAACAAAGACTTCGGCATCAAAAATTTGTAATTTTTTCTTCTCTTTCTGTATTTTTGCCCCAAAAATTATAAAAATAACTTAATTATTTTTTGCTTCTTAGGTTTTTCGGGAGCGCGACACATATTTTCAAAAATTATTTAACGTTTTCAAATGAATAATAATTATTTTTAAATGGTTTTCAAATACTATAATGAAAAATATTGTAAATTAAACATTTGCTTACTCAAAAATTTAAATTAATTTACAAATATTTTGTTTAGAAGAATACTAAGTAACAAAAGGACAAAAAAATGTCGTTCATTTAAATGTTCAAAATTTTAGATACGAAATTCTATTGAAAAAAAGACTAAAAAATCATTCTCCTATTATTTATAATAATTATTTATTTATTTCTATGTAATTGTACGTTATGTGAAAAAATTATTAATCTGTTAAATTCTCTTCTTAAAAAAAGATTACATAATTAAACAAGTTCGTATCCTTCGTTGTAATTGAAATATAAATTTTGTTCTCATCGTATTTTTACTTCACTAACATATCGAAAATTTGTGTAAAATATTATGTAAATATTTGTAAAGTATAATACATATTAATGGTTTATTATATTAAATATAGAAACTTAAGTGTTTTTAAAAAAAGTGCATTATTTTCACCACACTTAAAATTAAACAATTTAAAAAAAATTTTTTTCAATTTAAAAATAATATTTTTAATTGTTTTTAAAAATACATTAATTGCAATTTGCACTTAAAGAAGGTATTTGCAGAACAAATGCGTAGATTCGTGTTTGTTTCAATTTATAACAGTTTTTGACACATGTAAAAATCAACGAAAATTTACTCTTTTTTTCTCTAAAAAATATTTTTTGGCTTCAAAATTTAAATTCATTTAAAAAAATGTCTAGTCGTAAAAATTCTGGGGGCACTCGTTCGACGGGGAGTAGAAATTTTAGGAGTCGAGGATCATCCGCACCTCCGAGACAACCTCAAAAAGGGTATTTTTCAAAATTTTCCTTTTCCTTGTTATTGTTTTTAAAACATTTTTTTCATCATGCAAGAAATTCTAATTTTAATGAATAATTAATTTTGTTCCGTAAAAATCAAACTAACAAATTTTTTTTAGTCTTTAAAAAATACAGTAGGTAAGAAAAAGAAATGTCACGTGTTTTATATTAGATAAATTTGTAAGTGTTGCAAAAATCGTGCAATCTTTGAAGGTCTTGTGATCTCGATCAACTGACAAGTAAAACCTTAGGAATTGCCGTTTATTGCACTAAGAATTCATAAAATTGCATTTTCTTGGTAAATTTTAGTACGTTTTGCAAATTTGAAAGAAAATGAATAAGATGTTTAATTTTAATTTTTTTAAACAAAGTAATTATAGCACAAATAGTGCATTTATCAGCTGATTGCCTGATTGCATCCTGATTGGTGGACGTGAACGACATGAAGGTTAAGCAGAAGTGACGTAATGGCGGAATTTTCGAATATTTATTTAAATGCATACCTACTAATTTAGAAAAAAAGTATTTGATTACTTATATTCCTTATATTTAATTGCAAAAATTTATTTAGTTACTAAAACATCCATAAAAGATGAATATTTTAACTCTAAAATTAAATTTTATTTTACGTTCTTTCAATCGTATTGATTCCGGAAGTTTTATTTATAATAATCGAATCTGTCAAATGTCATGCGCTGAACTTGGAAACAAGAAAAAGCGTCAAAATCTGCCCCCTCTCTAAATTTTGTTTACGTAACATATTCGCTTCTCTGAATCAGTGACACTGATCATCAGTGGCGAACGCCATTTTAGTTAAAGATTAGAGAGCTTACGAAGCAGACGTGTTTTTTGCTTCTTATTCAAGTGACTTTTGTGATTAAAAAATAAAAAAAACCATGCCTCGAAGACGTGCTGCACCCGCACCCAGGACGTAAGTATAATTTTCCTTTAAATAATTGTTTTTCTAAACTTTTTTGTAATAACAGTAAATTGTTTCATCAACCGTTTTGTCTCGTAAGTATATAGAATTATATATGTTACGAAACAAATTTAACCTAAAGTTTCGTTATGACGTGCAGCAAATCCATCAAATCAATTCGTATTTTTAATAGCTTTCTCGGATTTACGTATTTGTAGATTATAAATTATAAAATGGGCAGATCTACTATTTACTATATTTTTCTTTGTCGCGTTCAAAGTCCAAGGACTCCGAAAATGTTTTTCTATATAACACGTGCTTTCTCCGTATGTAAAATATGTTATAAATTTATTAAATTTATTTCCGTAATAATTTGAGTCGTAGTACGTTTTTTCTTAATTTGAAAAAATGGTCTAATTAACAGTTAGTTTTCAAATTGGGTTAATTTACGGATGTCAGTAATTAACATTTAATTATATTGCTCAAATTCAGGCAATCGGAGAAAAGCTCCATTTAAATGTTCTTTAAAAGGAAGAAAGAAATTCGTGAAGAATTTCTTTCTTCTTTTAAAGAACATTTAAATGGAGCTTTTCTCCGATTGCATAAATAAATATTTGTTCTCTTCTTCTGAAAACCGGATGATTTTTAATTTCTTTCTTGCTTCATCTCTAAATTTTAATTTGGAATATTTGACTAATTATCAATATATAATTTTACTAATTGCTATAGCAAGAATTGAATGACTCATAATAAGCAGAAATTTATTGATTCAATTGTATAAAAATGGTAAAAATATAGCTTTCATCGTCAAACTGACTAATTTTTTAGTTTTTACGTTTTTATCAAGCAGCTAATTTTATAGGTTATGTTGAGTTCTTTTGTCAAAAATGCCATACAGTATATTGACTGATTAAATGAGTAATTTTGCAAGAATTAACTGATTCAGTTAGTAAAATAAAGCTTACTGATTTAATCAATTGTATAAATATATGTCACTCACTGTCAAAATGATTAATTCGACTATATGATAATTTTAAAGGTTATGTTCGTTCTTCGCTTTCGCTTTGATCGGATCAATAATTTTGCACGAATTAACTGATTAATTAAACTAAATAAGTTTGAATTATAGTAAAACTACTAATTTAAATTTAGAGAGAAATGAGAAATCAACCGTGAAAGAAGAAGAAGAAGTTGACAATTATATTAATTAAAAATGAGAAATGTTTGGTGAAAATTTAATTAATTTAAAAAATACAATTTGTTAAAAATATATTTATACTTTTTTAGTGTAAGGTCGGCGGCTCCCGCAAGAGCAGCTCCTGCCAGGGCTGCACCACCTCCATCAGTTCCTGCTCACGCAGCCCCAGCAACTCCAATGATGGCCCCACAGCAGCAAGGTCCAGGTCTCATGGGACAAATGGCAGCGACTGCTGGGGGAGTTGCCATTGGATCGGCGGTTGGTCACACCATCGGCCACGCGATGACGGGACTTTTCAGCGGTGGAAGTAGCGAAGCTCCCGCTGCCGCTGCACCAGCACCTCAACAGCAATATGCACCAGCTCAACCAGCTGCTGCTGCTCCTGGCGGTGCTTGTGCCTATGAACTCAAACAGTTCCTCGATTGCACCCAAAATCAACCTGACATTTCCCTTTGTCAAGGTTTTAATGAGGCTCTCCGCCAGTGCAAGAATGGCGGTAATTATTTTCATTCTTTTTTTCATATAGATTATAAAATATTAAAGTTTGGGGTTTGTTCACAAACTGGGACTAATTTTTAACTCCTCCTTTTGCTTCGTCACATTTTTTTGTACGTGAAATTGAAAATTATTTCAAATTTCGTCACAAATGTCATGAAACTCTTCCCCCTTTCACTCCTAGGATTGTGACAGTTTGTGAACAACCCCATAATAATTATGAATTAATAATAAATAATAGTAAATAAATAAATAAAAAATTATTATTATTATTAATTAATAATAAATAGTAGTAAAGAAATAAATAATAAATGAATAATAATTAATAACCAAAAGGAACAAAACTAATTAAATTTTCTTTTATTTCCAGGACTGCAAATTTAAATTAGTTACTGCAATTTTAGACATTTACCACTACAAGATGGCTTCGTTGGAGTTGAGATCTTAAAGACAGTCATTTTATTATAAATTAAAATAGAACATTCTTTTTGTGACAGTTGTAAAATTATTGTGTATTATTAATAACGGAGAAGATGAAATAAATCCATAGTTGAAATATTATCCAATTTATTCAGTTTCTGTTTAATTCTCTCAACGTCTAATCATCAATGCTTTTCTAATAGTATTGGAAAATAACGATTTTTAGTCACATTTTCTTTTTACTTTTTTTATTTTCTTTTTACTAAACAAAATTAAATTTTTTCAATTAAAACAAAACATCTAATTATTTTTTAATTGCGAAGAAAAAATTGTTTTTTAAATTTTAGATTCTAGGAATATAAAAAGAATAAGTAAATTAATTCAAAAATGTTTACAGATCTAATTTTTGTCGATTTTATTTTATTCGTAGACGATTTTACAGCACCGTTAATTCGAGAGATTCTTTAAAATCTGCGGATGCGAAAAATAGAATAACGATAACGAAACCAGTGGAGAATCAAAATATTAAACAACAACCTTCTTCGATGAAAAATTTTATGGCTTCAGCCGCAGGAGTTGCTGCAGGTTCTGCAGTAGTGAGTAAAACTATCTTCAATAATAGGTCTCGGACTCGTTAATTAATTAAAAAAGTACTTAGGGTTTTAGAATAAATTTCTTTTTATTTTAAATTTAATTATTTTCTAAATTTTTAGTTAGAATTTTTTAACAAAAATTACATTTACCATAAAATATAAAATTATATTTAAAAATAATTTTTAACAGTAAAAAAATAATTTTTTTTTTCAAATATAAAATTTATTTTAATAAAATGTGACAAAATTTTCAATTTTTTAAAAATTATTTTCGGAAATTGATATTTATTATTTATTTCTCCGCACATGAATTCAAATTTTTAATAATTTTAATGTAAAACCTTTTGAAATTAAATTATTTCTAAAAATTAAAATTGCAATTCTTTCAAAATTCAATTAATTTTTGGGAATTCTTAATTTAAATTAATCTTTTTTGTTTCCTAAGTTTTGAAATAATTTCCCTTTTTAAATGTTTTCAATTTTAAAATTAATGCACCTGCTGAAAATCATTGAATTTTTGCAAAGTATTTATCAAAAAATTTGAAAACAATTGAAATTTACAAAGAATTTTATTTAAAATTTTCGAGAACAATAATTGAATTGTTTAGAAAAATTGTATTACTATTGTTAAAAATAATTGAAGTTATCTTGAATATAATTAAATTTTTTTCCAGAAATTTTATTAAAATTGTATTGAAAATAATTGAATTTCGCAGAAGAATTTTATTATTTACGAAAATAATTGAATTCTTGCCAAGAATTTTACAATTTATAAAAATAATTTAATTGTTTCGCAGTGTTTTATTAGAATTGTTAAAAATAATTGAACTTTTATTACAACTTTTGAAAATAATAGAATTTAAATAATATTTTTAAAATAATTGTATTCTTTCGTTGAATTTTATTAAAATTGTATTGAAAATAATTAATTTTCTCAAAAGAATTTTATTATTTACGAAAATAATTGAATTCTTGCCAAGAATTTTACAAATTATAAAAATAATTGAATTTTTATTAAAACTCTTGAAAATAATTGAATTTCTCAGAAGAATTATATTATTTACGAAAATAATTGATTTCTTGCCAAGAATTTTACAATTTATAAAAATAATTGGATTTTTATTAAAACTCTTGAAAATAATTAAATTTAAATAATATTTTTAAAAATAATTGTATTCTTTCGTGAAATTTTATTATAATTTTATTGAAAATAATTGAATTCCTTTGCAGAATTTTATTATTTATGAAAATATTTTAATTGAAGGGAATTTTAATTAATTTAATTGAAGGAATTTTATTAAAAATTTTGAATATAATGATTTTTTAAAAAGATTTTCATCAAAATTGTCGAAAATAATTGTTCAAGAAATTTTATGAAAATTGTATTGAAAATAAATGAATTGACCTTAAAAATATTATTATTTATGAGAATAATGAAATTCTTGCGAAAAATGTTTGCATAATAATAAACAAGAATATTTAATATGAGGCGCGTATCATTTGCTAGTAAATTAATAATTTAAAAATAGTATATTTCGTAACGAGTGCTAGCAGTTGTCAATTTTTGAATGAGCACTTTTTTCGGAACAAACTGTAGGCGAAGCGAAGCTTCGCCTACAGTTTGTTCCAAAAAAAGTGCTCGTTCAAAAATTTGCAACTGCTAGCACTAGTTACGAACGATATTTTTCATAACAAGGTGCAAAAAAGTGCCCTTTTTTGCACCGCGTTATGAAAAATAAATATTAGATTTTATTATTCTTCCATATCAATTAAAATTTTCCAAGATTATTTTATTTAACATCCAATTGATTCAATTTTTACAAATTAATTTCGGAAATCCAATTATCTTGAAAAAATCCTAATTATAATTTTTCAAAAAGCTATTTTTCAGAATCGTAAAAAAATAGTTAATAGTATAGAAAATAGTAGGTTTTAATAATTGAGTACGAAGTCTGCAATAAATAAAAAACCACTTTATTGCATTCACCAAGTAAAATTTTTATTTTCATAAAATAGTGTTTTTATATTAATGAATCACAAGTTCTTCATCATCAGAATTAGTGAAACTGTTCTTTGATATAATACAGAAATTTTTTGTTTTCACAATTAATATAATATTATAATTTAAGTTTTTTTTTCATTTTTTTCTAAATTATTAAATATAAACATTTACCAAAAAGTGAATTTTTGGATTAAAATTAGGGTCATGCAATTGGAAATACTATGTCAAGAGCAATAAATTCTTCACAATCGACACAAGCAATTGAATCGACATCATCTAGAGGTGGTGGTGTTGGAATATGTTCTACGGAAGTTCTTCAATTTTTTGAGTGTGCCTCTCAAAACTCAAATCTAGACACATGCAAAGCCTTTCATAATATGATGCTGGAATGTCATCATCGTCATCAATTTCATAATTAAAATAAAACTGGAAATTAAAATTTCTGAGAGAGAGAAAGAGGCAAAAAAAGAAAATAGAAAAAATAAGACATTAAGTGATTTATGAACATATTTATTAACTTAACAAGGTTTCTTTATAGGAGATGGGATTTGAATTAAATGAACGAGTGTTTCTTGGATCGAGAAATGGTAGACTATCTTTTATCTGTATTGAGAACACGCATCACCATAAAGCCAGCAACAGTAGCCATAGCAATTCCAATTCCAGCTTTCCACCAGACGACAGATTCACCCTGGATCAGTCCAAAGTGTTTCATGTGTCTGAAATATTTTCGAGGAAAATTATACATTAATTTTTGAAGACTGTAATGAATAAAATTTGTAAAATAACATTAAATTAATTAGGCATTAATTTTTTATTGTTCGATGGAAACATATAAGGGTTAATAGAGTTCTTAGTGACAATTTGAATAGTTCCAACAATGATGGTGCAGTACAATTTTTGAATGAACGAAAATGATTGCTTCCCAAATTAAAATTTTTCCAATGTTCAGTTTTACTCCAATTAATTAAGAGTAATAAATTCCGATAGATTAAATTTATCCAGACTTACTAGCACATTCCAAAAAAATTATTAAAAGAATACAATTAATCAATAATTAAAACTATATACAATAAATTTCAGGGTGGCCACATGTCAGTAAAGTCACAGGGTTCCTACAGAATCTGGAAATCATGGAAATGGTATGGGATTTTTAAAAGGCTTCTGGAAATCAGGGAAATCATGGAAAAGGCCATGAATTTTAAAAAGTTTCTAAATTTTTCCTGTTTTCCATTTTTTTCTTCAATAGAAATTCAATTAGAAATTTTAAGATATAATATGTGACTGTCCACGAGAAAACAAGGCTTAGCTCCCAAACGTGAATTTCACAGGGCGAGCGATTAAAGTACTATACGATTGAAGTTAACTACGCTTGACATACCCATCTTTAAAACGATATATTGTCGAAAGTAATTGATATTTTTAACTTCTGACTTTTGCATTTGAAAAAGCAACATAAAATCTGTCGATTACCATAAAAAACTCAAATTGATTTTTTCGACCTAAGCCGTGTTTTATCGTGGAGAGTCAACGATTGAGGTTAACTACGCTTAACATACCCATCTTTAAAACGATATATTGTCGAAAGTAATTGATATTTTTAACTTTTGACTTTTGCATTTGAAAAAGCAACATAAAATCTGTCGATTACCATAAAAAAATCAAAATTGATTTTTTGGACCTAAGCCTTGTTTTCTCGTGGACAGTCACATATATATTATACGAAGTGGAAAATAAATTTAAAATTCCACTCGAATTTCCTCAAAATTAATTTTTTATTTTTTTCTAAAGGGAGGAAACTATTAAATAAGTAAAGTGTTTTTAAAGAGCCCAAAAATAATAAAGCTAAATGCCATAAAAGAAAAGAAAAAATGTTGAATTTTAAGAAATTTGGTTTTTTGAATTTTTGCTAATTTTTAATAAATTTAAATTTTTTACCAAAGGTTATAGATTTTAAAATATGTAAAGTGTTTTTCAAGAGCACAAAAATAATAAAGCTAAATGCCATAAAAGAGAAGAAAAAATGTTGATATTTAAGAAATTCGATTTTTCGAATTTTTGATAATTTTTAATAATTTTAAATTTTTAACCAAAGGGTAAAGACTTTTAATTAAGTAAAGTGTTTTTGAAGAGCCCAAAAATAATGAAGCTAAATGCCATAAAAAAGAAGAAAAAATGTTGATTTTTAAGAAATTCGGTTTTTCGAAATTTTGATAATTTTTAATAATTTTAAATTTTTAACCAAGGGTGTGAAGACTATTAATTAAGTAAAGTGTTTTTGAAGAGCCCAAAAATAATGAAGCTAAATGCCATAAAAAAGAAAAAAAAATGTTGATTTTTAAGAAATTCGGTTTTTCGAAATTTTGATAATTTTTAATAATTTTAAATTTTTAACCAAGGGGTGAAGACTATTAATTAAGTAAAGTGTTTTTGAAGAGCCCAAAAATAATGAAGCTAAATGCCATAAAAAAGAAGAAAAAATGTTGATATTTAAGAAATTCGGTTTTTTGAATTTTTGATAATTTTTAATAATTTTAAATTTTTAACCTAAGGGTGAAGACTATTAATTAAGTAAAGCGTTTTTAAAGAGCCCAAAAATATTGAAGCTAAATGCCATAAAAAAGAAGAAAAAATGTTGAATTTTAAGAAATTCGGTTTTTCGAATTTTTGATAATTTTTAATAATTTTTGATTTTTTTTTATCTGGAAATCATGGAAAAGGTATGGAATTTTAAGTTCGGATTTTTGTAGGAACCCTGAGTCAGGAAAATGTCAATAAAACAAAATTCTTGTCTGTAAAATCAGGAAAATGACAGGAAAAAAAATTTGTTGTTAGGAAAATTAATAATTTTTTCAACTTATTTTAAAAAAAATTTGCGACTTTTTCAACTTTTCTTACAAATATTGCAATAAAATACTATATTTTTTATTATAAAATGCAATTTATTTCAATTTTCATAGTGCTAAAAACAACTATAAACAAATCTTTCAAAAATTATTTATGATTAATTTTTCTAATTAAATTTTCGAAATATATAAATAAAAGGATTTTGAATAATTGAAATTTTGTAAACTTTAATTAAAAATAATTAATTTTTTTTCAAGTATTTTGTTACAATTTTTTGAAAATTAACTTTTGAAGAATTTTAATTGCAAATTTTAAAAATAATTAAATTATCAAAAGTTTTAATAAAAAATCTTTAAAGGTAAATTTAAAAATGAAATTTAATGAAAATTGGCTTCTAATGGTATAAAATTCAATATCTTCAGTATTTTCAATTACATAATGTAGTTTTTTTTATAATTTTAATTTAAAATATTAAAAATAATTGAATTTTTTCTTAAAATAATTGTGTTTGTTAATAATCCATAATTTATAATCGAATTAAAAATTTGATTATTGAATTTTATGAAAATTGTATTGATAATCATTGAATTGTTGAGAAGAATTTTATTATTTATAAAAATAATTCAATTCTTCCGAATAATTTTAATTTTTATAAAAATAATTCAATTATTTCGAAGAATTTAAAAAAAAATTTTTGAAATAATTGAATTCTTCAGAAGAATGTTATTAAAATTTTTGATAATAATAAACAATAGTAATTAATTTCGTAATTAAGTGAATTACTCGAGAGGGAAATAATAATTGCGAATACTTATTGTATATTGAAAAAAATAATAATTGGGAAATAATCATGTGCCTTAGATGTGAAAAATGTCAAAAGCTGATCATTCTGTGTTGGTTGTTATATAAAAGCAAATAAAGCAAATGATAGAAAAATAAAATATAAAGTTTTTTTGATAATGAAAATTCACATGCTCATGCTTGATATTTTTTTTATTTGATAAATAAACGCGATGGTTTAGTGTTGCGTTGGTTTGTTTTTTTTTAGATATATTTATGAATGTCGAGCACACCGAAAAAAAAGGTTATGAAAAAAATTGATTGAACGAAAAACCTTGTGAGCGAATTCCACCATTGACTAGGTGTGGGTTTCAGAAGTAACATGTGGACCATACGTCGCAAAGGACTGAAAAGAGGCAATAGGAGACTTTGTTACGAAAATGAGCTCGTGCTTAAAAATTTTTAACATATCGAGCGAAATGGCAATTTTGTCCAGAATGATTGATTTTTTTGCACATAACATGCATACATATATCTAGATGATTTTTTTTCGATTTTTGCTTATTATCGTTCCGTCGCAAAAAAATCTTCCAAAATTTCGTTTTTTCTTCTGGAAAACTTTTTAAAAAGAACCTACAACTCGAGAGTAGCGTAAAAATTGAAAATTGTTCATTATTAAATCAAGAAAGAAAGATTTTTTTAAATTTTTCACTTAGGAAAAAAATATTTTTAAATAGAGCCGACTAGACTTTTTATTTAAAACATAAATTTTATTTGGTTCGAATAAAAATTTTATTTTCAACATAAATTTTGTTTAGGAAAAAAATATTTGACTCAGAGCCGACTAGACTTTTTATTTGTTTCAAATAAATTTTATTTCGTTAGAATAAAAATTTTATTATCAACGTAAATTTTATTTATGCTGAATAAAACTTTTATTTTCTACGTAAATTTTATTTATACTGAATAAAATTTGTATTTAAAACAAATAAATAATTTCGTAGATTCTATGAAAAATAAACTTTTATTTTACTCAAATTGTTTTTGGTTTAAATAAAATTTTCTTTGCATGTCCCACAAAATTCAATTTTTATACTCTATTTTCTCGAGAACTAAAAATAATTGAGAAATTTTCTTTGTATGAATTATACACCAACCTGTGTTTGTAAAATAATACCCACGCTGCTTGAAAGCGGCTAAACACGGAAATATAGCTTTTTGTTAGAATAAATTTTCGAACCCAATTTAGAATTCAAGGGGATGAAAAATTGATTTTTAGAAAAAAAATTGTGAATAAATACTATAATTTTTTTTTGTCTCTACTTTTAGAAATTTCATGACAAAAGAAAAGAAATCTACCCTTGATTGCAAGCGTTTTAAATTTTGTTCTGTATAGCATATCATACATTCCTGAATTATAAAAGGGGAAAAAATTGTATAGAAAATAATTTTTTTCGGAAGGGAAAAAAAGAATCTAACTTACGGAAAGGCTGCCATTGTCGCAAGTTTCACAAATATTTCTCGACGCACAGTTCGAGATATACTGTAGGGCTGTGGAGGCATCAATTTATACTTGTTGCAAAAACTCGATGGTTGAAGAAGATATTCTTGTTTCACTTCAGCAAGATCACTTTTGTTGGCTATTATGAGAACGGGAATTTTACTCTCGGCAAAATATTTCTGCGAAAGATGAAAAAAAAAAACAAATTGTAAATTTTTGTAATTAAATTATTGGAAATTAGACTAGAAATTTAGGCAACTTTTTTTGATACTTAAAGTTCGAGACTCACAATATAAATTCTGGCGATGTATTCAAACGATTTTGGATTACTGGTGTCGTAAACCAAAGCTGCTACGTCGCATTGGATTTGTGAAGGGGTTAAGGCATCTTGAACGTTAAGAATGTTTATATCCCTCAGGATTATTGTCTTCTCTTGACCGTAAACGTGCACCGTATTCACAGTAACGTGAGAATTCTGAGGTACTTTATCGTCCGTCAATTTCTGAAATTAAATTCACGTTTCATCAATTTTATAATTATGTTGCATCAATTATTTAATGATGATTCGGTTTTTCGAATTTTTCTTTACTATTTTCAAAAAAAGTTGATATTTCTTAAATAATGAAACTTACAACAACAAAAAATAAACAAAATCAAAATTAGTAAAATTTAAAAATACTAATGTTCATTGTTACCTCCATTTTAGGATCAACAAATGTCCTGCAAAGTGTCGTTTTTCCACTGCTCTTCGGACCGATCACGTGACAACTGTAGACATTACGACTGGATTGCTTTTTAGCGAGATCTAATTTTTTCTCCCTTGTCACGGTAACGGCGCTCGTTGGTGACTCGTTATTATACAAATTGTAGCCAAGATAAGCCATGTATTCTAAAGTTTTCTTAACGTTAGTATAAGTTAGTAAAGCCCACTGACACATGTATCCTTGAAAAGTGATCCATCCCTGTAATAATTTTTATTAAGTCTCAATTTCGAAATTTTTTCTTGATCTATTATATAAGATTTAAAAATGTTTTTTTTATAAAATTTCAAAGTACCTGATCATTTGTGCAAACTGTATGCTTGTATTCGTCTTCCCAGGGTGGAGCGATACATTTTGAAAATAAAGACTCCATTTCCTCGGGCGATAGAGCACCGTCATGATCACGATCGTGCATTGTGAACAGTAAAGTCAGAAACTCTTGACCCTTGTGCGACAGTTCTGTTGTACATCCTAGAGGAACTTTTAACCTGATTGTGAAAAGAGAAATTATTTCAATTTAATGAAAAGAAAATATTATTCCAATCTAATAAAATGAGAATATTATTTCAATCTAATAAAATGAAAATATTATTTCAATATAAAAATTCTGAAATTCTGAAAAAAAATTCTGATCTCTAAATTTAGCGTCGACGTTGAGTGTAAAAAGAATTTGTTTTCTACGGAACCGAAAAATTACATAGGGGAAGTTTTTAACCTTTATTAGAAGAAAAATTATATAGTATAGAAGAAATAGTTAGAAGAAAAAAAAAATTTTTTTGCACAGAAAACAATATTTTTGTTTACAAATTTTTATTTAAAAAAAAATATTATAAAATATTATAATAATATTATAATAAAATAATAATTTATAAAATTTAAATTTATAAAATTTATAATTATAATAATTATAATAATATTATAATAAATATTCAAAATATTTTGAATTTTCGCTGAAAAAATATTGTTAAAAAAACGTTTTTTAGCCAAACTGTTGAAAAGAAGAATATTTTTTCTATTTTAATTAATTCTATTTGAATAGAAAAAATATTCTTGATTATATAAACATTGTGAGCTTTACCAACGTCAAAAAATGTAGGCAAAATTTACAATCTTTATGATCCAACGATTGGAAGCAAAAAAATATTTTTTCTTCGTTAAATAAAAAGTCTCGGAGTTCGAGATGAATGAAAACTAAAATTTGTGGCAATTTTCTTCACTAATAAAAACCCCAAAAAAATTTTTTTGACGCTGAGCGTCGATGCCAACTTGAGGAATCTTGAAAAATAAGAAGTAAAAGTAAAAGAGAAGATATAATAAACATACGTAGGATGAACGTAATCTTTCGACATTTGCAGATCATTATCATAGCCAAACTTCCTAAGAACAGCCCAAGTTGTCTCATTGCGACCGCGTTGAATAAATAAACATTGTAAGTACATAAATCCTTTCAAAGTGACGCATCCGTTGTAAATGCCATCGTTTATATTTTTCGATAAGACAGCTTTCACATCTTCGAGCACTTGTGGTTGTAGAGGTGTATTAAAGCACCATTGTTGAAATGCATTCAGCTCCATATCACTCAGTAGACCATCGTTGTCCAAATCGCAAATCTGTCAACAAAACGATGTCAAATAAATTTTTTGGAAATTTACAATTTACTATTTTTGGAAATTTACAATTTACTGTTTTTGGAAATTTACAATTTACAATTTTTGGAAATTGGAAAATGTAAAGTAAACTGAAAGATAGTTGAAGTAAAGTTTTTACTTCTTTACTCACTTTAAATATTCTCTTCAATGCATTTTGACACTCTTCAGTGAGCTGTAAATCAAAACAGAATTTTTACATTCGTTCAATTCAAGAAATCGAAATTACGATACTAATTGAAAATGACGAAGTTGAAGTCCACAACGTTGATCAACGAAAAAAATTTGTTTCATCTATTCGAATATTATTTTTAATTTAATATTTAATTGTATAACAATTATTATCAGAACATAAACATCAATCTATTTTTTCTAAATATTGTTGTGTCAATATTGCTGCGATATATTTTAATAATTTATTAAGTAAACAATTTTTTTCGTTGATACCTAAACGTTGTGGACTTCAACGTGGTTGAAAATGTACAAACCTCTTGCGCATCGTAATTATACAAAGGAGTCGTAGGGTGCAATACCGCTTTTTGTGCATAATAGAACATCTCTGAAATATTTTGTAACGTCTTTGCTGAACACTGCAACAACAAAAAAATAATAAAGATTTATAGAAGGAAAATTTTCAGTAATCACTTAATGTAAAAAAAATTTAAACTCACCTCTATACAACTTTCGATTTCCGAAAACTCTTTCATAATCGGATAAACAGCCTGAAAAAGTTAATGATAGAGTTATTAATAGAGTCTATTATGAATAAAGTTAATTAATACTAGAGTTAGTTAATTATAAAAAAAATTCAAATTGCAGAGATCACAGAAGGTAAAAGGTGAATTATTTTCTAATAATAGGTGACAAGATGACAACAAAAAATTATATTTATTTACATTCTCATAATTTTATTTTCTTCCAATAACTGAAGATTAAAAAGTTAATAGTTTATTGAAAGGCTTAAAATTTGCGAGATAAATTATTATCAATCATTTGAAACTAAAATCAATTAAAATTTGGGTAAATGAAAATTAATTGACAAAGTGAATTGGAATTTCTATTATTATTAAAATTTATCAATAAAAATTTGGAATAACTATAAGTTCCTTTAACAGAAATTCAGATTTTTCGAAATGAAAAGTAAGTTATGACCTTAAGGTCATAAATATTCAAATGACAGGAAAATTTATTCATTTCTTTTTCAAATTTAAATTTTATTATTATAATATCGCATCACTTCAAAAAAAACCAATTTATAAAGTTTCGTAAAATTACTTTTCTGATTTTTGAAAATAGTTAAATGCCGAAAAAATATTTCATTCATAATTTTTGAAACACAGCAGCTGTACAAAAAACTGATTGTAAATCAATTTAAAAAATATTTTTCTTAATATAATTTTTATGAATAATAGGTAAAATTATAATTCACAAAAATCTTGTTTAAGAAAATGTTTAAAAAAATAATTTAGCAATTTTTTCGTAAAATGTTCCTGAAAATAGATAAAAAAAATACACAAATTGAAATTTCAAACGATTAAATTGAAAATTGAGTAGAATTAAAAATTATTTAAGTTTTGAGAAAAATTGAATTTGAGCTTTAAAAATAAAATAATATTTCATAGAATTCGAAAGATTAAAAATTTATTCCCCTAAAGTTTTGAACGTTCAAATCAATAAAGTATTTTTTCTGCTCTAATATTTCTGAAGATATTACTAAACTGAAATGGAAAATATTGTAACTGAAAATTTATTGGGTTGAAAATTAATTTTTTAATTATAAAAAACAATATTTTGGAATAAAATTCAAATTAAAAGAATTAATAAAAATATCGTCGTTCAAATTTTAAATAAATTTAATATTTATAGTAAGGAATTTATTTTCTAAATTAACAGAAATTCAATATTTTTTAACGAAAGATAAAGAACATCGTTGTTCTTTTCAAATCTTTAGGAACATAAAATTTTGACGAATTAAATTCAGAGTCAATTGAGATATCAGGGTGTTTACTATTTTCGTTCAACAAAATTCCCGTTTTTTTCCTGGCTTTGTCCTAATTTTTCACGGTTTTTTTTTCTTATCAAATTTTAAATTTGATTTCGAACATAAATAAATCTACAAATGGCTTCAAAAATTTTTATTAGAGTTTTTATGAATAATTAAATTCTTTTGAAGAGTTTCTTTAAATTTTTTGAAAATAGTGTTCTTTTTAATAATTTTAACTAAAAATTTGGAGAATATTTGAATTAAACAAAGTAATTTTTCAATTTTTTAAAATAATCTTGTCTGTTCATAATATTATAATTGAAAATTTGATTAATTCAATTTTATTAAAATGTATTGGATACTGTGATTGAATTTCTGCAAAGAATTGAATTCTTGCGAAGAATTTTATTAAAATTTTTGAAAATAATAAGCAGTAATAATTAATTATGCACTTAATGAGTAATAAAAATTTAATTTGCTCAAGAAATAAATAAATAAATAAATAAATAACATATATTTGAACATTCAGAAATTTAAAATTTTTTAAATTTAAGAGAAGTTCAATAATTATAATTATTGAATAATAATATAACATAACTTTCAGAAGCAAAAAATTGATTTAAAACTTTAAGAGGGACTTTATATTTTAATTAAATTAAAATTATTTTTAATAGAATGTAAAGAAATTTTAATTAATTCAAAAATTTTCAATTATTTGTTTATAAAAATTCAATTATCTTGAAATGTAAATTAATTAAAAAATTTTAGAAATTTCTTAATTGAAAAACTATTTGGAAAATTTATAAAATAGGTAAAAATTGGCGAAATAGATAATATATTATGTGATCCAAAATTTAAATAAGGTCTGTGATCCCTGAAATTGATGTAAAAAATGAAAACTTTAAATACCTCGATTGTTGAATAATCAACGAGATCAATTTTGTTTCCTACAAGTACAACCGGGCAACGACTTGTAGTAGAGCATTTTCTTATAAGTGGCAGCCAATAAGAGGATGCTCTGTCAAGAGTATCTTCATCTTCGACAGAGTAAACAACGCATATCACGTGCGCTTTTTGAATTTCATCACATAACTGGTCCTCCGTTTGCTCCACCGCTAAAAATTAATTTCCATTTAATAATTACAAATATATACTTTCACCAAACTAATTTTAAATATAATAATAAACTATTTGCAATGTAATAAACTAATTTGAAGTACAATAATAAACTAATTAAAATATAATTAGTTATATGGTATAAATATTCAAAATTATATTGTAATTTTACAAAAATTATATTGTTAAATTAATTACAATATAATAAAAAAATAAAAAGTAGAATTTAAAAGAATAATTTACCGGAGTAGTCGACGATTCGCGTCGGCACTTGCTCTGGAGTAACATCAGCGGGTATAGTGATTTCCTCTGCCTTTCCAGGAACATCTTCAGCGTACTCATCACTCACAAGAGATAATATTAAAGAAGTTTTACCTATAAAAAATAAATACTAGTAAAAATCAAACACATTTTCAAATTATTTTTCACAAACGCAATTTTATGTACATGTGAGTAAAAATTACATAACTTGTGTTGTGAGTAGAAAAAAAACCGACAAACTCGTAACTGATTATAAAGAATTAATCCCTTTAATTCCACACCACAGTAGAAATTATCAGTCATTAGAAACCTATACACTTAATTAGTTGCAATTCGTCAATAAAACTCATTTCCATAATGAAAAAGTAACGTTCCTTTAAATTGAAAGTTTTCACAGAAAAAAATCTAAATTACTCGTTTTAGGACTAAAAAGACATATATACAAATAGTATGTTTTGCAACATATATACATATACAGTGAGTTAATTAATAGGACAATAGCGTAATTTTGATGACTGAAACTTGAACTAAATAACATTGATTAATGCCCTTGTAATATATTTATTACCATCAGCAGGATGCAAATTATAAAAAAAAATAGCTATGTGTATAATGTATAGACAACCTTGTTGTACTCACCAACTCCACGGTCGCCAACGAGGAGGATTCTGACGTTACGACGAGGAAGTACTTGACGCTGTTGCACCATACTTTTCCTCACTAGAACCTAGTGCAATCAGTGTTCCCTGATCCCGAAGGATCTTAATTTACAAATGAAAACATTGCTGAACTGAATCACATACACACAAGCAAATATACACTCCGACCTAACCTATAATGTTTTCCTTCAACAAAAACTTTCTTCTAGAGGATGATCTCTGTCGTGGGAATTGTTTATCTTTATGTTTTTGACACAAACAACATTATGTTCTGAGTGGGTTGTCAGAAAGATTCGCAAATCTTTTAACGCACAGCTGAGGAAAAAAGTAACTCTGCAAAAAAAGGAGAAAAAACTTACACCCACGACGAACGCTGTCGGGGGGCGCTCATCGAATTCAGCAGCAGAGAGAGAGAGAGCAGCTGGGGGAAAACTCGGGAGGGCTTTGGGGTGGCCTTTTCAAGGTTACGTCCAGCACGATCGTTGTGTCAGATACACACGTGGTCAATAATAAACTCTCCAAACTTTCCCGATAGAAGAGGATTCAATTATAATCTCAAATGATAAGAGAGCGATAAGATTCAATTTCATCAATATTAACCACTTGCCATTTTTTTGAGGTTATGTTTTTACCGGAGGAAAACAACTGCGATTTTCTTTTTTTAAGATATAAAAAAAATACCTGTGTTTGTAAAGGTTGTAAATTACTGAAGATAGAAAATGGAAATTTTTTTGAATAGTCATAATTATGTTCTATTTATAAAAATTGATCGGAGAAAAAATTACATCAAAGTGTTTTGTACTTATCGCAATATTGTAAACTGTAAACAAGAATGAGAATAAAAACAGAAAAAGATAATCTCCATTTGATATGTGATATGTGGATGATTGATTTCCTTGATGCCTCGATCATTCTGATCGATATGTTAACACTCTTAATTATAATTATCTTACTAAAGACAGTACTTTGCAATTAATTTTCCAATTTATAGTGGTTTAATTTTTGAATTCTTATTGAATCTCCGCAGAGATCTGCAGAGGCGCCTGTAAAATACCGCCCTTCGTACAACACTGTAAAGCCGAAGTCTTCACGAAGGGGCAATTTTTTAACGAACCTGTAAATTAATTACCTCTTAATTAATTAATTCTATAGAAAAATTAATTATAATTAGTTGCATTTTCATTCCTCAAAAACCGAAAAAAATAATTTTCGAAGCTTAGCGTCGACGCTAAGCTTTAAAAATTATTTTTTGCGGTTTTTAGGAATGAAAATGTCCTTTATTTCCCTAGGGAGTTAAAATAATTTCAGGTCATTTTAACCTGAATTTTAATTTTAATTTAATTTTAACTTAAAACCTTAGAAAAATTGTTCTATTCATTCAATTTTTTTTAGCTAAAAAAAGATAGAAAATGATTTTCATAAAAATTATTATTAATTAATTATTATAAGTTAATTTTTATTAATTAATTTAATTATATTTTAATTTCACAAATTATAATGTAATTAATTGTAATATAATGTTGATTTAATTGAATTTATCTGCATAGTCATAACAATGTGTTTTTAGCATTTTTTACATTGTATATCAGTCTCGTAAAAATGAGATTAATTTGTCTCAATACTATGTGATTAGTGTATACGCATAAAGAATATCTTTTTACGCACATATACGACTATACTAATTGATTGAAAGTTAATTAGAAAATTAAGAAAACTAATTAAAATTATAAACATTTATAGAATTAAAATTAATTAAATATACTGAATATTAAATTTCTAATACTGATTAATAGTTTTCTAATAATGATTAATAATTCATTATTAATTAAAATTAAATAAAAAAATAAAATAACTAAATTACGTAACTAAATGTTACAAAATAATATTGTTTTTTTCTTATACTATAGTATTAATTAATTTAATACCGTTTAGTATTTTCTAAATCTGAATTAGTGAAAAGTTTTTGATTGCAATTTAAATTATTTAAATAAATAAACTTCGGTTATTAGTTATAAATTCAGAATATTACATCATCATTATTTTGTAAAAATACACATACATTTTTACAAAATAAACAAAAGATCTCTTAAAATTTAATAAAATATTAGGACAAATTTTCTCAAAATAATATCAAAATTATTTTTTTATTTGTAAATGTTCTTATGATTTATGTTTGAAGGAAATATTTGTTATTAAATATATTTTCTGAAATCACTGATTGCAACTGATTTTTTGCTTTTAAATTAGTAAATTTTACTAATACACTGGGAAAAAAATTTATTTGATTCAAATAACCGATTACTTGACTATTATTAATAAAATATTTAATTGAATCAAATAATATTTTTTTGAGTCAATAAAATATTTAATTGAATCAAATAATATTTATTGGAGTTAATAAAATATTTAATTGAATCAAATAATATTTATTGGAGTCAATAAAATATTTAATTGAATCAAATATTATTTATTGGAATCAATTAAATATTTAAATGAATCAAATAATATTTATTGGAATCAATAAAATATTTAATTGAATCAAATATTATTTATTGGAATCAATTAAATATTTAAATGAATCAAATAATATTTATTGGAGTCAATTAAATATTTTAATTGAATCAAATAATATTTATTGAAGTCAATTAAATGGTTCAATTCATATTTGCTTCAAATACTGAAACTATTGGTTTAAATACCAATTAATTGTCAATTAATCGGTTATTTGAATCAAATAATTTTGTTTCTAAGTGTAAATAGTAATTTCTATTAATTTATTAATTTTCTTATTATTTGTAAAATTTACTAATTAAAAACCAAAAAGTCAGGTACTAATTTAAATTAGTAAAATTTTACTACTTTCAATTTAGAGAGAAGATCATTAGAAGGAGCTAGAAATGTTTTTCTAAAAATTGAAGAAAAGAGTAAAAACGTCTTATTTTAAGACAGAAGAGTCTTTGTTGAAGAAGCACCTATTTTTAAGTTAGACGTTTACTGAATTTTTTCGAAAAATTTTTTGCATGGAGATTATAGGCGGTGCTGAATTTTGGACTTTGATCTTAATATGGACCTAATCCGACTGAAATAGAATAAAAATAATCACAGGTCGTAAAGATGATGTTGATGATGATGCATATACCTCAAGAAATTACGAATTCACATCCTTTACCACGTAACCTTCGATCATTAATCTGAATATTATGAGATGATGATGGGTCACAAGGTCGGTAGCTCGGCGATAGCTAAAGAGTATAAAAGATGAAATTAAAGTAGCGGTAAGCACAATGGTCATTGGTGCACAATGATCTTCAGTTCAGTGTTTTTAGCCCTTGTGGCTTTCGGAGCCGCTGTTCCAATAACAACAAATCAGCAAGCCGGTAATTCTTTTTTTTCGAACATTTTTCTTTCTTTTTCTTTTTTCTAGTATTCTACTAATTAAGTTTTCCCTTGTTTCTTTTCTGAAATTCTTGTTTTTCATATTCTTAAGAATAAAATACCTTCTCATGTGATGAGAATATAAAAAATAAATAATACTATTCTTGAGAATAATAACCCCCACAGCATCTAAACTTGCAACAACATTGACAACATTGCTTCGAGTTTTTAAAATATTGAGGCAATGTTGTCAATATTGCTGCAAGTTCAGATGCTGTAAAAAATGTTTAATTATTTATTTATTATTAAAAAAATACGAATATAATTAATTATAAAAATACTAATAGAACTTTACCTTTTTTCAGCTGATCAAACCTTATTACAAAGACAAAATGAAGTAATTCAACTGCTGGAGAATATTGTTGGCGAAATCCCCAATGAACACTTATCCACAATCGGCCACACTTATGACATTGAGGGAAATCTTCAGTCATATGAAAATCCAAATTTAGTCAAATACCTTGCAACAGCTGTGAGGACAAATAATGTCCAGCCAAAGGGAACCGTTTTCTCAACAACTGTCAACGAACTTCGTCAAGAAGCCGTTCTCCTCACAAGAATCCTCCTTGGTGCTCGTGACTGGAAGACTTTCATCAACACCGCCGCCTGGGCTCGTGTTCACTTGAACGAACCTCAATTCCTCTCAGTTAGTACAATTTTTATTACTTTTACATTATTATAAACTTAAATATGTTATATTACTTTTATATTAATTTATAGTAATAATAATAATTGCTTTTTTATACTACACTGAAAGAAAGGCTTTCACAAATATGAGTATGAATATCCCAAACAGCATCTAAATTTGCATCAGCATTATGACAACATTGTCTCAATATTGTGATAAACATGCAGCAATATTGAGACAATGTTGTCAAAATGTTGCTGCAAGTTTAGATGCTATAGGGGTACGAACAGTGTTTCCATTTCTCACTTTGTTTTCGTTTTTCTATCATAGGCTTTCGTAGCAGCTATTGTTCAGCGTCAAGATACACAAGGTATCATTCTACCACCTGTGTATGAAATTCTCCCTCAAAATTTCTTCGACTCTCGAGTAATTCAAGAAGTACAAAATATCAAGTCCAGAGGAATTAAACAAGTAGATGGTAAGACGATCATCATACCGATCAACTACACCTCCCACTTGCCCACTGGTGAACACCGCATTGCCTATTTCACTGAGGACATCGGTCTCAACTACTACTACACTTTCCTCCAACTTATCGGATCTTTGGTTCAAGAACAAGTTAGTTTCAATATTTTTCATTCCTCTTTTCCAATTCCATAAATTTACAGAATTTACATTCTCTAGATTTACAGAATTTAAATTCCCTAAAGTTACGGAATTTAAATTCCCTAAAGTTACAGAATTGTTCTGTAACTAGATTTAAGGCCAATTTCACCAATGCCGATTAAAAGTTAATCAATGATTAAATCCTCAACCAATAAAGAGTTGTTGAACTGTATTTAATCATTGATTACCCCAACAGCAATTAAAGTTGCAGCAACATTAAGAATATTGCTTGCAAGATTCACAATATTGAGGAAATGTTGTCAATCTTGCTGCAAGTTTAGATGCTGTTGGAGTAACTTCCCTCTGGGCACGGAAACGTCTTTGTTCTAGAAACGTTCCTAAAACGTTTTCAGAACGTTAACGTTTCAGAACATAACGTCTTAAAAACGGTTTATGTCCCAAAAACGTTTTTAGAACATTGGACGTTCTTAAATCGTTAGGTAGCGGACATGAAACGTTCTAAAAACGTTTTAGGAACGTTTCTAGAACAAAGACCTGACCAGCGGGTTTTAATTGAGGTTTTTAGACCCTTAGTCTAAAATCAAGTTATAGAATTGCAACGTTCAGTTACCTAGAAGAAATCCTTTTTCCAGACTCAGAAAGAAACCACCGGTACCCAACAACCAACTGGCCATGGAGCACAATGGCTCTACCTTCAACAACAACTCGTAGCCCGCTACAATCTCGAACGTCACGGAAACAATCTTGGCCCCATTCCAGAATTAGACCTCAAAAATGTCAACATTCCATTCAAACCCCATTTGAGCTACCTGAATGGTCTTGAAATGCCCGGTCGTACCGAGGGACCAATCAATGTCGCCGCAATTCGTCCAGAATTATACCGCCTGATTCGCACTCTAGAACAAAGATTATTATCCGCAATCGACTCCGGACGTGTCATCACACCCAGCGGTGCACTCCTCTCCCTCTACCAACCACAAGGTTTGAACATCCTAGGAAATCTCATCGAAGGCTCTGGAAGAAGCGTCAACCCCAGATACTACGGAAGTCTCCTCCAAGCATCAAAGGTTCTCCTCTCCGGAACTCCCGAGTTTGACAACATTTGGGAATACACTCCAGCTGCTCTTGAACTTTCCTCCGTCGCCACTCGCGATCCAGCTCTCTATGTTCTCTTGAAACAAATCACCCAACTTGTGCAAAGATACCAAGAGTCCCTCCCAGCCCACCAATGGAATGACATCGTTCTACCCGGTGTTCAGATCGAGAGAGTTGGCGTCAGCAAACTTATGACATACTTCGAGGACTATTTGGTGAATCTTAACAATGCTGGAATTCAGGGTACGTGGGAAAATTTGGTTAAGGATTATCAGCAACAACAACAGCAGAAGAAGGGACAAGAGACACAACAGGGGGAAACTGGTTTGAACATCAAGGGTCTGCTCAAGAGGCTCAATCACTTGCCGTATGAGTTGGAAATTGTTGCTCAGAGTCAGCAGAATATTCCTAATGCTGTTGTTCGCGTGTTCATTGGACCGAAATTCACTCATGAGGGTCTCCCAATTGATATCAATGCTAATCGAGAGGATTTCGTCGAGTTGGATCAATGGATCGTTGATCGTAAGTGAAAATAATTAACATTGATGGCAGGGGAAAAAAGGGGCGCGCAAGCGCATAGCGGTTGCGCGAGCCTTTTTTCCCCGGCGTCACTACTTTTTTCCCCTCCGTCTGACCTGAAAATTTCGGGTTTCCACCACTACCCAGAGGCTGTCTTCGGCAATATCACCACTTCTTCTGTTTTCAGTTACTACTGGACAAAACGTCATCACTAGAAAATCTCGCCACTCATCCATCCAGGGCATTGATCATCCATCAGTTGACGAAATGATCCCAACTATCGAAAGAGCCATGCAATCCCAACAGCCGTTGTATACCATAAAGGTAACTTCTTTTTCCTTTTCTTCTTCCTTTTTTGCCTCAATATTCAGAAGAGTTTCAAACAAATAATTTCTTTTAGCCACAACAACTTTTTTTCCCTCAATATTTAGAGTGGTTTCAAGCAAATAATTTCTTTCAGCCACAGCAACTCCTCAGCTTCCCTGCCAGGCTCTCCCTACCAAAGGGCTCATACGGCGGTAACCAATTCCAAATTCTCGTTGTCATCTCAGCTGGTCAAAAGCCCCTCCAATATGGACCAATCACTCCCTACTCTGTCAACTCCTTCCACAGTAACCAATGGCAAACAGTGAATGCCGATCAGTACGAACAAATGATCGCACAACCAACAAAGGACCAAACATTAGTGGATGTTGTTCCCGATTTTACAGTCTTGGGAGGCGGTATCAATCAAGGTGAGTTTTGACAAATCTGCAAATTTCTTCAAATCTGCTTTTAGTACCCCAAAGCAGATTTTCTGTAATAGGCTTCTTTTTCATAGTAACTTTCTGCTTTAGCAAATATTCGATTTCGATTTTCTGAACTCGGAAACACTTTCTTTACTTATTCTTTTACTGCGGACAAAGCTTGATTGTAAATTCTTCTCCGTTACACAGAAATTAATTCCTCTTTCAGGCAAATGGCAATGGACCAACCTCTACAACCGTTACCAGGGATACTACTCACAACCTCAATGGCGTCACACTCTTCAGAACCAACAATGGCAAGGAGTGAGACAAGGACAAACCTGGGGAGTTCAAGGTCAAGGCATCCAAGGACAAACTTTGGGAGTTCAAGGCCAAGGCATCCAAGGACAAACTTTGGGAGTTCAAGGTCAAGGCATCCAAGGACAAACCTGGGGAGTTCAAGGACAAGTTCCTCAAGGACAAAACTGGGGAGTTCAAGGTCAAGGCGTTCAAGGACAGAACTGGGGAGTTCAAGGTCAAGGCGTTCAAGGACAAACCTGGGGAGTACAAGGTCAAGGCGTTCAAGGACAAACCTGGGGAGTACAAGGAATTCAAGGACAAGGAATTCGAGGACAAGGAGTCCAAGGTCAAGGAGTTCAAGGTCTAGAATGGAACACCACTGGTGTTGAAGGACAAGATGATGAGCAAAACACACAAAGGAGTGGACAAATTGTTGAGAAATACTACAACAATCTTCCAATTTCTCAAGTAATTGGTGGAGCAATTTCTCTTGATGGAAAACCATTCGGATGGCCATTGGACAGGCCAATTGCACCAAGTGCATGGAGTGTACCAAATGTATTCGCTCGCGATGTTGTCATTTACCATCAAGATGTTCCAGTCACGACTGTACCAAGGACACTGAATTATTAATCCTTCTGCATACACGACTATTCTTCTATAACTCCTACTTTTAATCACGATATTTATTATATTGACATGTGCTTATTTTTTTAATTCTTATTATTGTTTTATTAATTTTGTATACGATTGGGTTATGCGACTGAACTGCAAGTTTTTTTGTATTTAAAGTATAATAATGATAAAATAAATTTTTTTAAGAACAGTGAATTATGAGTTGAATTATTTAATTATAGAAAACATTTTTCATTGGGTTCTATTATTTTTTTTTGTAAATTTTATTTTATTCTTTTGGTAAATTGTATTTTATTCTTTTGGAAAATGTAGAAAATATATTTTTGGAACATTTTTATTTATAATATAGATTGAAGAAGAAGAAGAAGAAGAAGACGAAAGGGCAAGTTCCGTCTGTATTGAAATAAATAAATAATGAAAAAGTGATTTTTTATTTACTACCATTGTACAAATGAAAAAAAAATAAAAATTAGCTTGTAATAATAAAAAAATACAAGACTTAACAGGATATCAAAATGAAATTAAAAATTCATACAATGATAAATGATAAAAACTGAATAAGAACTGTTTTTCATTCTTATCCCATTAAAAATGAAAACTTCTTTCAACAATATTTGTCTTTTACTAAACTGCTTACTAAAAATAGCGGAAAATAAAAAATTCTAATTATTATTATTATTATTGAAATCTGTAAATTTCATTTTTATTTCGTAAAAAAAGAAAAAAATTTGAAATTTGTTTTAAAATAAGTTTGTAATGAACTATAAATAAATAAACTATTTTTTAAAATAATTTTCCTCGTTTTTGTACTATCCTTTGTTAAATATTTAAATAAACAACTTCTTCTTTAAATAAAACAAAATATTATTCTTTTGAAACCAATTTAATTTTAACCCAGATAGTAATTAAAATAATTTTAGGATCAGTTATTTTTGTTCTATTAATATTATACACATGAACTGTATAAAAATGTATCAAATTTTACAAAAATAAAATAATCCAAAAATTTCAGTTTTGTTGTCTACTATTAATTATTAGTATTAAATAGTATTAAATAGTACCAAATAGTATTAATTAAAATTAAGTTAATAGTATTTAATATGTTTTAAATTATTATATTAATACATTACTAATTAATCCACTTTTAATACCTTATTGAATTCATGAACGAAATTATAAAATTTGTCAAAAGTGTAGAGGAAATATAAAAACTCTTATTATTTCTTAAAAAAGAGAAGACGCGAAGAAATGAGAAAAGCGAATGCAAGATAAAAAATCTTAACGTGCGTTCCAAGGACTTTATATATACAGAGATGCACTGCATATCGCAGAAACTGTGATAAACCTTTGACAAAAGGAAATCAGTTTGTTTGCTTTAGTGTTATTAGTAAAAAATTTTCTTAATATTTGGAGATATAATTCTTAATTACTTAATTACCACACAAAATGCATTATATTCATTGCTGTAATTAATTTTATCGTTTCTGATAGATGTATTTATTATTATACTTTCCTTATTAACAAATTCATAATGAATTTCCAATTAAAATCTATATCATAATAATTACATTTTTTAAATAATTCGAATAAATCGTCAAAAAGTACGGGATAATTTATTTTTTCAAAATATTATACTATAATTTAATTTAATAAAAATTTAAAAACCTGGAAATTGGATTTTTTTAAATTTGGTAGCAATCTTGCAGTGCAAGTCAATATTGCAGGAAACTTATTGGACAAGCTTGCAGCAATCTTACATGGAAAGCTTCGGAAAAGTTCCTGTACCTAATTTCAAATTGATGGGACGTATTAATTTTCTTTTTTTATTTAATTATTTATCATATTTTGTAAAATATATTTATATTATTTACTGGACTATTTAATTTCATTATTTAATTAAATTATTCAAATAAAATTAGAATTTTATTAATTAATGCAATTTAAAACTGTTGTAAGCTTGCCGCAAGCTCAAAGTGACATTTACACTGTAAAGAAATGAATCTTACTTTCAGGCCATTTCTTATTAAAACTATGTTTATATCAAAACCATTTTTAACTTAATTTTAGCCTTGAGAGTTTGATTTGATTTTAAGTCCTAATATTGACTAAATATAATTTTAAGTTAATATAGTAATTATAGTAATACTATATTAGTATACTATATATAGGGGAGAGTGGGGCAAACTGGACCCCCTAACGGTTTTTTGACTCTTGTGACTAAACGAATCAACCGATTTTATTTTCCGATGGCTTGTTTGAAAGATCATTTAATTGCGCAACTTTTTCCCAGAGGCACCTACACTTTATCTTTTATTGTTTAGTTGCTGTGTTAACTTTAAAAAATTTTGCAAACGGTCCGGTTTGCCCCCCCCCCCTGAGGTAAACCGGACCGTTTGGTTTTTTATTTATAATATTGCATTTACATAATCTACAATAATAAAAAACATAAAGAATCATGTAAACAATGGTTGTAGTAATGAAAATAATAATACGGGATTGAATTTTAATTAAATGAATATTTTTTTCAATAAAAAAATAAAAATGTTTGTCATTATCAGAGAAACAATATTAAAGGGTCCAATTCTCATTGGAAGGCAATTATTTTCCATTGTAAGTAAATATTTTAATGAAAGAAACATTTTATTTAAAAATAATTTTTATGAAACTTTAATTCAATGAAAATATCCTATGGCCGGTTTGCCCCACCGAAAACGGTCAGGTTTGCCCCACAGGCCCATTTTGAGAATAAATGTTTGTCAAAAAGAAACGCTTTGCAAATTCATCAAAGTTTTTGGTGGTAAATATTCCTGAGGTGTGTACCTTCAAAACCCAAGACCTAATATTTGGAAACATTACACGATTTCCTCAGAATTTCCTTAAGAAAAAATTCGTAAAAGTGTAGAAAAAAACTAAAAAAAAAAAAAACTTTTGCTCCCTTCGTCGCCCAAACGCAAGCTAAAACTGTCAGATTGAAAAAATAAGGTATACTAAACATGGTTGTTTTAAATTTGTAAACATCACTTTTTCCAATTTCGCCAATTCGGAAATATTGAGGGGGGTCCGGTTTACCCACCGGTCCGGTTTGCCCCACTCTCCCCTACTAATACTAATTTTTAGTAATAAAATATTAATTGCTAATAGAAGACTAATAATTTATGTAGTATGTCGACTTAATCTATAAATTTGAATTAGTAAAAAATTTACAAATGAAATGAGGAAAAGTCGTCCATGAAAACTATACCTACTATCAATTAGTAAAATTTTTCTATTTGTTATATAGTAATTTAGATTTAGAAAGTACTAATTTGACATAATAACAGACATGAATTACTACATGAATTATTATACTTTTCTACTGTCAATTAGAATAGTTTTCTACTAAAAATTAGTCAAAATTGTTACTAATTCAGCTAGTAAACAAATTCACACTATTTTATTAGTAAAAATACTTTTTTTAGCTTTAGAGAGTATGTAGATAGTACTGCTCCCTATTGAAAAAGTATGTTTGTCTTTACACGTGAATTTACATATGCAATTACTCGCGAAATTATTGCGATCCTATTTTAAAAGGTGAATTATAATTGTATTAAATTTAAAGAGGAAAGAATTTTTAATGCAGAAAGATATAAATACTGTAAAATATTTTTTGGAAATTGTTCTTCTTGATTATTTATAAACCGTCCCAAAATATTGAACACACTTTGAAATCATATTGTATCTATATGCAATTATTATAACATTTTTAAATTTTTTCTATATTCATAATTATTTTAATATCTTATTGTAACTTATTCAATTAAATTAAAACATCTTCATTAAACTTAAATTGGGTCTTTAAAATAATCATGCGTTAAATTTTATGAATCGTGACAATAGTCTTGTTTTTGATAAATATAATTTGTTAATTGTTAAATAAAATTTTTAACGTTAAAAGAAGAATAAAATTTCCATTTAAATCTTATAAACAATTGCACACTTGATCCTTATATTTTTAGTACGATTATCATTGACATTGCCGTGTTACACACATGACCAGAATTTGAAATAATAATCACTGACAGATTGCAAATGAAGTAAGGGGTCAACAGGTCGCGATGATAGTCTTAAAATTTTAGTATAAAAGGTGCCGATGCATCGAGACAAAGCATACTCCACTTGGTATCAACCATGAGATTCAGTGTAGTATTTTTGGCCCTTCTGGCCCTCGCAGCTGGTGTGCCCCAAGTGCCCCATCCACACGCTGGTAAGTCTAGACTTTACCACTATTCGAATTTTTCCAAATTTTAATTTTCAATTTTTTCTTTTAATTATTTTTGTATTGTGTTTAAGCAATGAAAAGTCAAAATGATTTTGAAAATTTGAATATATTTGCAAATTGATTGAAATTGAAAAAAAAATTTTCTTTTCAGCTGACCAAGGTCTTCTTCAGAAACAACAGGATGTCATCTATCTGTTAGAAAACTTGACTGGCGAAATCCCCAATGATCATCTCCGCGGAATTGGACACACCTATGACATCGAAGGAAACCTTCAGGCCTATGAGAACCCCAACTTGGTGAAATACTTCGCTACCGCTGTTCATACTGGAAATGTTCAGCCAAAACGTACTGTATTCTCCCCAACTGTTGATGCTCTCCGCCAAGAAGTCATCCTCTTGACGAGAATCTTCCTCGGTGCCAAGGACTACACCACCTTCCTCCACACCGCCGCCTGGGCTCGCGTTCACTTGAACGAAGGTCAATTCGTCAAGGCTTTCATCATCGCCGTTCTCCAGCGTCATGACACGCAAGGCGTCACCATCCCACCAACCTACGAAATCCTCCCCCACTACTTCTTCGACGCCCGCGTCATCCAGGAAGTCCAAAACATCAAATCTCACGGAATTGGACACAATGCTGGTCAACAAGTCCACTACATCCCAATCAACTACACCTCCCACTTGCCAGCTGGACAACACCACGTTGCCCACTTCACTGAAGATATTGGTCTCAACAACTACTACGAATACTTGCAACATGCTGCCTATATGCTACCTGAACTCGTAAGATTTTCGAATTTCCCTTTTAATTTCAATTTTAGAATTGCCAACTTTCATACTAATTGCTAATTTTTCAATTGCAGCTCCACGAACAAAAACAAGGATCCGGAGTCTTCGGACACCACAGCTATGAAGGAGACGATCAAGTTGGATACGGAGCACGTTGGTACTACCTTCATCAACAACTCTTGGCTCACTACAACCTCGAACGTCTTGGACAAGGTCTTGGCCCAGTCGAAGATTTGCACTACCACCAATTAGACATCCCACACAAACCCCATCTCAAGTACATCAACGGTCTTGAATTCTCAGGACGCCCAAGTGGCCCAATCGACGTTACCCACATCCGCCACCAACTCTACCAATACGTTCGCACATTGGAGCAAAGAATCTTCGAAGCCATCGACGCCGGACACGTCATCACCCCACAAGGTGCCTTCCTCTCTCTCTACCAACCACAAGGCTACAACATTCTTGGTGACCTCATCCAAGGAACCGGCAGAAGCATCAACCCACGTTACTACGGCAGCTTCGTCGAAGCATCCAAGGTCCTTCTCGGAGGAACTCCACAATACGACAACATCTGGGAATACACTCCATCATCCTTGGAAATCTCTTCCACCACTGTTCGCGACCCAGCCTTCTACAATCTCTTGCAACACATCATCCGCATCTTCAGACACTACCAAGAATCTCTCCCAGCCTACCAATACAACGACATCGTCTTGCCAGGAGTCCAAGTACAGAAGGTCGACTTCAGCCACTTGGTCACATACTTCCAGGACTACATTGTCAACCTCAACAACGCCGGAGTTGAAGGTGTCAACGAGAAGGAGCAAAAGGAACACCAAAAGGGAACTTTGGACATCAAGGGTCTCTTGAAGAGGCTCGACCATCAACCATACGAATACCAAATCTACGTTCAGAGTCAGAAACCCGTTCCCCATGCCGTCGTCCGCGTCTACCTTGGACCCAAATACGACCATGAAGGAGCACCAGTCGACATCAACACCCACAGACACCACTTCGTCGAATTGGACCAATTCGTCTACGATCGTAAGTTAACGTTACCTAAAAACACTAATTCAATTTCTACTAGTTTAGTTCTAGTACTTTACTAACAGTTTCGTTCTAGTACTTTAATAGCAGTTTCGTTCCAGTAATTTACTAACAGTTTAGTTCTAGTACTTTACTAATAGCTTACTAGTTTACTAATTGTTTACTATACCTCAAAATTAATTTTCAGTTGTTGAGGGACAGAACGTCATCACCAGAAACTCCCACCAATCTTCCATCCACAGTACCGATGTTCCATCAGTCGATGAAATCCTCCACCACGTTGAGAATGCCGCCCACGCACAAAGCCCACACTACGTCATCGAACCACAACAAATCTACGGATTCCCAGCCAGGCTCGCCATCCCCAAGGGTACCTACGGAGGTCTCCCACTCCAAATCCTCGTTGTCGTCTCCGGAGGACACCACCAACACCACTACGGACCAATCACCCCTGATTATGTCAACTCTTACCACAGCCACTCCTACCAACCCGTCAGCGTTGGCGAATACGAACAATTCGTTCAACAACCCGCCAAGGCCGGAGAAGGTTACACCATGGTCGAAGTTGTTCCTGATGTAGAAGAATTAGGCACTGGCATCAACCAAGGTAAGTTCGACCCGAACAGTTCTATTTCGTTTTGGTTTTCGCAGCCTGACAATAGTCCACTCCAGAGAGAGAAAAGTTGATTTAGCAAACCTAGGGTCAAACTACTAGGTAAACCTATCCTAATAGGATAGGAAATACCTATTGAGGAAGTTTGCCAAATCAACGATGTTTCTCTATGTCACGCAGTACTAAATAGACAACTAATGGTAAACATTCCTTATAGGCAAATTCCACTGGACCCAATTGTACAACAAATACCACGGTTACTACCAACAACCACAATGGCACCACCACCACGTTGAACACCATCAACACCAATACCAAACCGTCGGCACTGGCTACCACTACGGACAACACGGAGTCCAAGGACAACAACAACAACACCACCAACAACAAGGACAAACCCATCACGGAGTCGGTCAAACCGGACAAACTGGATACGAAGGTGGCAAATACCAAAGCATCTACCAACCCCATATTCACAGCGGAAGCGGTGTTGGACAACAAGGACAAGGTTACACCGGACAACACTACGCCCAAGGTTACGGCTACGGACACGGACACACTTATGGACAAGGTTACAACTACGGACAAGGTCAAACCTATACCCACGGTCAAGGACACGGACATGGACACGGATTCTACGGCGGTGCATACCCAACTGGAATCTGGGGATACGTCTCAGAAATTACTGGCCAGGAACCCCATGACGAGTACCTCCAGAAATACCATCACCAACACCACATCTCTGAAGTGATCGGAGGTGCAATCTCTCTTGATGGAAGGCCCTTGGGCTGGCCATTCGACAGACAATTGGGTGTCAGCGTATGGCACGCACCCAACATTCACTTGACTGACGTCTTCGTCTACCACCACGATGTTCCAGTTTCGCATGTCGTCGAGACCCATCATCATTAAAGTTGTTTATAGGAAAACAATTATTTTTAATAATGAAAATTCAACAACTCTTAACTTTTAATTGTAATCTTTGATTATTGTAATTTAGTTACTTCTCTGATATGGTATAAAATAAATTGCTATTAAATCAACTTTTCAAAGTTTCTATTCTTTTTCCTACAACATCTAATAAACTTGCAGCAACATTCACAATATTGAATGGAAATTTAACAATATTAAGGTAATCATTGTTGATGAAAGTTTAGATGCTGTGGGGGATATGTCTTTTGGAATTCTTTCTACAACATTTTCATTGCATTTTTATACATTTCTTATGACTGGACTACTTTAGGACCGAAAGTTTCCTATATTGGCAAAAAACCATGGATGTTTCTTAAACTTCTGAAAAAATTTCACGTCCGGAAAATAATGTTCCAAAATATTTTAAGAACATGGATGTTTAAATAATTTTCTAGAACATTATTTGCCGGACATGAAACCTTCCAAAACAGTTTTTGGAAGGAACATGGTTTTTTGCCCAGAGGGCTTTTTGTGAAGAATTTTATTAAAATCTAAAAGATTAATTGAATTATTTCAAAAAAATCGAATTAAAATTGTATATTTAAAATATAATTGATTTCTTCCGAACAATTTTATTAAAATATTTGAAAATAATTGAGTTCCTGTAGAAAATTTTAATATTTTTGTAAATAATTGAATTCTTCCAAAACATTTCAAAACAGCATTTTTTTTAATAATTCACTTTTTTGAGGAAAAAATCAAAAAATTTTTTAAAAAATTGAATTTTTATAAAAAAATGGTTATTATTAGTCAAATAAGTTAAATAAGAGAAAAATTTACTTAAAAACTAGAAATTAAATTTTTCATAACTATAAAACATGAAGACATCGATGACTCCGAGTCTTCGACTCGGAATAATCGCTTTCTTCATGTTTTATAATAATTAAAGATGGCAAATTGATAAAATCATCATTTCACATTATATAAGAATTTTTAACTAAAATTCTTCTTTAAACAATTATTTTTTAATAATTTTCGAAAACAAGTTCTTTGACAATTTTCAAATCTATTTGTTTACAATTTAATTTTACGAAATTTCAATTATTTAAAAAGTCTTCAATATTAAATAGGTATACATTAGAAAATAACAGCTTTAAAAAATTCAATTTCAATTTTAAATAAGCCTTTAAAAAAAATCCAATTAAACCTCTTGTTTATAAAAATAATTGAATTTTTCCAAAGAATTTAAAAAATACATTTTTAAAAATTTTTATAATTGACTTTTTCGAGGAATTGAAATCAAATTTTTAAGAATTTTTACATTTTTTGTGCAATTCCTTTAAAATTGTATTAAAAATAATTGAAATACTGCGATAAATTTTATTATTTATGTAAATAATTGAATAGCTGCTAAGAATTTTATTAAAATTTTCAAAAATAATTGAATTTCTGAGAAGAATTTTATTATTGATAAAAATAATTGAATTATTGCGGAAAATTTTAATAAAATGTTTAAAAATAATTGAATTTTTGTGAAAAATTTTGTTATTTTTGAAAATAACTGAATTATTGCGAAAATTTTTTATTCAAATTCCTAAAAATATTTGAATTTCTGTGAAGAATTCTATTATTTTTGAAAATAATTGAATTCCTCATAAGAATTTTATAAACATTATTTTAAATAATTAATTTTTTCGAAATATAATAAATATTACAAAAATGTTATTTTAAATAATTGAATTCTTGTGGAAAACTTTATAAATGAAAATAATTGAATTCCTCATAAGAATTTTATAAACATTATTTTAAATAATTAATTTTTTCGAAATATAATAAATATTACAAAAATGTTATTTTCAATAATTGAATTCTTGTGGAAAACTTTATAAATGAAAATAATTGAATTTTTCGATTAATTTATTTAAAATACTATTAAAAATAATTGAAATTCGTCGATGGATTTTTTTTTATGAAAATAATTGAATAGTTGCTAAGAATTTTATTGAAATTTTCAAAAATAATTGAATTCTTACGAAAAATTTTATTACTTTTTTTTAAATAATTAAATTCTAGCGAATAATTTTATAAAAATCATTTTAAATAATTGATTTTTTTCGAAAAATTTTATGAAAATTGTGTTTGCAAATAATTAAATTCCTGCGATAATTTTATTATTTATTCTTGCAAAGAATTTTATCAAAAAATTTGATAATATTAATTGAATTTCTTCGAAGAATTTTATTATTTATGAAAATAATTGAATTTGGGAAGAATTTTATTAAAATTTTTTATTAATCTTTATTAAATTCTTTGGAAGATTTTCTTTTGAGTTTCTTTAATAATTTTAATTAAAAGTCTTTAATTTATTGAATTAGATTGAATTTGTTAATAATTGTATTGAAAATAATTGAATTCCTGCGAGAAGAATTTTATTATTTATGAAAAATAATTTAGTTTTTGAGATGCATTTTACTATTTATAAAAACCCTATGAACTTCAACTCTTGCATGAAACATTGAAAAATTAACAATGGACATTTAAAGAAATAATCAAATCTTGTAAGAAATTCTTATTTCAAGAAGTTTTGAGAAATTTTCTAAACATCACTTTTCAGAAAAATGGTAATGATAAGAGTACTCAGTTTTTTATGAAACAAATAATTTATTAACAAATCTAGATCTTCATATGCTTGAGGTGTGTTAAAAATAATGCAAGTCTTTTGATTTTTGCAAAATTTTTTGACAATTTTCTATCGATGGGGATGTAATAAACATAGTCTCATTCTCCAGTCATCATCTCCATGAATTCTGAAAAAGAAAATTTAATTTAATTAAAGGAATGGAATTTATCATTCGGTATTAATTATATTAAAGGTGCAGAAGATTCGGAGCAATTCGGAGAGATTGTTAAATTCTTCCACCTTTCAAATTTAATTTAGTTTTGTGAATTAATTATTTGCCATGAAGATATCGTATTGTTAAGATAACACCACGATGAATAATTAAATACAAAAAACAAAAATACAAAAAATAAGTGTAGGAATAAAATTAATGACTTACCATCAAAATCAACAGTTCCAGAACCGTCGGTATCAATTTCAGCGATAATTCCATCGAGATCCGAACTTGTAAGTTTATCATCGAGAGCGGCTAAAATTTCCTTAAGAGTGGCAGTTGTAATGTAACCATTACCCTCTCTGTCATAAAGACGGAAGGCTTCTTTGAGTTCCTCCTGCATTGCCTCAGCGTCCTCTTCCTCAAGGAATCGACCAGCGATCCTGCAGAATCCATCGAAATTCACTTTTCCCGTACGATCCGGATCATTTTCCTCGATCATTGAATTTAATTCGGCATCGTCAAACAATTGACCCATTGTATTGAGAATTGTTGATATCTTCAGGGTGTCAATGAAGCCACTCTTCGTTGTGTCAAACATTTGAAATGCTTTACGCATCACAGCCGTCTTTTGTTCGTCTTCCTCCTTTCAATAATTTAGAAATATATTTATAGGTGCATTTTAGCAAAATAGTGTTTTACTGCAAGCAGGTTATTTTTACTTTTAGAGCATAAGTGATTCTTCTTTTTCAAGCAATGACGAAACATTCTTTAAAAAAAAAATTAAAGAATCTTAAAAAAAACGATATTTATTTTTCAAAATGGTACCGAAAATTGAGATCAAATTATGATTCACTTTTTAGTATCAATTCGTTGCAATTTCATACTTTTAAGTTTTAACACTTTATAATATTTTGAAGATGTATTTTTAATATAGTTGCAACTGCAAACTTTCTGCAAGCATGTTAGTTGGATACTATTCTAGTTTTATTACCAAATTTTAAAAAGTTTTTTTTAAATAAAATATTAAAAATATGCAACAGAGTTAACTATTAACAAATTGTAAAGAATTGATCCAAAAAAAAGTAGATCAAATCATATAAATTGATCGAAATTTTTGGTATTAATTTGATGCTTTCACTATGTTAACTCAAAACTATCAAATTGCAACAAACAAAAATCTGGATCAAATCATAAATGGATTGAAACTTTTGGTATTAATCTGATGCTTTCACTATGTTAACTGAAAAGTATCAAATTGCAACAAACAAAAATGTGGATCAAATCATAAATTGAACGAAACTTTTAGTATTAATTTGATCCAATGTGGTATTAATTTGATACTTTCAAGAAAACTATTATCAAAAAAAACTATGTAATCCTTAAAATTCACATTTTTCTTGAATGTGTTAAAGAATTGATCCAAAGAAAAGTGAATCAAATCATATAAATTGATCTAAACTTTTGGTATTAATTTGATGCTTTCACTATGTTAACTCAAAAGTATCAAATTGCATAAAGAACTGATACCAAAAATGTGGATTAAATCATAAATTGATCGAAACTATTTTGGTATTAATTTGATGCTTTCACTATGTTAACTCAAAAGTATCAAATTGCAACAAACAAAAATGTGGATCAAATCATAAATTGATCGAAACTTTTAGTATTAATTTGATCCAATGTGATATCAATTTGATACTTTCAAGAAAACTGTTATCAGAAAAACTATGCATTCCTTAAAATTCACATTTTTCTTGAAAGTATCATATTGCCACCAAATTGGATCAAATTAATTAATACCAAAGGTTTCGATCAATTTATGATTTGATCCACATTTTTGGTATCAAATTATGGTTGCAACTTGATACTATTAAGTTAACAGTTGTTGTCATAAATTTTCCACTATGCGTCGGTTTATCGAAAAAAATTCTATTTAAAAAAAATACTCTTCCTTTTATTGTCATTTAAAACAAAAAAAAATTAAAAATACAACTTCTGCGCTTCAATATCGAATATCACTAAATCACTTTTCTTCACTTTTCACTTTATATCAGCAGCACATTAAAAAAATCTATTAAATTTTTATTCTCAAATGCTTTTTTTTTGGGGCGAAATTTATGGAATTAAGTTTGAAAAATGGGTGATAATGATGAGAAGCTGGATTATACATAGAATGCCTGGAGGCTTACCATGATGACAGATGATTCGTGCGACGGACAGTAAACACCTGAGGAGCTCAATGCTCTTCTCTTGTGTATAAAGACGCCTCGTGAACCAAGTAAAGCAGCTAGAAAACGTGTCGGTGCAAAAATAGAGCAGCATGAGACGAAAAATGAAATATGTTATAAGTGCCACATGCACAACCAAAAACTCTTGTGGTATATGGATGGCAAAGAAAACCTTGTCATTCCATATGAAAACTGTTGCATATGCCGGAAGATTTATATCACCAGCCATGGCAATGAATATAACATGAGAATAGCGTATACACAACAGTTTGATGTCTCCTTTTTTTATCCTTTATAATTCCTTTTTTTATTATATTAAAAATAAATCAAATTTTTTCTAAGGATATCAAATTGAAACAAAAAACGTATCAAAATTGTTGCGATGCAACAATTTTACTACGTTTTTTGTCTCAATCTGATATCCTTAGAAAAAATGTGTTTGGAATTCGATTTCAAATGAGTTAACTAAAAAGATAATTTATTTGATTTTGATTATATTAGCGAAAGACTATATTTTAATTTGGCGATTACTATCTTATCTGTATAAATTAATGAGGCGGTTAAGAGGAGCAATTAAAAGGAAGATCTATCACATCAGATAAGTCAAAGAACTTAGACAATTAATTATAATTAAGACGTGACTTAATTAATTCTATACTATAATTAATTTATAATCTAGAACAAAATTTATGATACACAAAAGTTGTTCATTATTCAATTTCTTCAAAAAAATTTCTTTTCATTTATTAAAAATATTTCATTATAGTATAATAATAAATTGTACGAAAACAAAATTTTATTTAGGTCAATTAAGTGATTTTTGCTTCAAATATAGTCAAATTTTGGTTCAAATACGATTTAATTGACGTAAATATAAAAATACAGTTTTACTTTTTTGATTCTATTACATTTTTTTTTCAATGAAGAAATAAGCAAGCAATGGTAAATTGAATTCTTGGCTCAGAAAATTTCTTCGTATTTAATTGTTTCGCAATGCCGAGAAGTGGAACAAAAATTTCACATGGTTCATCATCATTATTATTATGTCGTTGATAGAGATGAATTAATATCATTCAAGATTTTATTAAACATAATTGCAACATTGTAGGAAAAGAAATTGTCGTCTATTTTGAAATTTTTATTACTGTAATTCATATTTATTTCCAGACTTCGTACTCGATATAATATAATTAATTTTAAAAAAGTAGCAAAAAGTAGAGCTTTCAAACTAAAAAAAAAAGTAGTAAAAAAGTAGCTATCGAAAAATTAAACTTGATGACCCAAAAAACTCGTTTTAAACACTTTAAAAAACTCATAAAAATTCCATTATTTTATTTTCTTGACATTTTCCTAATTTTCATCAAAAATATTTACATCTTTCTTATCCTGGCTAATAAATTGAATTCCTGCAACGAATTTTATTATTCATGAAAGAATTTAAATATTTATAAAAATAATCTCGAAAATAATTTAATTTTTGCGAAGAATTTTATAAAAATTTGCAATAATTCATTTCTTTCCATTAATTTTATGCAAATTCTAATTTAAATACAGTGGAACCTCGATTATCCGAACTAACCTAAGCAAGGCCTGGTTCGGATAATCGAAAGTTCGGATAATAGAGATTTTCATTTTTTTCATAATTAAAGTAAAAAAAAATTGGATTGTTGAACTATATTACATTTTTTTTAAACATACATAAGTATATATATATGTAAATGTATATAAATTTATAATAATATATTAATAAAACAGAGAATTCAGAATTTTTTAAAGATTTTTTTAGTGTAAATTTCGTTATTTTGCTTTGAAAGATTTGGGAGGCCAAAAAAAAGTTCGGATAACAGAAGTTCGGATAAAATGATTTTCGGTTCGGATAATCGAGGTTCCACTGTAATTGAATTCCTGAGAAATTTTTATTATTCAGGAAAATAATTGAATTCCTAAAAAGCATTTTATTATTTATGAAAATAATTGAATTCTTGCGAACGATTTTATAAGAATTTTTGTAAAATAATTGAATTTCCAATAAGAAAATTATTACTTTCAAAAATAATTGAATTTTTTTGATGAATATTGTTGTTTATAAAAATAATTGAATTTTGCAAATTCATTTAAGTCATTTTATTAAAATGACTCAAAATAATTGAATTTTCGGGAATAATTTTGTTATTTATCGTAATAATTGAATTCTTAGGAAGAATTTTATTAAAACCTAAAAGAATAATTTAATTTTACAAAAAAATTTAATTAAAATTGTATTTAAAATAATTGAAATCATGCCATGAATTTTATTAAAATAGTTTGAAATAATTGAATTCCTGGGAAAAATTCTAATATTTTTGTAAATAATTCAATTCTTCAAAAGAATTAAAAAAAAAATTTTTTTTTTAAATAATTGACTTTCTTGAGGAACTGAAAGCAATTTTTAAGAAAAATAATTGAATTCTTACAAAGAATTTTATTCATTTTTTTTAAGTAATTAAATTCTTGCAAAGAATTTTTTAAAAAAACCTTTTTTTTTAAATAATTGACTTTTTCGAGAAATTGAAATTAATTTTTAAGAATATTTACTTCATTATTTATGAAAATAATTGAATTATTGCGAAAAATTTTTATTAAAATTCCTAAAAATAATTGAATTTCTGTAAAGAATTTTGTTATTTTTGAAAATAATTGAATTCCCCATAAGAATTTTATAAACATTGTTTTAAATAATTAATTTTTTCGAAATATAATAAATATTACGAAAATGTTATTTTAAATAATTGAATTCTTGTGGAAAACTTTATAAGTGAAAATAATTGAATTTTTCGATTAATTGATTTAAAATACTATTAAAAATAATTGAAATTCGTCGATGAATTTTTTTTATGAAAATAATTGAATAGTTGCTAAGAATTTTATTGAAATTTTTAAAAATAATTGAATTTCTGAGAAGAATTTTATTATTGATGAAAATAATTGAATTATTGCGAAAAATTTTAATAAAATGTTTAAAAATATTTGAATTTCTGTGAAGAATATTCTATTATTTTTGAAAATAATTGAATTCCTTATAAGAATTTTATAAACATTATTTTAAATAATTAATTTTTTCGAAATATAATAAATATTACGAAAATGTTATTTTAAATAATTGAATTCTTGTAGAAAACTTTATAAATGAAAATAATTGAATTCTTCGATTAATTGATTTAAAATACTATTAAAAATAATTGAAATTCGTCGATGAATTTTTTTTTATGAAAATAATTGAATATAGTTGCTAAGAATTTTATTGAAATTTCCAAAAATAATTGAATTCCTGAGAAGAATTTTAATATTTATAAAAATAATTGAATAGTTGCTACGAATTTTATTAAAATTTTCAAAAATAATTGAATTTCTAAGAAGAATTTATTATTTACAATAATAATTGAATTAATACAACAAATTTTATTAAAATTCCTATAAAAATAATTAAAATTCTGCGATGAATTTTATTATTTATGAAAGAAAATAATTGAATTGTTCATAAGAATTTTATTAACATTGTTTTCAATAATTAATTTTTTCGAAATATAATAAATATTATAAAAATTTTATTTTAAATGATTGAATTCTTGCGAAAAACTTTATTTGTGAAAATAATTGAATTTTTCAATTAATTAATTTTAGAAAGTATTAAAAATAATTCAAATTCTTTGATGAGTTCTGTTATATATATTTATGAAAATAATAAATTGAACTCTTGCTTAGAATTTTATCAAAAACTTTTTTTAAAAAATTGGATTTTATAAAAAATGTTATTGTTAGTGAAAGAAATTGTATTATTGTAAAGAATTGTATAAAAATTTTCAATTCCTATGGAAATTTCATTATTTATGAAAATAATTGGATTTTGAATGAATTTTATAATATATAATTTTATAATTTCTTTTTTAAATAATTTAATTCTTTTGCGAAATTTCATGAAAATGCTAGATATTGTATAAAATAATTGAATTTTTTTAAAGGATTTGTTTATAATTTTTGAGAGTAGTTTTTTGATTTCTATTTAGCGAATTTAAAAAAGTGTAAATTAAAAAAAACAAGAATATAGTAGCTTTTAGTGGCTGAAATCTAAAAAAAAGTACGTAAATAGTAGTATAACGTAAAAAAGTAGTAAATAGTACGTTTTAGTATACATGAGTGCGAAGTCTGCATTTCTTCTCCTTTTTATTTTCCTTTCTTCACTTCTATAATTATATACATTATGAAAATTAGTAAATTCCCATACGATATTAAAATATATTTATTTGATTTAAATAACGAATTATTTATAATCTATACTTTCAAAAAAAATATTTGATACACAAATATTTGTAATTTGATATAATAGACAAGTACCTAATCGGTTATTTAAATTAATTCATCTTCATAAAAAGATATTTATAAATTCAGAAAAATTTTAATAAAATCAACTCTGATACAATTTATACAGTGAAAAATTAATATGAACTTGGCACAAAATTGCTTATGCGGGAATAAAAATTCTAAATACAAAAGTTCCTATACATTTCTTTGGTTGAAGAAAGAACCGAAAACGCATAAAAAGAAGAAAATTATAGTCGTTTAGAAATAGTGAATATAAGTCAAAGAGTAAATTAATATTTTGTATAGATGAAAAAGTATATAGATTATTTCCAAAAGTAACAGTTTTGACAAATATTAATACCGCGCTGGGTACAATGTTAATAATTTTCATTGTGTGGCGGTTTATGAGACAAGTCTCAACGGGTTCGTTTCATGGAAGATTTGCAGTGCGACACCTATTTGTGAAAATTGTTGAAAATTGTTGGTTAGTGTGGAGAGGACTTCCGTGCCAATTTTGAAAAAGGGAAATGTGTGCCAAGCGACATCGTCTGGGTTACGACTCGTTAAGTGGGATCTCAGAGGTCCTTCGTAGGTGTATTTTATATTTTTCTTCATATTATTATTTGGGGAAAATTGTATAATCTCTTTGCATATAGTGGATTTCACCCACGACAAAAAATTTTCTGTTTCGCTATATATTCTTGCAACGTATTTCTTCAACGCGTTTGATCTCGTCTCATCATCGCATTCGTGCTTCTATTCGTTTTGTGCATG